CCCACCCCCCGGGGCCCTGCCCCCCCCCCCGGGACCCTGCCCGCCCCCCGGGGCCCTCCACCCCCCTCCGGGGCCCTGCCCACCCCCCGGTCCCTGCCCACCCCCCGGGGCCCTGCCCCCCCCCCCGGGGCCCTGCCCGGACCCCGGGGCCCGCCGGCCTCACCTTCCCCACACGTCGAAGCGCCGCCGCTCGACTCCGGCTCCGCGTGGTGCGCGTCCAACTCCTCGAGCTTCGCGTCTCAGCTCCGGGGCCGGGCCGGGGGTACGGGGGGGGGCTGCGCGGGGCCGGGCCGGGGATACGGGGGGAGGACTGCGCGGGGCCGGGCCGGGGGTACAGGGGCTGCGCGGGGCCGGGCCGGGGGTACAGGGGCTGCGCGGGGCCGGGCCGGGGGTACGGGGGGCTGCGCGGGGCCGGGCCGGGGGTACGGGGGCTGCGCGGGGCCCGGCCGGGGGTACGGGGGGGGCTGCGCGGGGCCGGGCCGGGGGTACGGGGGGAGGACTGCGCGGGGCCGGGCCGGGGGTACAGGGGCTGCGCGGGGCCGGGCCGGGGGTACGGGGGGCTGCGCGGGGCCGGGCCGGGGGTACGGGGGCTGCGCGGGGCCCGGCCGGGGGTACGGGGGGAGGACTGCGCGGGGCCGGGCCGGGGGTACAGGGGCTGCGCGGGGCCGGGCCGGGGGTACGGGGGGGGGGCTGCGCGGGGCCGGGCCGGGGGTACGGGGGGCTGCGCGGGGCCGGGCCGGGGGTACGGGGGGCTGCGCGGGGCCGGGCCGGGGGTACGGGGGGCTGCGCGGGGCCGGGCCGGGGGTACGGGGGGCTGCGCGGGGGCCGGGCCGGGGGTACGGGGGGGGGGCTGCGCGGGGCCGGGCCGGGGATACGGGGGCTGCGCGGGGCCGGGCCGGGGGCGGCGGGGTCTCCGGGCTCCCGCGCGAGTCCGTGGAGAGGAGGCGGCACGGGGCACGTTCAGCGCGCGCACGCGCCGTGTGTCCGGGCTGGTTCCGGAGGCTCCTGGAGGTCGGAGGTCACGGCCTTCCGGCCCCGCCCCGCCGGCCAGGCCGCAGCCCGCGGTCCGTGCGTCGGTGAGAGCCGGCGGGCCGCGCCGCCGCCGCCCGCGGGGACGGCAGGGATCCTTCGGGAAACTCCTAGAAGCCAGGATTTGCCTCCCGCGAGGCGGGGCGCGGGAGCCACGTCAGGGAAACCGAGGCAGGCCGACACGTCAGGGAAACCGAGGCAGGCCGACACGTCAGGGAAACCGAGGCAGGCCGTCCCCCCCCCCGCGGGCCGGGCTCTCGGCTCACCCCCCCTGCCCCCCCCCCGCGGGCCGGGCTCTCGGTTCACCCCCCCCCGCCCCCCCCCGCGGTCCGGGCTCTCGGTTCACCCCCCCCTGCCCCCCCCCCGCGGGCCGGGCTCTCGGTTCACCCCCCCCCCCCCGCGGGCCGGGCTCTCGGTTCACCCCCCCCCCGCGGGCCGGGCTCTCGGTTCACCCCCCCTGCCCCCCCCCCGCGGGCCGGGCTCTCGGTTCACCCCCCCCTGCCCCCCCCCGCGGGCCGGGCTCTCGGTTCACCCCCCCCCCCGCGGGCCGGGCTCTCGGTTCACCCCCCCTGCCCCCCCCCCGCGGGCCGGGCTCTCGGCTCACCCCCCCCCCCCCCGCGGGCCGGGCTCTCGGCTCACCCCCCCCCCCCGCGGGCCGGGCTCTCGGCTCACCCCCCCTGCCCCCCCCCCGCGGGCCGGGCTCTCGGTTCACCCCCCCCTGCCCCCTCCCGCGGGCCTGGCTCTCGGTTCACCCCCCCCCTGCCCCCTCCCGCGGGCCGGGCTCTCGGCTCACCCCCCCCCTGCCCCCCCCGCGGGCCGGGCTCTCGGTTCACCCCCCCCCCCCCCGCGGGCCGGGCTCTCGGCTCACCCCCCCTGCCCCCCCCCGCGGGCCGGGCTCTCGGTTCACCCCCCCCTGCCCCCCCCCGCGGGCCGGGCTCTCGGTTCACCCCCCCCCCCGCGGGCCGGGCTCTCGGCTCACCCCCCCCTGCCCCCCCCCGCGGGCCGGGCTCTCGGCTCACCCCCCCCTGCCCCCCCCCCCCGCGGGCCGGGCTCTCGGCTCACCCCCCCCCCCCGCCCCCCCCGCGGGCCGGGCTCTCGGCTCACCCCCCCCTGCCCCCCCCCCCGCGGGCCGGGCTCTCGGCTCACCCCCCCCCCGCCCCCCCCGCGGGCCGGGCTCTCGGCTCACCCCCCCCTGCCCCCCCCGCGGGCCGGGCTCTCGGCTCACCCCCCCCCCCCGCCCCCCCCGCGGGCCGGGCTCTCGGCTCACCCCCCCCTGCCCCCCCCGCGGGCCGGGCTCTCGGCTCACCCCCCCCCTCCCCCCCCCCCCCGCGGGCCGGGCTCTCGGCTCACCCCCCCCCTGCCCCCCCCCCCGCGGGCCGGGCTCTCGGCTCACCCCCCCCCGCCCCCCCCCGCGGGCCGGGCTCTCGGTTCACCCCCCCCGCCCCCCCCCGCGGGCCGGGCTCCTCCCGCCTGTGGTGGACAGGGCAGCACAGGCCCCCGGGGCCGGGCCGGGACCCCGGCGCGGCCTCGGCCCCTGCCTTCCCCTCCCCGCCTGGCCTCTTCCCCAGCCTCTCAAGCCCGCGGCGAAGGCGGCCTTGGTGGAGGCCAGGATCTGGCAGACCCTGGGCCTCGCACCGAGCCTGAACCCTTGAGGCCGGCCTGAGCTCTGAAGTCGCCTCGGTCGCGGTGGAGGTCGCAGGGCTGAGGACTGGCGGCTCATTCCAGACTCCGCGCGGCTCCTCCGGGTCTCTCCACACTCTCAGCTGAAGGTCTCTTCTGGACACAGACTGGGTTGAGAGAGTGGAACAGGTCTGGTGAGGCACACCTGTAATCCTAGCTTCTCCACCGCCACCAAGGCAGAAAAGTCCAGGAGACTCGTCTCCAATTAACAAGCAAAATGCTGGACTGCAGATATGGCTCAGCTGGTAGAGTGTCAGCTGGAGCGAGAAAGCCAAGAGTGCGAGACCCTGAGTTCAAGCTCATGTACAAGTATGAAACAACCCACAACTAAATAAACAAAACACTGGAATCGATCTGTATTTTCACATATACCTTTTTTCAAGCTCTCTGTGTGTGTGTGTGTGTGTGTGTGATTTCAACTAGGGGGAATCCCTCTGCTCTACCTCTCCATCCTGAAAAAAGCCAAAGTGAAGTTTAGGATATTGCCCAGTGGTTTCCATTTGAGCTGAAGAATCATGGGCACAACTGCACTGACACTCACTTAGCTGTGTTTTATTTATGTCATTTCCTTTTGTGACACTAGGGAATGAACCCAACACTGTTCCTATGATAGGCAATCATACACAGTTGATATATCCAGATCCTCTTGTACTTCTTTTTATATGATGGGGTTGCTACTTACACAAACTTGTCTCCAAGTGATGGGCTCAAGAATTTCTCCTGCCTCAGTCCCACATCATCTAGACCTGGAGGTGTGTATCATCACAACTAGCTCCCTGTTCTTTTTCTTACTCATACGTAAGAGGTCTTTACACATTAAGATGCAAGTCAAATTTGGTGATGTTTACCAGCTTGATCCCAGCTACTCAGAGGGCTGAGAAGAGGGCTGGGAATATGGTTTAGTAGTAGAGTGCTTGCCTAGCATGCATGAAGCCCTGGGTTCAATTCCTCAGTGCCACATACACAAAAAAACCTGGAAGTGGTGCTGTGGCACAAGTGGAAAAGCACTAGCCTTGAGGCAAAAGAAGCTCAGGGACAGTGCCCAGTCTCAGAGTTCAAGCCCCATAACCGACAAAAAACAAACAACAACAACAACAACAAAAGACTGACTATGCCAGGCTTTGGTGGTATATGAATGGAGGTAAACCAAGGATCAGTGGATGAGGCAAGGGGATCATGAGTCTAGGCCAGTGTGGATTACATGTCTAGACCATGTCTAAAAAAAAAAAATTAGCTGGGTTCTGGTGGCTCACACCTGTGATCCTAGCCACTCAGGAGGCTGAGATCTGAGGACTGCATTGCAAAGCCAGCCCAGGCAGGAAAGTCCATGAGACTCATCTCCAATTAATTGCCAAAAAGCTGGCTGTGCAATGCTAGCCTTGAACAATAAAGCTCAGGGACAGTGCCCAGTCCTTGAGTTCAAGACCCAGGCCTTGTGCCTGTGCGCGCGCACGCGCACACACGCACACACACACACACACACACACACACACACACCCCATCTTCCCCAGGAAGCCTGCTCAGGTTCTCTCGTTAAACCCAGGGCTCCCGGCCCTTCCTCCACACACTCGGCCTTCCCAGGACCGACACCTCTCTGTGAACCTGCCTAAGCCCAACTGCAGGCTGCGGCCCTAATGTTCAGCCCGTTGCTTTGTCAATTAACCATGTTTGAACTGACAAGTCTTTGGAAGGCACAGTGTGGACAGCTGGGTTGTTGCTGTGAACCAGGGCCACTGGGCCACAGCTAGGGAACAAGGGACAAAGGGTGGGGGCGAACGAGGCCTCCCCGCCGCGTCCTGCCCTGCTCAGGGCCGGCTGCTGCCATCCTGGTGAGGGCGCCTGGGCCTGGGCCCTTCTCCGGCCCCGCTGGCCTCTCGCGCCCCAGGCGATGGGGCGCGGGCCCGAGGGCTTCTCCTCGGCGCCTCTGCTCGCGGGGCCGAGCTTCCCGCCCTCCCTGCCGTGCTCCGCGGCGCTGTGGAGCCCAGGCCCAGGCTGGCTGCCCCCGGGGGCCCTGGGGCCTCCCCGGCCGGCCGCCGGGTCCGGAGAGAGGCCCGTGGGCTCTGCGGAGGAGGAGGACAGCCGGCCGCCCCGGCCGGTGGGCCCAGGCTGGGGCTGCGATGCCCGGCGAAGGCTGGTGCCGGGGGCAGGGCGCCGTGCGGGCCCGGGCCCGCCTCGCGGGCGCCCCCTCCCGGCCGACCCCGCGCGCAGCGCCCCGAGTCGGCCAATCGGCGCGGCCGCGGCGGGCGTGTCCCCAGCCGCGGGGCATAAAAGCCGGGCGCGGCCGGGGTCCCCCACACTTCTGACTCGCACAGACTCAGAAAGGATCCATCATGGTGCTGTCTGCCGCCGACAAGGCCAACATCAAGGCCGCCTGGGACAAGATTGGCTCCCATGGCGCCGACTACGGCGCGGAGGCCCTGGAGAGGTGAGGACCCCGCCGGCCCCGTCGGCCCCCCCGCCGGCCCCGGGCCCCGCCGCCCCCTCCCCCCCGCCAACCCCGCCGGCCCCGGACCCCGCCAACCCCGCCGGCCCCGCCGCCCCCTCTCCCCCGCCGCCCCCTCTCCCCCGCCGGCCCCGCCGGCCCCGGGCCCCGCCGCCCCCTCTCCCCCGCCGGCCCCGGGCCCCGCCGCCCCCTCTCCCCCGCCAGCCCCGCCGCGCCCCGGGCCCCGGACCCCGCCAACCCCGCCGGCCCCGCCGGCCCTCTTCTCCCGCAGGATGTTCCTGGGCTTCCCCACCACCAAGACCTACTTCCCCCACTTCGATCTGAGCCACGGCTCCGCCCAGGTCCAGGGCCACGGGAAGAAAGTGGCCGAGGCGCTGACCACCGCCGTGGGCCACCTGGACGACCTGCCCGGCGCGCTGTCCGCGCTCAGCGACCTGCACGCGCACAAGCTGCGCGTGGACCCGGTCAACTTCAAGGTCGGCGGGGCCCCGGGAGCGGGGCGGGGGGGGGACCCCGCACCACGCCGCCCCTCACCCGCCCGTCTCCTCCCGCAGCTCCTGAGCCACTGCCTGCTCGTGACCCTGGCCAACCACCACCCGAGCGAGTTCACCCCCGCGGTCCACGCCTCCCTGGACAAGTTCTTGGCCGCTGTGAGCACCGTGCTGACCTCCAAGTACCGTTAAGCGGGGGCCCGGCGGCCCGCCCCGCCCCGCCCCGGCCCGGCCCCGCCCCCGGCCCCGCCCCGGCCAGGCCCCGGCCCGCCCCGGCCCGCCCCGGCCCCGGCCAGGCCCCGCCCCGCCCCGCCCCTCGCAAACCCCCTCTTGGTCTTATGAATAAAGTCTGAGTGGCGGCAGTCTGTCTGTCTGTCTGTCGGTGTTTACGGGCGCCCGGTGGGAGGGCGGCGACTGCGAGGCGAATCCACAGGGTTCCCAGCGCGGCCGGAGGGCGCGGGGCTCGGAGCCCCTCAGCCCGCCCGGCCGGCGTCTCCCCGGACCCGCAGGTCCGCCCCGCGCTCCCGCGTCCTCCGCTACGCGCTCGGCCCCCGGCTCCGCCCAGAGAGGGCACCGGAGGCGCGGGGCAGGCGCGCCGCCCTCCCGGCCCGCCCTCGGTGTCCCCGGGCGGACGGAGGCGCCTCCCCAGGCCCCGCTCCAGGCACCTCATTGCGGGGACGGCCTCGCCTGCGCCCAGCTGCTGGCTCTGCACGCCGGGAGCTGCTGGGCCCGGCGCAGCCGCTGGGCAGCCCAGTCCCACCCCCAGCCCCGGGCCCCCCAACCCCAGTCCCCTGACCCCCCCAGCCCCTTGACCCCTGACCCCCCAGCCCCAGCCCCGGGCCCCCCAGCTCCAGCCCTGGGCGCCCCAGCCCCCTGACCCCCCAACCCCAGCCCCGGGACCCCCAGCTCCAGCCCTGGGCGCCCCAGCTCCCTGACCCCCAGCTCCAGCCCTGGGCGCCCCAGCCCTCTGACCCCCAACCCCAGCCCCGGGTCCCCCAGCTCCAGCCCCGGGACCCCCAGCCCCAGCCCCCTGACCCTCAGCCCCGGGGCCCCAGCCCCAGCCCCGGGCCCCCCACCCCCTGACCCCCCAACCCCAGTCCCCTGACCCCCCAGCCCCCTGACCCCTGACCCCCCAGCCCCAGCCCCGGGCCCCCCAGCTCCAGCCCTGGGCGCCCCAGCTCCCTGACCCCCAGCTCCAGCCCTGGGCGCCCCAGCCCTCTGACCCCCAACCCCAGCCCCGGGTCCCCCAGCTCCAGCCCCGGGACCCCCAGCCCCAGCCCCCTGACCCTCAGCCCCGGGGCCCCAGCCCCAGCCCCGGGCCCCCCACCCCCTGACCCCCCAACCCCAGTCCCCTGACCCCCCAGCCCCCTGACCCCTGACCCCCCAGCCCCAGCCCCGGGCCCCCCAACCCCAGCCCCCTGACCCCCAGCCCCAGCCCCGGGCCCCCCAACCCCAGCCCCAGGCCCCCCACCCCCTGACCCCTCAGCCCCAGCCCCTGACCTCCCAGCACCAGCCCCGAGCCCCCGTGCCCCAGCCCCTGGCCCCCCAGCCCCCTGACCCCCCAGCCCCGGGCCCCCCAACCCCAGCCCCCTGACCCCCCAGCCCCAGCCCCGGGCCCCCCAGCTCCAGCCCTGGGCGCCCCAGCCCCGGGTCCCCCAGCTCCAGCCCCGGGACCCCCAGCTCCAGCCCCCTGACCCCCAGCCCCGGGCCCCCCACCCCCTGACCCCCCAGCCCCGGGCCCCCCAGCTCCAGCCCTGGGCGCCCCAGCCCCCTGACCCCCCAACCCCAGCCCCGGGCCCCCCAGCTCCAGCCCTGGGTGCCCCAGCTCCCTGACCCCCAGCCCCAGCCCCGGGCCCCCCACCCCCTGACCCCCCAGCTCCAGCCCCGGGCCCCCCAGCCCCAGCCCCCTGACCCCCAGCCCCAGCCCCCTGAACCCCCAGCCCCCTGACCCCCCAACCCCAGCCCCGGGCCCCCCAGCCCCAGCCCCCTGACACCCCAGCCCCAGGCCTCCCAGCCCCAGCCCCCTGACCACCCAGCCCCAGCCCCCTGACCACCCAGCCCCAGCCCCCTGACCACCCAGCCCCCTGACCCCCCAGCCCCCTGACCCCCCAGTCCCCCCGCAGCCAAGCCGAGGACCCCTGGGAAACCACGGGGAAAGGTCGCTGAGCCGGCGCCGGTGGCTCAGGCCTGTCATCCTAGCTGCTCGGGAGGCTGGGGTGTGAGGATCGTGGTTCAAAGCCAGCCCCCGGCAGGAAACTTTTTCTTGTTGTCCGTCATGGGGTTTGAACTCACAGCGCTGGGCGCCGTCGCTGAGCATTTTTGCTGAAGGCGAGCGCTCTACCACTTGAGCCACAGCTTCACTTCTAGTTTTCTGGGGGTTCATTGCAGGTAAGAGTCTCATGGACTTTCCTGACTGGGCTGGCTTTGAACCCCAATCCTCAGATCTCAGCCTCCTGAGCAGCTAGGGTGACAGGCATAAGCCACCGGCTCCTTGAGACCCTCATCTCTAATAAACCACCAAAAGCCAGCGTGGACCTGTAGCTCAAGTGGTAGCTTGCAAGGCCTGAGCACAAAAGCTCAGGGACAGTGTCGGGCTCTAAGTTCAAGCCGTAGGACCACATTGACAAAGAGGAGAAGGCTCCCGGCAGACTGAACTAGTCTGAGCTCCGGGTCAAGCAGCACTGTTACTCCACTAGGAAGGGCAGAGGGTGCCTCAGCCAGTGTGCATCCGTGGAGGAGAGGGGAAGCAAAGGGACTCACACACACAGAACGAGGTTTTCATAAAATGTGGCTGGCATGGCGACATACCTGATTGGAGGAAAGACAACATGGAAGGCTGCATATTGCATGAATCGGTTTATAGGAAAAGTGCAGGCTGCACATTGTATGAGTCCATTTATATGTAAAGTCCATGGCAACCAAAGACCAGTACTGGCTGCCAGGGGCTGGAGGTGGGGAACTTTTCTGTACATGAAAGATTCTGGACTTGTTAATTTTAAGATGACTAAGATGCAATTTACGCTCAGTGAACCTCACAATTCACAAACTATACAGGTGGCATTGAGTTACTGCTGTACGGATGTTTAGTTTACTATGATGCTGGAGAGACATCTCAGGTGCTCTGGGTCAGTTGTCCTTAATGGAGTATCTACTGAGCCTGGCGCTGGAAATCACAGCTTGAAGCCAGCCCAGACAGGGAAGTCTGTGAGACTCTTCTCTGCTAAATTACTAAAGGTCCTGAGTCCAAGCCCCAGGACAGACACACGTTTGGGAGGGAGGTTACGCATGGGGACGCACAGACATGCAGTCATCACACCCAGTGTCCAGATGTAAACCCTGACCTCGAGGGTGAGAGCGGTGCTGGTCAAGATGCCCTGGAGTGGGAACCTGGCGTAGAAGTGTAGCCTGTGTAACTACCAAATGACAAACAGATTGAAAAAGATCTTTACTGTGGGTCGTGGGGCCAGAACTCTGGGCCTGGGCGCTGTCCCTGGGCTCTTCAGCTCTTCAGCTCAAGGCGAGCGCTCTACCACTTGAGCCACAGCGCCACTTCCGGCCTTTCTGGTAGTTCATTGGAGACCAGAGTCTCACGGCCTTTCCTGCCCGGGCTGGCTTTGAACCGCGAGCCTCTGATCTCAGCCTATGGAGTAGCTGGGATAACGCGGAGAGGGGCGGGGCGAGGCCGCTCGGGGCGGGGCCGCGAGGGCGGGACCAGGCGGGCCGCGCGTGGGCGGGGCCGCAGGGGGCGGGACCAGGCGGGCCGCGCGTGGGCGGGGCCGCAGGGGGCGGGACCAGGCGGGCCGCGCGTGGGCGGGGCCGCAGGGGGCGGGACCAGGCGGGCCGCGCCCCTGGAGGCCTCTGCGCGCAGCCGCGCGGCGGGGCCGCCGGAGACGGCGGGGATGGCTCTGTCCGCGGCGGAAGGCGAGATGGTGCGCGCGCTGTGGAAGAAGCTGGGCGACAACGTCGGAGTCTGCGTGGCCGAGGCCTTGGAGCGGTGCGAGCGGCGGGCGCAGGTCTGCGGGCCCCCGCGGGCCGACTCCAGGGCACTCACCCCCCTCCTCCCGCAGGACCTTCCTGGCTTTCCCATCCACCAGGACCTACTTCGCGCACTGGGACCTGAGCCGCGGCTCCGCCCGGATCCAAGCCCACGGCCGGAAGGTGGGCGCCGCGCTGACCCTCGCCGTGAACGCCCTGGACGCCCTGCCGGGCTCGCTGTCCGCCCTGAGCGACCTGCACGCGCGCGCGCTGCGCGTGGACCCCGCCCACTTCCAGGTGAGCCCGCGATCCGCGCCGCGTGGCCCCGCCCCCTTCCGGATGGGCCCGCGGCCGCGCGTGCTGACCCGCGGCGGGCCCGGGCGTGCTGACCCGCGGCGGGGCCGCGCTCCTCTCCGCAGCTCCTGGGCCACTGCCTGCTGGTGACCCTCGCCCGGCACTACCCCGGGGACTTCAGCCCCGCCATGCAGGCCTCGCTGGACAAGTTCCTGAGGCTGGTGACGGCGGCGCTGGTCTCCGAGTACCGCTGAGCCCAGGGGGCGCGCGGCGGCCCTGCCGAGGCGCGAGTGCACGCGCGCGGTGTGTGTGTGCGCTGCGCGTGCTCGCACGCGGGCGGCCCGCCGAGGACGGCATGGCGCCCTGCCTCGGACTAGAGCCCCGCGGCCACTGGGGGCTGAGGCCGTCCGCCCCGCAGCGGCCCCCCGCCCCCCGCAGGCACCTCCCGAGGAGCCCCAGCAGCCGCAGCACCGCAGCACCGTGTGCTCAGCGGCTGTGTGTCGGCCTGCCGTGCACCCGGTGTTCTGAACCCCCACCCGGTCCTCCGGGGCTCGAGCTTGTGGCACTGTCTCTCATGTTACTGTCTGCCCCAAATGCAGGGCAGTTGGGCTCTGAAGCTTGCTTGACCTCAGGTGCCCTGGCCGTCCAGAGCAACATGGGAAATTAAAGAGAACTGGAATTACAGCAACATCTCTCTCTCTGGTGCAAGTATTAGAGTAAACCCAGGGCCTCTTGTTCTTGCTTGGCTTCTTCACGCAAGGTTGGTGTTTTACCACAAGCCACACCTCTGCTTTGGCTTTCTGATTACTGGAGATAGTATCAAAAGGACTCTCCTGCCCTGGCTGGCTTCAAACAGCATCCTCAGATCTCCGCCATCTGGGAGGTAAGATTGCTGGTGTAAGCCACCATCAGTACATAGCTCTACACATTTTTTTTTTTTTTGCCAGTCCCGGGCATGGTCCCTGAGCCTCTTGCCCAAGGCTAGCACTCTACCATCTGAGGCACAGCACTACTTCCTGTGTATGTGGTACTGAGGAATAGAACCCAGGGCATGCTAGGCAAGCACTCTGCTAAACCATTTCCCCAGCCCAACAATGTTTCTTAAAACACTCCTTTCCAGATAAATCAAGAGGCAGGAAGGCTTTCTGCAGCCCCGGCAACCCTGTCCCTTAACAGGTTCCAGGTGTTGCAAGAGGTAAAGGCCTACCCACTTGTCTCATGCCAAGTTTCATACCTGGGTCATGAACTTGTAACCACAACTGCCTTTGTCCTCTATCTGTGTCCTCCCAGACTACCCTCCAATACACAGGGCGTCCAGTTTCCGTCAGTCAGTCATACTTCATAAAAGGGGATGAGTCCCCTGTGAGCAGCAGCAGGAGACAAGCAGGAATCGACAGCCCACCTATGGCATGGGCCACACAACAATGCCCCAGGACGTTTGCCCCAAGGCTGCATCTCCTCCCACAAAGACTCTCTGGCTGTCCAGTGGATATTGTCTACAGGCCTATCTCCGGCCTCCTCTTCCTTCTAAAGGAAAGGGTTGCAGTGTAGCCACCACCCTCAACCCACAGCAACAACGCAGCAGTCTGTACTAAAGGGATAAATAGCTGAGACGTGGAGCATGAGCCAAGTGGGGCACTAAGGACCAAACATATGTGGCTCAGTTAAGGGTGTTTTCTAGGAGTGCCCTGGCATATGGTCAGGTCCTGTGAACTGCCTCATGTAGAAGACATAGAGAGACCCTAGCATAGCTGACAGAGGCAGCCCGTTAGGTCTATTTATTCCTATACAATATAACCCCACACACAGGAGCAACTGTACAACTTGAAGTCACAGCTAGCGCCAAACAACAGAAATGTTAAACTACAAAAGATGAGTTGGATTCAGCAAATATAGAATAACTTTAGGCTGTGTTGAATGTTTTGTCAGACTATTTACAGCTCCAGGACTAGGGTTCAGATCTCTCCAGCCTCCTTCTCCTCTGACTTCTGAGAAGTTGTCTTCCCATTGGAGCTCTCCAGCCTCCAGTCAGAATACCCTCGCTCACTCCGTCCGCACTCCCAGGACTTCTCTCTCGATGTGCGCTCCCTGGAGAACCTGGGAAAGGGGAACCAGAGGCTAAGAGGAGGCTGCTGTCCCCTCTGGATGGCTACTCAGGAAGCAACACCAGGCTAGTCAGTCATGCTACCACTAGAGCCTAGGGCTACCTGCCTACCACTTGGAATGTTAGGCAGCCACAGAAAAATGACCTTTACAAAGATTTTTAATAAGAAAAACAGAAAAGGAGAATGCAACAAAATTATGGGTATAGAACATAAAACACTAGGTAAAACTACAATGGGAAAAAAAAGGCCAAAATAAACAACAGCCTGGTCACAACACAAAGCCTTGGACAGGATGGTCTGTGAACCAGGGGAATCCTGGTTCAGTGCAACACCACCCAGAGGGACAGGCAGGAGCTGCTCACACCTTCCTACCGTCTCAAGCCCTGCGTCCCACAGTTGCTTGGACAGGGTCCCCACAAACTGTGTGGCCACTAGATGTGGCTAAAGGACCCACTGAGAGTCTCCCAAGACCCTGGGAACACAAAGAGCTCACTCTTGACTGCAGGTACTGAGTCAGAGTAGTTACTTGTATTTTGCACTCATGTCCCTGGAAGCCCGGCGGTGTCCCCGGCTGTGGCTCTGGGAACGGCTGCGATGACGTCGGTGGCTGTCTCGGGACCGAGACCGGGAAGATTTGCGCCGTTCTCTCGAGGTAGATCTTGACCGTCTCCGACGTCGATCCCGATCTCGGGAGCGTGACCTGAGAAAAATCGAAGTGCTGGGGGCCAAGCTCCATGAGAGACAAACCCCACTAGGTTAACTTTCAGGCTCCTTTTCTGTCCACAGCATCACTAACTACTATGTTTCCCCTTCCTCTTGCAAATGTACACAATGTTTGTGATTGTCCCATGGATTAATCTGACTGTTCCTCTGAATGATGTCTTCTAAAGAAGGATCCAGGTACTTCTAGTCAGCCTGCAGGCCTTTGAAAACTTCCCTTTCAGAATGAATTGGGGCTTGGAGATAATTCTTATAGTGCTGAGCCCCAACCAGCATGTCCTTCTCAAGTCAGCCCAGATAAAAGTCATAAAGTAGTAAACATCACGTATTAAGAAAAATATTGGGGGCTGGGAAGGTGGCTCAGTGGTAGAGCGCTTGCCTTGCATGCATGAGGCCCTGGGTTCGATTCCTCAGCACAACGTAAGCAGAAAAAAAAAAAGCTGGAAGTGGTGCTGTGGCTCAAGTGGTAGAGCGCTAGCCTTGAGCTGAAGGACAGCACCCAGGCCCAGAGTTCAGGCCCACAACCAGACCCCCCCCCCCAAAAAAAGGAAAAATGTTGCTGGGTGCTGGTGGCTCATGCCTATAATCCTAGCTACTCAGGAGGCTGAGATCTAAGGATCATGGTTCAAAGCCAGCCTAGTCAGCAAAGTCCGTGAGACTCTTATCTCCAATAAACAAACCACCAGAAAACCTGAAGTGGCATTGAGACTCAAGTAGTAGAGTGTTCACCTTGAGCTGAAGATCTGAGGGACAGGGCCCAAGCAGAGTTCAAACACCATGACTGACAAGAAAAATGTTGCAGGGCACTGGTGGTTCATACCTGTAATCCTGGCTATTCAGGAAGTTGAGATCTGAGGATTACAGTTTGAAACCAGCTGGGGCAGAAACGTTTGAGACTTTTTTTTTTTTTGGTCGTTTGTGTGGCTTGGGCGCTGTCTCTGCACTCTTCAGCTCAAGGCCAGTGCTCTACCGCTTAAGCCACAGCACCACTTCCAGTTTTCTGGTGGTTTACTGGAGATAAGAGTCTCACTGACTTTCCTGCCTGGGCTGGCTTTGAACTGTGATCCTCAGATCTCAGCCTCCTGAGTAGCTAGGATTACAGGCATGAGCCACTGGCACCCGGCTATTGAGACTCTTTATCTCTAAGCAACAAAAAAGCCACAAATGGAGGTATAGCTTCAGTTGTAGAGTGCCAGTCATGAGCAAAAAACTAAGTAAGGGACAGCACCCAGGCCCTGAATTCAAGCCCCAGTAGGGGTACCAAAAAAAAAGCAAACCACAATAGTGCTTTCAGAAATAAGACATTCAACTAAACATTGTGATGGATCTAGAAACCTACCTCCTGCGATCTCTGGTTCTTGAGCCAGACCTAAAAAGGGAAAAAAAGACAAATTGACACCCCTAAAGCATAATTCACTGCCAACGCAGGGATGGGGCCCTAAACGTAAGGTGGAGACTTAATACTTTCTTAGGCATCTGAAATTGAATATGGACAAAGCTAAATTTTACCCTTTACGGGGCTCCTCCATTCTCCCTCCCTGCTCCAGTAAGTGGCAATCACAGGCCAGAAATGGCAAAGGCAGCTTCCTTCCTCATTCACACACTTCACATGGTCAACAAGCAAATACCATGCTTTACCCCAGATGCCCATCTGCCCCTTGCCTGATTCACACTGCCACCAACTTCATCTGAACCCCTCCTACCCTCAGAGATATTGCTCTGTTCTCAAGAGTGGCAGGGGCCGGGCGCCAGGAGCTCATGCTTGCAATCTTACTCAGGAGGCTGCCATCTAAGGATCGTGGATGAAAGCCAGCCCATGAGTGAGCCAGTCTATGAGACTCTTATCTCCAATTAACCACCAGAAAACTGGAAGTGGCGCTGTGGCTCAAGTGGTAGAGCACTGGCCTTGAGCTGGAGAGCTCAGGTACAGCGCCCAAACCCAGAGTTCAAGCCCTTCAACTGACCAAAAAAAAAAAAAAGTGGAAAGGCATCCTGAATCCAAACCCCAGCCCTCACATTTAGCTGTTCAGTACTCCCAAATCACAAAGTAAATAATTATCACAGCCCATCAAAAGCCCTTTCCTGATGGGGGCTTAAGACAGCAACGTGGGTCAGGCGCTGGTGGCTCACGCCTGTAAACCCTAGCTACTCAGGAGGCTGAGATCTGAGGATCGTAGTTCAAAGCCAGCCTGGGCAGTTAAGTCTGTGAGACCTTATCTCCAATTAACCACCAGAAAAGTGGTGCTGTGGCTCAAAAGTGGTAGAACGCTAGCCTTGAGCAAACTAAACTGTTCGGGAACAGTGTACCAGCCCTGAGATCAAGCCCCATGACTGACAAAAAACCCCCCCAAAACAAAAAATACCCAAAAAAAACCCAGCACCTTGGCTGCTGGAAGATCAGTTTCCTTATGTGCCTAGCCATCAAAGGAGCTGGTTCTTATGGGGAGGAGGAACCTCTCTTTCAGGCAGGCACGTGCTATATTTCACTGGACTGAATATATTCCTGCACTCCTTCAAGCAATATGGCAGTAGACAGAGCAGAAGCTGACAGGCCGGAGGACGACGGTGGCTACTGGCCACCTACACTCACCTCCTGCTCAGCCGCTCCTCTCGTTCTCTCTCCTCTCTCCTCCTCAAGCGATCCTGGTTTCTTTTTTCTTGCTTTTCAGCCACTGTTTTCTAAAGGAATTAAAAAAACAAGCAAATAAAAGTGAGACAAGCCGGCCAACACAGGTTCACACCTATAATTCTAGCTACTCAGGAAGCTGAGATCTGAGGACCACAGTTCAAAGTCTGCCTGGTCAGCAAAGTCCATTAGGCTCTTACCTCCTATTAACCACCAGAAAACCAGAATTGATTCTGTGGCTCAAATTGGTAAAGTGCTCTCCTTGAGCAGAAAAAGCTCAGGGTCAGCACTCAGGGCATGAAATCAAGCCCAACAGCTGACACATGAGAAACGCACGCACGCACGCACGCACGCACGCACGCACGCACGCACACACACACACACACACACACGAGAAACTTGGCTGGTCCTGAGGCTTAAACCTCCTGAATATTTTTGCTATCTAGCATTCTACCACTGAAGCCACAGCACTACTTCCTGATTTTTACTGTTTTTTTGTATGTTTTTTTTTTGTTGGTTACAGGCTTCAACTCTGGACCTGGGTGCTGCCCCTCAGCTCTTCAGCTTAAGGTGAGTGCTCTACTGCCTGAGCCACCATGCCACTTTCAGTTTTCTAGTGGTTTAATGGAGATAAGTCTCATGGACTTTCCTGCCCAGGCTGGCTTTGAACCGCGATCTCAGATCTCAGCCTCCTGTGTAGCTAGGATTACAGGTATGGGCCACCAGTGCCTGGCTAAGATACTCTCTCTTTTTTTTTACAGGACATGGGGCCTGAACTTGGCCTGGGCGCTGTCCCTCAGCTCTTCAGCTCAAGGATAGCACTATATCACTTGAGCAACAGCACCACTTCCGGCTTTTCCTGCTTATGTCGTGCTGAGGAATTGAACCCAGGGCCTCATGCATGCAAGACAAGCACTCTACCACTGAGCCACCTTCCCAGCCCTCTCTTTTTTTCTTTTGTTCAGGTCTTAGGGCTTAAACTCAGGGACTGAACACTGTCCCTGAGCTTTTATTGTCTTAAAGCCAGCACTCTACCACTTGAAGTACAGCTCTACAACTAGTTTTTTGGTGGTTAATTGGAGATAAAGAATGCTTGGGGACTGGGAAAGTGGCTCAGTGGTAAGTGCTTGCCTTGCATGCATGAGGTCCTGGGTTGACTCCTCAGCACCATGTAAGCAGAAAAGACCAGAAGTGGTGCTGTGGATCAAGTGGCAGAGCGTTCGCCTTGAGCTGAAGAGTGCAGGGACAGAGCCCAGGCCCAGAACTCAGGCCCCATGACAGACAGAAAGAAAAAAAAAAAAAAAAAAATCTCCGGGACTTCCCTGCCCAAGGTGGCTTCAAACCATGATCCCTAGGGCTGGTAATGTGGCTCAGTGGTAGAGTGCTTGCCTAGCATGCACAGGTCCAATTCCTCAGTACCATATAAATAAAAGATGGAAGTAGTGCTGTGGCTCAAAAGCTACAGTGCTAGCCTTGAGCAAAAGCAACTCAAGGGCTCAAGCTTAGGGCTTGGACAGTACTGAGGCCCTAAGTTCAAGCCCTAGAAATGGAAAAGAAAACAAAACAAAAAAACAAAGACATGATCCTCAGATCTTAGCCTCCTGAGTAGCCAGGATGATAGGTGTGAGCCACCAGCACCAGAACATAAAGCTCTTATTCAGGCTTCTCCAGAAACGGACTATATTAACATACCCTCAACTGATCAAGCTTCTCTCGGATCTGAATGAATCCCAAATGTAACTTGCCCCCAAAATGGTCTGCTAGACGGCGGTCATTGTCGTGAAGACCAAGGTAGGCTGAACAGACTTCACAGACACGGAGCTTTTGCTGCTGAAAACTGGATGCAGGCATAGAATTTCTGTATTCTTCCTGGAGAAAAAGAGATATGAAGGTGACATCCAGAATCCACTATATAGTATCAACATCTTAAATGGAAATAATTTGGCAGTAAAAGTGAGTTTTCAAAAAACCTTAAAAAGCTGGTTGCCTATGCCTCACACTTGTAATCCTAGCTACTTAGGAGGCTGAGATTTGAGGATTACAGTTTGAACGCAGCCTACACAGGAAAGTCTGTGAAGACTCATCTCCAATTACACCAAAAAGTTGGAAGTAGAGGTGTGACTTAACTAGTAGAGCACCACCAGTCTCAGCAACCCAAGTGTGAACTGAAGCCCCAGGACCAGTAACTAAGAACATAAGCAAAAATAAAACAAGCCAGGCACTGGTGGCTCATGCCTGAAATCCTAGCAACTCGAAGGCTGAGGATCACAGTTGAAAGCCAGCCTGGGCAGGAATGTTTGTGAGACTTACCTCCAATTAACCCCCAGAAAACTGGAAGTGGTGTTATGGCTCAAGTGGTAGACCACTTGCCTTGAGCTGAAGAGCACAGAGACAGCGCTCAGGCCCAGAGTTCAAGCCCTTCGACCAACAACAAAAAAGTAATAATAAATAAAAACCCCAACCAACTAGACAAGTCAGAAGTGGTGGTGCCACCATGCCTGTAATCCCAGCCCTTTGGAGGAGAAGCAAGAGTGTCTTGAGGGCTGGGAGTGGTAGAGTGCTTGCCTAGCATGTATGAAGCCCTGGGTTCAATTCCTCAGTCCCACTTACACAGAAAAATCTGGAAGTGGTGCTGTGGCTCAAGTGGTACAGTGTTGCCTTCAGCAAAAGAAGTTCAAGGACAGTGCCCAGGCCCTGAGTTCAAGCCCCAGGAGTGGCAATGAAACAGGTCTACACCAGCCAGGTACATACATGCATGCAAACATACATATCATCTCCCTTTTCTCCAGCTCATCTTTCCACCCCTATTGTTTTACTCAACTCAGTTTGTGTGTGGGGTTAGGTGGTTTTAGCTAAGGGGTTTTGTAGGATCATCCCATTCTACCTAGAGACTACCGCCAAGGAAGATATTCATACCCTCATAACCCCATCTCTGGTACATTTGCCTTCATGAAATCAATACGTGGGAAAGAAGGGATAACAAGTACTCTGTAAATTGTTAGAGTGATGGATATGGGTTATTATATACTTTCCCAGATCTGTAGAATATGCATCAACCCAACCTAAAGCCCAACCTAAACTGGCCTTTAAATTGAAATGATGAGTCAACACAGGTCCACTGATGGTAACCTACTTTACTTTACGGGAGATGTTGATAACATGGGAGGGAGGCTGGTAGGGAAATCTCTGCCTTGCTCTTATCATTGAACTCACAATTGTTATAATCCGTTATCAGTGCCCCACCTTTCTACTCTGCTACTTTAGCCTCCACCGGAGTGCCAAGATAACCAGCAGCAGCCACCACACCAAGCCACTAACATTCCTCTTTCCTAAGACACTTTTCCACCAACCTCAGCTTCTTTTTTCTTTGCACGAACTTTCTCAACTTCCATAAGAATCTTCTGGGATTCGTCCACATTTCCTTCAGCTCCTAGCTGTTCAGCTTTAGCAAGGAGTTTTCCTATTTCTTCATTCAATTCATGTACCTTTTCTGCCTGAGGGGAAGAGAGATTCAAATAAGCAGAAACCAAGTTTTTTGTTTTGCCAGTCCTGGGGCTTGAACTCAGGGCCTGGGCACTGTCCCTGAGCTTCTTTTGCTCAAAGCTAGCACTCTACCACTTGAGCAACGGCACCACTTCCAGATTTTTCTGTTGTGTGTGGTGACTGAGGAATTGAACCTAGGAGCCTCATGCATGCTAGGCAAGCACTCTACCACTTAAGCCACCTTTCCAGCCTCAGAAACCAAGTTTTTTTTTTTTTTTTTGTCGGTTGTGGGGCTTGAACTCTGGGCCTGGGCGCTGTCCCTCAGCTCTTCAGCTCAAGGCGAGCGCTCTACCACTTGAGCTACAGCGCCACTTCCGGTTTTCTGGTGGTTTATTGGAGATAGGAGTCTCACGGTCTCTCCTGCCCGGGCTGGCTTTGAACCGCGATTCACAGATCTCAGCCTCCTGAGTAGCTAGGATTACAGGCCTGAGCCACTAGCGCCCAGCAGAAACCAAGTTTTGAATGCAAGGAAAGTAACTTTTTCTCTCAACACATTCCTGAGGCTCAAACTCAAGGCCATGGAGCTCTTGGGCTGGCTTCAAAACATGATCCTTCATTTATGCCTCTGATAAGCCAATGCTCTGTTCAACATATTTCTTTCGCTAACACTGAAAATAAACCAAACATCTTAAGACCCACAGATAATCACATGTGCATTTTAAATATCATGAGTTTTTTTTTATCACTTGCAGAAATCTGAGAGCTAATGTTTGGAGCCAGCCCCAACTCTTTATCTTAAGAAGTTAACCAGCAAAAAAGCTGTTAGTACTGGGCATTGGTAAATCACGCCTATAATCCTAGTGAGGCTGAAATCTGAAGACTGCAGTTTGAAGCCAGCCTGGGCAAGAAAGACTCTTATCTCCAACAAACCACTAGAAAAGTAGTGCTGTAGCTCAAAATGGTCAAGTGCTAGGCTTGAGTGAAGGAGCTCAAGGACAACACCCAAGCCAAGTTCAACCCCTACTGGCTCATGCCTATAATCCTAGCTACACAGGAGGCTGAGGTCTGAGGATGGCGGTTCAAAGCCAGTCTGGGCAGGAAAAGTCCGTAAGTCCATGAGACTTTTTTTTGGTCAGTCGTAGGGCCTGAACCTTTGGCCTGGGTGCTGTCCCTCAGCTCTTCAGCTCAAGGTGAACACTTCACCACTTGAGCCACAGCACTACTTTGGGTTTTCTAGTGGTTTACTGGAGTTAAGTCTCACGGACTTTCCTGCCAGGCTGGCTTTGAACCGTGATCCTCAACTCTCAGCTCTCAGCCTCTTGAGTAGCTAGGATTACAGGTCTGAGCCACTGGCACCTGGCAAATGACTCCTTCCTTCCTTCCAGACATACCTTTGCCGAAACTTCTGCACTGATTTCCTCCTGTGTTTCCGCCAGTCGTTTCTTGGCAAGCTCAGTCCTCCTGTCACACTCTGCAATGAAGGACTCCAAATGATCCATTGCCTAGCTCAGGGGATAGAGAGAGCTATTAGTAACTATTTATACAATCTCAGAATCTATTTCTTTTTTGTCAGTCATGGGGCTTGAACTCTGGACCTGGGCACTGTCCCTGAGTTCTTCAGCTCAGGGATAGTGCTCTACCACTTTAAGCCATAACACCACTTCTGGTTTTCTGGAGGTTAATTAGAGATAAGAGTCTCAGAGAGATTGCCGGGCGCTGGTGGCTCACGCCTGTAATCCTAGCTACTCAGGAGGCTGAGATCTGAGGATCGCGGTTCAAAGCCAGCCCGGGCAGGAGAGACCGTGAGACTCCTATCTCCAATAAACCACCAGAAAACCGGAAGTGGCGCTGTAGCTCAAGTGGTAGAGCGCTCGCCTTGAGCTGAAGAGCTGAGGGACAACGCCCAGGCCCAGAGTTCAAGCCCCACAACCGACCAAAAAAAAAAATAAATAAGAGTCTCAGAGACTTACATACCCAGGCTGGCTTTGAACCACAATCCTCAGATCTCAAACTCCTGAGTAGTTAGGATTATGGGCATGAGCCACGGACACCCAATGTTACTTTTCTTTATACCTTTCTGTTGTGGGGCTTGAACTAGCACTCTACCACTTTGAGCCATAGTACCACTTCTGAACTTGTAAACTCAAAGCTAGTACCCTACCACTTGAACCACAGCTCCACTTCTGGCATTTTTGCTGGTTACTTGGAGATAAAAAGTCTCATGGGGGGCTGGGAAGGTGGCTCAGCTGTAGAGTGCTTGCCTTGCATGCCTGAGGCCCTGGGTTTGATTCCTCAGCACCACATAAGCAAAGAGAAAAAAATACAAAATAAAGATGACATTTAAAAAAATTAAAAAAAAAAAAAGTCCCATAGAATTTTCTGCCTAGGCTGGCTTAAAACTGATATTCTCTTGAATAGCTAGGATTGCAGGCCTGAGGCAGCAATGTGTGGCTCAAAATAGCTTTAATTTCAAAACAATTTCTATCCTCAATAATCTTACCAAGAAACCTCAAGGAGAATGAACACATTGGCTATACTCAGTTCTCTGGGGAGAGAAAAGGTTGAACAAGGGCCAGTGTTAAAAGGCTGTATGAAATGCATTCAGTCTTTGTAAGCCACAGAACATTATTCCCTCATCTTGAGGGCAAAGTAGCCTCTTTCACCTCAAATATGATAAAATAGGCCATGTGCCGATTGGTTTGGGCCTGTAATCCTGATTATACACAAAGCTATCTATCATTTGAAAATTGAAGTGTAGAGCCAGCTCAGGCAAACAAATCCAGGAGGATCTTTGATTCTTATATTAAGATGTAGTTATGTGCAACTACACTTTTTTTTTGGGGTCTGGTTGTGAGGCCTGAACTCTGGGCCTGGGCGCTGTCCCTCAGCTCTTCAGCTCAAGGCTAGCGCTCTACCACTTGAGCCACAGCACCACTTGTGGCTTTTTTTTGCTTATGTGGTGCTGAGGAATCGAACCCAGGGCTTCAGGCATGCAAGGCAAGCACTCTACCACTGAGCCAACTTACCAGCCCGGGTCTTTGATTCTTTTTCCCAGCAAAAAGCTGGAAGTGGAGCTGTAGCTCAAGGGGGAGTGACCAGCCATGAATTTTTGAAAAAGCTGAGCAAAGGGCCCAAAGTCAAGCCCAGTATAAGCATAAAAATAAACAAATTTAGGGAATAGATAAAAAGACAAAAACAATTACAACAACTAAGGAGTGATGATCTGTGTCCTGTCTCCTAAAATAGACACCATAGTGCGTTAGTTGTCAGAAGGCATACCAGAGGGCTGTAATCTTAGCTATACAAGAGGAGGCAAAAAGTTACTAAGACCAGGAGCTGGGAATGTGGCTCAGTGGTAGAGTGCTTGCCTTGCATGCATGAGGCCCTAGGTTCGATTCCTCAGCACCACATAAGCAGAAAAAGGTAGAAGTGGCGCTGTGGCTTAAGTGGTAGAGCACTAGCCTTGAGCTGAAGAGCTGAGGGACAGTGCCCAGGCCCAGAGAGTTCAGGCCCCATGATCGACCAAAAAAAAAAAAAAAAGTTACCAAGACCATCTCAACAAAAAATATGGACATGATAGTTGTACATCTGTAATTAGTTATGCAGCTAATAAAATCAGTCTGGAGGCTGGCCATGGGTAAACATGAGAAATCCATCTTTTCTTTTTGCTTGAGACCAGGACTCAAACACTGTATCTGAGGCTTAGCTAGAACCCTGCTATGTGAGCCATGCCTCCAAACATGTGAAATCAACCTTACCTGAAATATAATGGCAGGAAAGTCCCTGAGACTCATCTCTAACAAACTACTCAGAAAAAGCCAGAAAAAGTGCTGTAGGTCAAGAGGTAGAGCTTAGCCTTGAGCACAAAGAGGCTTAGGGACAGTACCCAGGCCCTGAGTTCAAGATCCAGACAGGCAAAAAGAAAGAAAAAAAAAGGCAGAAAGGGAAGGATAGGGATATGGCTCTATCAAGAAAAACATGATGATAACTGTAAGGTCCGCTCCTGGATAGCTAGCAGATTCTACCCTCCTGGCAGCAAAGTCTCCACCCAGTACCTGCGTTACCTAGGCAACTGGGACACCTGGAAGAGGTCACATCTGCATCTGCTGAGGTCACACATCTGAACTTGATGTGGCCACACCTTTCTCCGCCCATACCCTAGATAAGGCCTAACCCAGGCCCAGATGCTCGCTCTCTGCTCTTTTCTAGCACTTTCCTCTCCTTTCTAGCTCTCTTAGCTCTTTTCCTCAGCTCTCTCTTTCCTAGGCCTTTCCCCACCGCGTGGAGGACCAAGATGGTCTGGTGTCAGCGGGAACGATGAATAAACCTATCCCTTACCTGAATACCACGTGCATGGTGCTGTTCTTACTCGGCCACCTCTTTTTAAAAACCAAACAATAACCAAGTTTGAACCCTAGTACAGTCAAAAGCAAAGCAAAATGAAACAAAAAAGATGGCAGTCCACAAGACTACAAGGATACTAGAGAGCTAGGAGGTAATCAGGGATTTGTTTTCCTTATATAAAAGCATAATTGAAAGCAGAGCCAGGCAAGAAAAAAAGCTTTAGGATGGTCCAAAGTGTCTCAGAAACTAGAGAAATGCAGAGCGTCAGAGTCAGACTCCATATGTAATTCTGGAATTCAAAAATTTCTGCCACAGATCTGCAAATAATTTATTTTTTTATTAAAAAACATGTCAATTGGGGCTTGAACTCAGGGTCTAGACACTGTCCCTGAGCTTTTTTTTGCTCAAGGCTAGTGCTCTACCACTTTGAGCCACAAGTCACTTCCAGTTTTCTGGTAGCTCACTGGAAATAAGAGAGACTCAGGGGAGGGGCTAAGAAGGTGGCTCAGTGGTAGAGCGCTTGCCTTGCATGCATGAGGCCCTGGGTTCGATTCCTCAGCACCACATAAGCAAAAACCAAAAAGCCGGAAGTGGGGCTGTGGCTCAAGTGGTAGAGCGCTAGCCTTGAGCTGAAGAGCTGAGGGACAGCGCCCAGGCCCAGAGTTCAGGCCTCACAACTGGACCTCCCCCCCCCCCCAAAAGGGGGGGGGGACCTAGGGAAGTGGTAGAATGCTTGCATAGCATGCAGGAGGCCCACGGTTTGAATCCTTGGTATCATATACACAAGAATAAATTTAAAAAATAGTCTCTTCAGGAAGTGGCGCTGTAGCTCAAATGGTAGAGCGCTCGCCTTGAGCTGAAGAGCTGAGGGACAGCGCCCAGGCCCGGAGTTCAAGCCCCACAACCGACAAAAAAAAAATAGAAAAAATAGTCTCTTCAACTTTCCTACCTGTGTGGCTTTGACCATAATCCTCAGATTTTGGCCTCCTGAGTAGCGGATTACAACATAAGCCACCAGCAGCACAAATATTTCACTATATATGGACATATGCATGTGTGTGCACATATGTGCATGTGTGCGCACGCACGTGCACACACACAAACCCACACCCACAGTGATTCGAAGAGAACCCAGGCAGGAAAGTCTGTGAGACTGTTCTGTCCAGTTAACCACCAAAAAAGTTGTAAGGGGAGCTGTGGCTGAAATGGTAGAGTATTAGCCTTGAGCAAAAAAGCTCAGGAACAGGGCCCAAGACCAGCACGAAGAAAAAGGAAAAACGGACCAGCACAAGGAAAAAGAAAAACAAACAAAAGATTGGTCACAAGGCTGAAGTAGCATAGCATGTGCCTAGCAAGTTCAAGGTCCAGCATTCAAGCCCTGATACTATCAAAATAGTCAAGTAGGGCACCTGAGATTTAATGATCCTGTTTCAAAACCAGAGGGGCAGTCAAATCCCAGACACTTTTTTAACATGTCTTGAGCAAAAAAAAAAAGCTAAGACACAGGGCACAGTCCCTGAGTTTGGACCCAACCACGGGCATATGAGACAAGCACACACGCGCACACCAGAAAAAAGGGAAAAGTAAAATTCAGGGTAGTAATATGCTGACAGACCCAAAGATGCTACTTGTCACAGCCTAGCACTCAGCTTGAGTGATGACAGGACTACAAGTTTCCATTTTACTACTGTTCTTTATAATTTATAAATAGTACGTTATTCTTGATAGTTCACTTTTAGATTCTTTACATACACCAAATATAACTTACGTCCAATTCAAAAAACAGGTCTCTTTCTTTACTTGCGATTTCATAGTCTGCACGGAGGGCCAAATCATGGATTTTGGTACATTCTCCTAAATCCATCCGCTGTGGGAAACAAAAAGTTTACACAATTTAAACAAAAAGTTTAACCAATTTATGGTTTACTAAAATTCTCATCAGGGGCTGGGAAGGTGGCTCAGTGGTAGAGCGCTTGCCTTGCATGCCTGAGGCCCTGAGTTCGATTCCTCAGCACCACATAAGCAAAAACCAAAAAGCCAGAAGTGGCACTGTGGTTCAAGTGGTAGAGGGCTAGCCTTGAGCTTAAGAGCTGAGGGACAGCGCCCAGGGCCAGAGTTCAGGCCCACGACCGGACCCAAAATAAATAAATAAATAAATGAAATGAAATAAAATAAAATTCTGATCAAACAGTCCAGGAATAGAGCACACATCAGGACTCTGAGGCAGAACCTTCGTAATTTCCAGACCAGTCTGGCTTATATAGACTCTGCCGGTGGCTTACACCTGTAATCCTAGCTACTCAGGAGGCTAGGATCTGAGGATCGAGGTTCTAAGCCAGCCCAGGCAGGAAAGTCCATGAGACTCTTATCTTCAATAAAGCACCAGAAAACTAAAGTGGCGCTGTGGCTCAAGTGGTAAAGCACTCGCCTTGAGCTGAAGAGCTCATGGACAGTATCCAAACCCAGAGTTCAAGCCTCACAACTGAAAAAACAAAAGAAATGAAAAAAGTAAGTCAGGTTTTGGCAGTCACAACACAGAACTTAACGCTTGGCTTTCGGTATAGCTCTTTGTATAGTTAAATAAACACAGGGGGCTGGAAAGGTGGTTCAGTGGTAGAGCGCTTGCCTTGCATGCATGAGGCACTGGGTTCGATTCCTCAGCACCACATAAGCAAAAAGAAAAAAGCCAGAAGTGGCACTGCGGCTCAAGCGGTAGAGCACTAGCCTTGAGCTGAAGAGCTGAGCTGAGGGACAGCGCCCAGGCCCAGAGTTCAGGCCCCATGACCGGACCCTCCCCCCAAAAAAACAAATAAATAAAATAAACAGAGAGCTGGGAAGGTGGCTCAGTGGTAGTGCTTGCCTTGCATGCTGAGGCCCTGGGTTCGATTCCTCAGCACCACATAAAACATAAAAAGCCAGAAGTGGCGCTGTGGCTCAAGTGGTAGAGTGCTTGTCTTGAGCTGAAAATCTCAGGGACAGTGCCCAGGCCCAAGTTCAAGCCCCACAATCAACCAAAAATAAATAGCAGAATAGGTGGCTGATTCAGAACCCAAATAAATGCTCTAGCTATCTCTTTACCTGATGAATACCCCTGGACAATATATAGACAATAAACCCACTGACTGATTTGAAAAACAGAAGGCTGTATTACTAAATATGACATAGTACTAGTAAGATCAGTTTGAATTACTACTCTGTGTGTGCGTTCCAGCCGGAAGTGTAGAACAATTTACTACAATCTCTTCCTCTTTTATTTTCTGAGACATAGTCTCACAGCCCCTACTAGCCTTGAACCTTCGATCCTTCGGCCTCTACATCCCTAGTGCTGGTATTACAGTGGTGCACAACCAGGTCCAGATTTGAAGTGTTATTGGTGTGTGTTTGTGTGAATGTGCGCGCGCACACACAAACATGCACATGTGGGCCGGGAAAGTGGATTAGTGGTAGAGTGCCTTGCATGCATGGCATGAGGCCCTGGGTTCCACATCTCAGCACCATCTAAGCAGAAAAAGCTGGAAGTGGTGCTATTGCTCCAGTGTAGAGTGCTAGCCTTGAGCTGAAGAGCTGAGGGACAGTATCCAGGCCCTAAGACCAACCCAAAACAAACAAAAACATGCACTTGTGTAAACCAGTCCTGGGGCTTGTGATTAGGGCCGGGGGTGGTGTCCCTCAAGCTCTTCAGGTCAAGAAAGGTGAGCAGCTGGGCGCCAGTGGCTCGCAACTGTAATCCTATTTACTCAGGAGGCTGAGATCTGAGGATGGAGTTTCAAAGCTAGCCCATGCATGAAAGTCCAAGAGATTCTTATCTCCAATAAATCAGTCAGAAAACCAAAAGTGTTGTGGCTCAAGTGCTAGAGCGCTAGCCTTGAGCTGAAGAGCTGAGGGACAGCACCCAGGCCCAGAGTTCAAGTCCCATGACCAACCAAAAAAAAAAAAGCATTCTACCACTTGAGCCACAGTGCCACTTCCAGCTTTTTAAAGATAAATGTCTCATGGACTTTCCTGCCTAGGTTGGCTTCAAACCACAAGCCTCAGAAGTCAGGCTCCTGATTAGCTAGGATTATATAGGTGTAAATCATCAGCACCTGTCTGGAGTGTTAATGTCAAAATATTATTATTACTATTTTGCCTGTCTGGGAGTTCGAACTCTGGGCCTGGGCACTGTCCCTCAGATCTTCAGCTCAAGGCTAGCACTCTACCACTTGAGCCACAGTGCCACTCCGGCCTTTTCTATTTATGTGATGGTGAGGAATCAAACCCAGGGCCTCAAGCAAGTGAGGCAAGCACTCTACCACTGAGCTACCTTCCCAGCCCCAATGTCAAAATACTGAGTCCAAGCATTCTTATGCTCTGGTCCGCTAAACAATACAACAGCGAATATACTGAGATTCACAGTATCAGTCAAAAAGGTGCATGTTGGGGGGCTGGGAAGGTGGCTCAGTGGTAGAGGGCTTGCCTTGCATGCATGAGGCCCTGGGTTCTATTCCTCAGCACCACGTAGGCAAAAAAAAAAAAAAAAAAGCCGGAAGTGGCGCTGTGGCTCAAGTGGTAGAGCGTTAGCCTTGAGCTGAAGAGCTGAGGGACAGCGCCCAGGCCCAGAGTTCAGGCCCCACGACTGGACCCCCAAAAAAAAGGTGCATGTCGGGCTGGGAAGGTGGCTCAGTGGTAGAGTGCTTGCCTCACATTCATGAGGCCCTGGGTTCGATTCCTCAGCACCACATAAGCAGAAATAGCAGAAGTGGCGCTGTGGCTCAAGTGGTAGAGCGCTATCCTTGAGCTGAAGAGCTGAGGGACCGTGCTCAGGCCCAGAGTTCAGGCCCCACAACAGACCCCCCCCTCCAAAAAGAGGTGCATGTCAAGTCACACACAGCTGTAATCTTAGCTACTCAGTAGTAGGCTGAGACCTGGAGGATCAAGGTTTGAATCTACCTGGGTCAGAAAAATCCGCCAGGTTCCTCTAATTGACCAGCAAAAAGCTGGCTGGAGGTATGGAGGTACAGCACCAGCCATGAGCAAACAAGCCAAAGGGGTACAAAGGCTGAGTTCAAGCCCAAAACTACCCCCCGGCCTCCCCCCCCAACAAAGGTAGGGCCTGACCTGTATTCCTACCTACTCAGGAGGCTGAGATTTGAGGATCATGGTTCAAAAGCCAGTCCAGGCAGAAAAGTGTGTGAAACTCTTATCTCCAATAAACTACCAAAAAAGGCAGAAACATAAATGTGGTCCAAGAGGTAGAACACTAGCCTTGAGCAAAGAAAAAAAGATCAAGGACAGGCCCTCAGTTCCAACCCCAGAACTGTCAGGCATGCACGCATGCGTGCGCGCGCGCGCACACATGCACACGCAAGTACGCAAGCACCCACACGCACACGCGCGTATACACACGAGAGACTCACAAAAGCAGGAATTCTAATAACTTTAAGCTTAAACTACTGTGCTCAAAAAACTTCTGCATTATGATAAACATCATTAACATTAGAGGCAAATTAGAGAAGCTTCAGAAGTGCTTGTTCAGCAGTCTATTATCTATCTCAATTCCCAATCCTCATCCTAAAACCATTAGCAACCCCAAAACTTGTTTATTTCCCACATTTACCAAGTATTTTCTTCATCTGCAAATAGATCTCCTGGTTTCCTCCTCCCTTCTAGCCTTTTCTCTTCCTCTTCCCTGAAAACCACTTGCACACAAGGAACTGAGTTCACTCTAGTATTACCACAATAGAAAACAACAACAAAAAAACCAATACAAAAAAATCCCCAAGGGGCTGGGAAGGTGGCTCAGTGGTAGAGTGCTTGATTGCATGCCTGAGGCTCTGGGTTCGATTCCTCAGCACCACATAAGCAAAAAGAAAAAAGCTGGAAGTGGCGCTGTGGCTCAAGTGGTAGAGTGCTAGCCTTGAGCTGAAGAGTTGAGGGACAGCACCCAGGCCCAGAGATCAGGCCCCACAACCGGACCCCCCCCCCAAAAAAAAAAAAAAAATCCCCAAGCCTATGCTGAGTTGAGTATTTACCCAATTACAAAGACGGGAGTGATATTATCCAGTCCATGGCTCCTCACTTACTTGCTCCCATAGCTTTACTCATACCAATCCAGATACAGTAACAGCAATCCTCCTGCTCCTCTGATCTCTCTTTCTAACCCGTAGCACACTACACCTCTGAACTTAACAGTTGTTTATTTTTTCATTATTCAGAGTTCTTATCAAAGGTCCCAGAGACACTTTTTCTCACCAGTCTACCTAAAACAGTTCACTAGTCTGACGTGGAGACCAGTCCCAGCTACTTGGGAAGGCAGAGGTTGGGAAATTAATGGTTCCAAGGCCAGCCCTGACAAAAGGTTAGCTAGACTTTATCTCAACAAACAAGCTGGGAATAGTAGTCCACACCTGTAATCACAGTTCTTTGGGAGGTATAGACAGGGGGATTAAAGTCCTCCATGCTAGCACACACAAAAAATGAGACGCTACCTGAAAAAAAATCAAACAACAACTAAGGGCCAGGTACCCATCTACTCAGGTGGCTAAGGCAAAGAACAGTAATTTGAGGTTAACTCAATGAAATCTGTAAAACTATCTCCAAATACCCAACAAAGCTGGGCAATGGTAGCTCATGCTGGCTAAGATTCTGAGGCCTATGGTTTGAAGGCAACCAGGGCAGGAAAATTCATGAGAGGCTTATCTTCAATTCCTCAAAAAGGAGGCAGAAGTGGAGCTGTGGTTCACTGGTATATCACTAACCTTGAGCAAAAACTAAGAGCCAGTAATCAGGTCCTTAGTTTAAGCCTGAGTTCCAGCATTAAAAAAAGGTATGGGGCTGGGAAGGTGGCTCAGTGGTAGAGCGCTTGCCTTGCATGCATGAGGCCCTGGGTTCGATTCCTCAGCACCACATAAGCAAAAAGAAAAAAGCCGGAAGTGGCACTGTGGCTCAAGTGGTAGAGCGCTAGCCTTGAGCTGAAGAGCTGAGGGACAGCACCCAGGCCCAGAGTTCAGGCCCCATGACCGGACCCAAAAAAATAAATAAATAAAAAATAAAAAAAGGTATTAGGAGCTGGAATGTGGCTTAGTGGTAGAGTGCTTGCTTGCCTAGCATGCATGAAGCCCTAGGCTTAAATCCTCAGTATCACATGAGCAGACAAAGCCCGCAGTGGCAATGTGGCTCAAGTGGTCGAGTGCTAGCCTTGAGCAAATGAAGCTCAGAGACAATGCCCAGACTCTGAGTTCAAGGACCAGGACTGGCTTGGATGGGGGTGGTGGTGAGGGGAGGAGGAATAGAGCTCCTTGTTGGGGAAGGAAAAGAAGGGGGGAAAAAAAAAAGAGGCCTAGCGCTTGGCTAGATGAAAAATCTAGCATACAATCAACTGAAATTAAACAAACCACCCAAATCTACAAAGGCTGAGGTAAAGTACACTTTTCACTACATCAGAAGACCTATACTACTTCATTGGAACAATCTCACTATAAATTACTACCAACCAGATACCTTTACAGAGCTTTATGAGTGAAAAAAAATGTTCTATAACATAAAATTTTATCAAACGAACTCAATCTTTAGAGATGTACCAACTAGCCGGGCGCTGGTGGCTGAGATCTGAGGATCGCGGTTCAAAGCCAGCCAGGGCAGGAAAGACCGCGAAACTATCTCCAATAAACCACTAGAAAACCGAAGTGGCGCTGTAGCTCAAGTGGTAGAGCGCTCGCCTTGAGCTGAAGAGCTGAGGGACAGCACCCAGGCCCAGAGTTCAAGCCCCACGACCGACAAAAAAAAAAAAAAAAAAGAAATGTACCAATTATTCTATACACCAAGTATCCCAAGAGATCCCCAAACATCCTTACCGTCCCAGCCAGGATGTCATGGGGGCAGCAGTCCAGAAGGTGACTCTTGCAGACTCGGTCATCTGTAAACTTGACCCTCTGTCTGGTTTCGTCTCCTGAAATTCATTTATGGTTTTAAATAAGACAGTATTATAATGTTAACCAAATTAGAGTGTCTGGCACAAAAATTCACCTGGATGATTTGTTGACTATCACTTCTTCTCCCCATCATATACTGAAAAGCTGATCTAAAGATAATTTACAACTGCAGTGGAACACAGACTTTTTTTAAAATAGTAAGTTTATCAAGAAGAATCACCCTTAATGAGATCTGACTCCATCACTGTGCCAAACAAGTCGAGTCAGAAGTAAAAGGCTGAGCACCAAAAGGCCATTAGTCAAAATGCACATGTAGGGATTGATATACTAAAACCCATGTAATCACAGTGCTATGAATCACCACTGATGACCTATAGCTGGCAATTTCCACCAACAAAAGCTATTTTCTGTTACGGACAAATGCACGGGCAATATCTTGCTTAAAATTACACAAAGAAAAAAGCCTTAAAATTCTATCACTGACTGTTAATTCATTTTTCCTACTGTCCTTTCATTCCCGCCCTTAAAAAAGTTGGCACCTGGGAGTCACTTTTTACAAGACAACACCAAAAAAAAAAAAAAAAAAAAAAAAAAGGCAAAAAAAGAACTAGGTTAGTCAATACACACTGTGAGCTCCAACACATACTGTACCCATCTGCATTCTTCAAGAACTCAGCTGCAGAATTTTATGCCCGCTGTTGAAAAGTTTTAAAGGAAAAGTTTTCTTGCCCACACCTGCAGTAAGGAAGTCAGGGGGAATGATACATAAAAGTAAAGGCAAAGTGGTATGTGACAAATTTTAAAGCTAATCTGTGTATAGGACACAGAGCTGTGTAATAGTCAAGGAGGAATATATTTCAGGACTCGCAAGCATCCAGGATTAATGTAGTGTCTTTTTATTGAAAATGTTTTTTTTCTTTCTAAACTACACTTTTAAAGTTATTTGTGAAAAAAGCAAACACTTTTTTGTTATAACAGCTTAGAAATTGGTTGTGACTCACGGCTCGATGAACATGAGGCTTTTCTGCAACTCCCTTGCAGATTGATGTAGGCAGGCAAAGATACACTGAACCTTTATAAATAAAATAGAGGGGCCACAATTGTTCAGTTTGTATGAAATAAAAATATGGGAAGCAATTCAAAAGCAACTCATATACAAAGAAAGCTAAAAGCACTTATTCACCTATGAAATAAAGTGCAAAGAATCTGCACAGCCCTGCGAATGTGCCAGTGTGAAATTACAACTCCATTACTTCGGTAGGAAAGAAAACACAAACCACGGCAGGTATAAGGTTTTCCAAGGGTGCAATGGCTTTCTCCTGAGAGGCCATCGCGATCTTGCGTTCCTCCCTACGGTAACCTACCTAACCGCTGCTGTGTGGCTGGGGGCCGGGGCGGGGGCTGGAAGAGTGAACACTGCGGGAGCCCTCGCGAGAGCAGGTCAGCGCGCGGCTCCCCAGCAGGGGAACGCGCGCGCGCGCCCGGACGTCGAGGCCCTGGGCCCCCTCGGGCGGGGCTTCTTCCCCGAGGACGCCGGGGGAGTTCCGCCGCCCGACGGCGGCCGCCCGGCCGCTCCCAGCCCTTCACCGCCTCCCCGCGCGCGGAGGAGCGCGGCGCCGGCCGGGAGCAAGTCGCAGGAGCCACGCGGCCGGCGTGGCCTCCGGGAGGGGGCCCGCCAGGGTGCCCCGGCCGCGGAGCCCCGGAAGGCGGACCCGCTCACACAAAGGCCCGGCGCCCGCGGGCGGGGGCGCGGGAGGGCAGCGGCGTCGGCGCAGGCGCACTCGGGCGCGGCCCCCGCCGCAGGCCGCCCGGCGGCCTCGTCCCACTCCCGCCCTCAGCCCCGCGCCTGGCCGGCCGCCCCCACTCACCGTCCCGCGCCGTGCCCATGAGCTGGTCGAGGAGGGCTCTCATCTGCGCCTGGGCGGACATGGTGGCCGGCGGGAACGGCCACAACAGCGTCTCTCAGGTGGACGACGGCAGCAGCGACGACGAGAGCCTGGTGGCGTCGGCCGCGAGCCCGCTCGGCCTTTTCGCCGTGGAGGGTGCCGGGAGGAAGTGCGTGGCGCCGCCGCGGCGCCTGCCGGGAAATGTAGTTCGGGGTGGGGCGCTGGCGGGCCGAGGGGCGGAGCTAAAACCCCAGTCCTGGTGACAAGAAAAGCCTTCAACTTTTTCTTGCTAGCCATGAAATTACCCCGACTTGCGTGTTTGCTTTGTCTTTAAAACAAAAATCATCTGAGGAGGCTTGGGGTTTTCTTGGAGGGAGACGTCTTCTCAATTCCAGCTCCTAATGGAAATAGTATGCCGAGAGCCGAAGTTGCCTCTGCCACTGGAATCTGGAAAGATAAAATGTGGGCTTTTGTGACTTACTTGTTCCAGCCCAACTCACTGGGACCCACAGCTGATTCTGAATATGTATGTTTCTGGCTTTTGTTTCTATAAATTGTAGCACTATTGCGGAAAGGCAGAGAGAGATTGAGAAGGTTTCTCTTCCCAATTTTGGCTAAAACTGTAAAAACATCCCCCCCCCCCCGCTTTTATACTTTATGCCCTCTTTTTTTGGTGAAGGCAAGGGACAGGACCTTGAACCAGGGTTTTTTTTGCCAGGGGCACCAATAATAAAATGAGGGTGCTAACTGGGCCTCTCATGACTTTGCAAGAGCAAATGAAATTAAATTAGATCCTATGATGACTCCCTCTGTAAGTTCATGATCTTCCATTTAGAGGGTAAAAGGAAATGTGAAAACAATTAATATTATGTTGCAATGGAGCTATAATGTGCATCTGGGTGTATAAATTGGGCATATTGCTGTTAATTGACAGAATTGGGTTAGTCTGGCTCTTACTGTACCGTCCACATTACCTTCATCTTTTACCTGAAGACAGGAACAAGTTTGCTAGGGAGTTTCCCCATTTTCATTTTCAACTCTCTCCCCCAAAAATACACAAATATTGCCTCCACAAAGCAGGGCATGTGAACTCTTTAATGCAAACTCAATTACAGAATGTCTTTCCATTTGTACTTAGAATAAGACTTGAATTCCTTTCTATAGGTAATTATTCTAAGAAATCTGGTCCCTGTGGGACCATATCTCCTATGGATTCCACTCTGGATAAGACCATTAGGTGCTACTTCTGGTATTAAAACATCTTTGTTACATTGAAATTGGAAGTTTAAAAAGAAAGACATTCTAAGACTAGGAGGTAGGACACTAGTGGGTCATGCCTTTAATCATAGCTACTCAGGAGGTTGAGATCAGAGGATCCAGGTTCTGTTTTTTGTTGGTTATGGGGCTTGAACTCTGGGCCTGGGTGCTTTTCCTGTGCTCTTCAGCTCAAGGCGAGCGCTCTACTGCTTGAGCCACACCACCGTTTCCAGTTTTTTAGTGGTTTGTTGGAGATAAGAGTATCAGGGAATTTCCTGCCCAGGCTGGCTTTGAACTGTGATCCTTAGATCTCAGCCTCCTGAGTAACTAGGATTACAGGTGGAAGCCACTGGTGCCCGACTAGGGTCCAGGTTTTGAAGCCAGCTCTGGAAGACAAATCCAAGAGACTCATCTTCAGCAAAAAGCTATAGCTCAAGTGGCAAAGCATCAGCCTTGAGCAAAAAAGCTAAGACTTAGTTGGGCAGTAGTGTCTCACATCTTTAATCCTGGCTACTCAGAAAATTAAGATTTGCGGATCAGGTTCAAAGCCAGCTCAGGCAGATAACTCTGAGACTTCTAATTGCAATTAACCAGTAAAATGACAGGAGAGTAGGAATGTGGCTTTGTGGTCGAGTGCTTATCTAGCATGCATAAAGCCCTGGCTTCCATTCCTCAGAATCGAAGAGAAAAGAAACAGAAGTAGCTGGGCGCTGGTGGCTCATGCCTGTAATCCTAGCTACTCAGGAGGCTGAGATCTGAGGATCGCGGTTCAAAGCCAGCCTGGGCAGGAAAGTCCGTGAGACTCTCATCTCCAATAAACCACCAGAAAACCACAAGTGGCGCTGTGGCTCAAGTGGTAGAGCGCTTGCCTTGACCTGAAGAGCTGAGGGACAGTGCCCAGGCCCAGAGTTCAAGCCCCACGACCTACAAAAAAAAAAGAAAGAAACAGAAGTGGCCCTGTGGCTCAAGTGGTAGAGCACTAAACTTGAGCACAGAGAGCCTCAGGGACAGTACTCAGGCAAAAAAAAAAAAAAAAGCCAGAAGTGAAAACATGGCTCAAATAGTAGAGCAGCAGGTTCAATGCCAGCCCAGGTAGGAAAGTCCGTGAGACTCATTTCCAACAAACCACTAAAAAAACGGAAATGGTGCTGTGGCTCAAGCAGTTGTAAGTGCTTTCCCATTTCCCACTTCAGCCAAAAAGAGTTCAGGGACAGGGACAAGGCCCTAAGTTCAAGTCCTAGAACCTGCACAAAAACAAATGAAAAGCAACCCTTAAAGCACAGACCAACATTCTGTGAGGAGACACCATGAGTGAAAAGTGCCTGAAGCCAGGCGCCGGTGGCTCCCGCCGGGCACCCTAGCTATTCCGGAGGCTGAGATCTGAGGATGGAGGCTCAACTCTGGGCCTGGGCGCTGTCCCTCAGCTCTTCACTGGAGCCACAGCGCCACTTCTTGCTTTTTCTGCTTATGCGGTGCTGAGGAATCGAACCCAGAGCCTCAGGCATGCAAGGCAAGCGCTCTACCCCTGAGCCTCCTGCCCAGCCCTCAGGAGACTCTTATCTCCAATGAACCACTAGAAGACCACCAGGAACGCGGAGGTGGCGCAGTGGCTCCATGGTAGAGCGCTCACCTTGAGCTGAAGAGCTGAGGACAGCGCCCAGCCGCGATCGGGCCCACGACCCACAAAAAATAAAGAACTGACGTGCTGGGAGCGATGCGCAGCCTGGAACAGAGGATCAGCCAGAGCGAGGCCGGCCGCCGCCGAGGACAGCCTGGGACGCGGGCGGGGCCGGAGAGGGGACCGCCGGAGCGCGCGCGGCTGAGGCCGCCGAAGGCGCTGCTCCCGCGGCTCCGCCGGAGCCGCAAGCCCAACCCGGGCTGCTCCGGAACTTACGTCAGCTGACGGGCGGAACCGCTCAGACCACGCAGGCCAGAAGTGACATAAGGAAGGCGGAACCTGGCAAGAGCCGGGTCCTCATGGGAGGGAGGGACACAGCTGAGGCTGGAGGAGGCGTGGCCTGGGGCGGAGGCGGGGCCACCCGAGGGGCTCGGCTAACCTGGGAGGGGGCGGGCCCGTGGCGGAGGCGGGCCGCCGGAGCCGCGCGGCTCAGGTGGGAGGGGCGTGGCCCAGGGGGAGGGGCGTCTCCCGGGCGGGAGGGGCGTGGCCCGGGCGGGAGGGGCGCGGCCCGGGCGGGAGGGGCGCGGCCCGGGCGGGAGCGGCGCGGCTCGGGCGGGAGGGGCGTGGCCCAGGGGGAGGGGCGCGGCCCGGGCGGGAGGGGCGTGGCCCGGGCGGGAGGGGCGCGGCCCGGGCGGGAGGGGCGTGGCCTGCGGCTGTAGGCCGCCGCGCTCGCGCGGTCTCTGCTCCCGGGTCCCTGGGCCGTGGATCGCTGGCTCCCGGGCTGCAGCTGAGCCGCTTCCGCCGTAGCTATTTGAGGAGGAGCCGGCGGTGCCGCACCCCCATCTCACAGGCGCGTGGGAGCCCGTCCGGAGCCTGCTGAGGTAATCGCCGGCGCCCCGCGCGGGCCGGGCGGGGTCCGGCGTGCGTGCCGGGCGGCGCGGGCGGCGTCCCGCGAGGCCTGCGGGTCGGCGCGGTGAGCGAGGCCGCTCGGACCGCGGGGCGGGCGCGGCCGGGGGCGCTGGGGGCCCGCGTGGCCCGCTGCGGGCGTGCGGGCTGCGGCGCGGGCCCCGCGCGCCTGAGGGACCCTGGGAGCAGGTCCGTAGGACGGAGGGAAAGTCAGGGAGCAGCTGGGCCCGCGGGCGGGGTGGGGCCGGGCCGGGCACGGTGGGGCGTCGTCTAGGGCTCAGCCGCTTTCCGTGCCTGGGGGGGCTACTGATGTGCCAGGTCAGAGGTCACCGCGGTCGCCGCCGCTGGGACCCGCGCCGCCGTCGCGGTCCCGCCGTCCCCGCCCGCCCGCGCCCGTCCTCCCTCCCTCTGGGCGCGGCCTGTGCGCGGACACCGGCCTCCCTTTGTGACCCCGGTTGGACCTCTGACGTTCTGCTCCTGCTGTTACTCGATAAAAGCAATTTCTACCCTGTGGGAGGAGAGTGCTCCGCTCCTGTCATCCCCCCGAAGCCCTGGGCCTAATGTCAATTTAGGGTTCCTGTGAGTCTGATTATAAATAGCGGGGCCTGGGGAAGGGCCTTCCCCTGACGGCCCGAGCCAGTGGGAAACCAGATTTCCCCAAAGAAAATCAAGGTGCTCTTCGCTAGAGAGAAGGCATGGGTGTCAGATAGAGACAGTTGAACTATGTCCTTTTTGTTCTGGTCGGTTGTGGGGCTTGAACTCTGGGCCTGGGTGCTGTCCCTCAGGTCTTCAGCTCAAGGCGAGCGCTCTACCACTTGAGCCACAGCACCACTTCCGGTTTTCTAATGCTTTATTAGAGATAAGATTCTCACAGACTTCCTGCCCGGCCTGGCTTTGAACCGAGATCCTCAGATCTCAGCCTCCTGAGTAGCTAGGATGACAGGCGTGAGCCACCCGCACCTGGCATGTGGATTTTTTTTTTTAAGTGAACACATTAGTAAATGACTTCCAAAAGAAGTCATTCAGTGGACCATATCAAGAATTTGGATATTTATTCAGACATGTGAATCTTATGTTTATTTTCTGCCAGGGTGACTATGCTTAGTCCTTGAGGAGGAAAGGCAAAAAGAAGTGCCTGGCTGGGCACTGGTGGCTCCCTCCTGTAATCCTAACTACTTAGGAGGCTAAGATGTGAAGTTCATAGTTAAAAGCCAGCCTGGGCAGGAGGTCCAGGAGACTCTTATCTCCAATTAACCACTAGAAAACTGGAAGTGGCGTTGTGGCTCAAAGTGATAGAGCTCTGTCTAGCCTTGAGTGTAAAAGCTCAGGGACAGGGCCTAGTCCCAGAGTTCAAGCCCCACAACCTACAAGAAAAAGAAAAGTGTCTGTTCTTAAGTTCCTCACAGGCTGGGGGTAGGTCTCACCAGACTCGGTGAGTCTAGGGCAGCGTGTGAAGAACATAAGACATCAGGGGAAGTGGACATCAGGCATGAGTTGGCTTTTGCTCAAGTTGCTTTTGCTCAAGCCTAGTGCTCTACAACTTGAGCCACAGTGCTACTTCCAGCTTTTTTGTGTATGTGGGACTGAGGAATCAAAGCCAGGGTATCATACTTGCTAGCTAGGCAAGCACTTTACCACTAAGCCACCTTCCCAGCCCATGAGTGGGCTTTGCAGACAGGAGCAAGTAGAGAAAGGAAGCCAAGTGAAGTGGAGAGTGCAGAACAGCAGTATGGGGTGGGGGGGGAGGTAGCGGGACTGAGACCTGAGGCCTGGGGTGAGCCTGGGCCTGGAGAGGGTGCCTCTGGAGAGGCAGACAGGAGCTGTGATGCTAGGATCATAAGACCCAGAATTAACCTAGGTGTTGGCTTGGTTCTGAAGTGGGGCTGACTCATTCCAGAATTGTAAACAAGGCAGTAACATGACCAGGAGATATTTTTGGAAGATTGGAGAAGGCTCCAGAAATCCTAGTAAGAAGGTTTAGCAATATGACTTAAAACAATGGCTATGGGGCTGGGAAGGTGGCTCAGTGGTAGAGCGCTTGCCTTGCATGCATGAGGCCCTGGGCTCGATTCCTCAGCACCACATAAGCAAAAAGAAAAGAGCCAGAAGTGGCGCTGTGGCTCAAGTAGTAGAGCGCTAGCCTTGAGCTGAAGACCTGAGGGACAGCGCCCAGGCCCAGAGTTCAGGCCCCACAACCGGACCCAAAAAAAAAAAAAAATGGCTATGGAAGGAGGGACTGGGTAGAAGAGATAGATGGGTTAGAACCTACAGGACCTGTTAGATGTTTCACATTTATTCAAAATTGGTTTCTATTCAGAACTCACAAACTTATTCTTATTTGTAAAATCCTTCATGAAAGTTAGATGATCAAGATGTTTAAAAAAAGGTGGAGGTGCCGGGCGCCAGTGGTTCACGCCTGTAATCCTAGCTATTCAGGAGGCTGAGATCTGAGGATTGCAGTTCAAAGCCAGCCCGAGCAGGAAAAGCTATGACACTCTTATCTAATAAACTACCAGAAAACCAGAAGTGGCGCTGTGGCCCAAGTGGTAGAGCACTCGCCTTGAGCTGAAGAGCTGAGGGACAGTGCTCAGGCACAGAGTTCAAGCCCCATGACCGACAAAAAAAAAAAAAAACAAGGGGGAGGCATGGTGCAAAATGACTTAAGTAGCGGCTGGGAAGGTGGCTCAGTGGTAGAGTGCTTGCCTTGCATGCATGAGGCCCTGGGTCCAATTCCTCAGCACCACATAAACAGAAAAAGCCAGAAGTGGCGCTGTGGCTCAAGTGGTAGAGTGGTTGCCTTGAGCTGAAGAGCTGAGGGACAGTGCCCAGGCCCAGAGTTCAAGCTCCACGACTGACAAAAAAAAAAAAAAAAAAAAAAGGCTTAAGTAGTAAGGCTCCAGCCATGAGCAACAAAGTTGAGCAAAGTACAAAGCCCAGAGTTCAAGCCCCACAACCAGCAACAACAACAACAAAGGCTGGAGCCAGGTACCAGTGGCGCAAAGAGAAAAAAGACCAAGTGTGATAGTACACACCTAAAATCCCAGCTACTTAGGAGGCAGACACTCAGAGGATCAAGACCAAGCCCAGGCTGGCAAAAATTTATCCAGACTCCATTTAAATAAACAAGCCTGGCATGGTGATGTGTCTATAATCCCAACTATGGAACAGTATAACTAGGAGATCCGTATCTGACCCAGTCAGAAATTGGAGACCCCATATGAAAAACGGAAAGGAGCTAGAGATATGCCTTAAGTGGCAGAGTCCTTAATTCAAATAGTAATACTACCAAAAAAAGTGGTCAAGTCAGAGTTATACTTTATCTTCTTAAGAGATTTTTCCTCCGCTGTCTAATGTAAGGACTCATTGATAGTGTGAGCATCACAATAAGTGATATCTGCCTAGATTCAGGAAAGAAACTTATTCATGGACAAATTATAAAATTTGTTTTGGATAATAGCTGCTCGTCTGGATGCCAGTCAGTGTTCATTCCCAGCTTATATTGAGGAGATGCCATCCTTGGTTACTTTAAAAGTCTCAGTTACAGGCCTGGGAATGTGGTTTAGCAGTAGAGTGCATATCTAGCATGCTTGAAGCCCTGGGTTTGATTCCTCAGTACCACATACACAGAAAGAGCTGGAAGTGGCGCTGTGGCTCAAGTAGTAATATGCTAGCCTTGAACAAAAGAAGCCAGGGACAGTACCCAGGCTCTGAGTTCAAGCCCCAGAACTGATAAAAAAAGAAAAAAGTCTCAGTTACGTAAAGGAAAGGAACTGTGTTGAGGTTTTTTTGTGCTGACTGTATGTACTGTGATACTTTTGGCTCTAGAGAGCCATGACCTTAAAATTTGTTCTCATTTGAAAAATTATTGTGGGCTTCTTTTTTGTATTGAGATTATTTTTGGTGAAGGCCAGAAATAGTTATTCACTGCAAACAACTGAACACTGTAGTTGTTACTGTCTGATATCTGCTTGCTAAGCTGAAATATCCTACTTGGTTACTGTGGGTGTCTCAAGCATCTGGTGTTCAGCTGCTGTCAATGCATGGATCAGCACTGGCAGTGGCCCAGACCACTTACTATTGCTCAAAGTCTCACTCACCATGGAGCCAAAGGTGGCCTTGAACTTGCTATATAGGCCAGGCTGGCCTTGAGTTTTACAAACATAAATTAGCTCAAAGGAATGTTATAATTTTTAAGATTTTTAAAACCAAAAAACAAGAATTTAATAACGGAGAGAAGATTTACTATTAAAGCAGCCTGAAGTGATACTTTCTGCAAAAGTAGTTTTTAGCCAGATGTGGTTGTGTAAGCCTGTGATCCCAGCACTCAAGAGCAGAGGCAAGAGGGTGGCAGGTTGGGGGACTGTCGGGGCTGCACACACCGGGAGACCCGGTCTCAGAACCAGGGACGGGGGTGTGGGAGGGAGCTTGCCCGAAATGGTTTACCCCTAGCACTGCGAAACACAAATACTTCTTTCACCAAATTTCTGTAGTTCAGAAAAGAACCTCTACTTCCAAGATACCTTTGGAATTACTAGTTATTTGTTCTGACAGTTTTCATTCTGCCCTCCTGGGGGTTTTATCCTTTTTCTATAAAACAATTAGAATGAGGATTTTACTATCTGTTCTCTCTACTTCAGTAACTATTCTCAGAACCCTTGGAGAAAAGGGAGGTACCTTTTATTGAGGTCCATAATTTTATTGAGTTGCACAATTTTATTGTTCCTCTGCACACTTAACCTGTGAGCTCCCTGAAGGACAGGTGTGCCAGTGCTGGTAGCCTTGAACTGAGCAGTGACCCAGTGGTTTCCCTATAGGTCTGTAGTAAAAAAAAAACTATACATAGAAATCACCCTTCACATCACAGTTTTTACCATAACGGAGCTGGGATGTAGCTTGGGCCACCTGAAGCGTTGTCTAGTACTTGGAGAATGTTAATACTTTCTTTGCATCGATGAGCTAATTTTTTCCCCCCTAAGTGCTCTTGGGAGTAGGTAAGACACATCTCCAGTGCTCTTGGGGTTTTTTTGTTGTTGTTGTTTGTTTTGGACACAAGGTCTTGCTCTGGGTCAAACCAAGTGGTTAAGGCTGGCCTCAAACTCTTGATCCTCCTGTCTCTGACTCCCAAATAGCTAAGATTTGAGGTGTAAAACATAATGAATGAGCAAATTCCTTAAACCTGTCTTTTTTGGGGGGTTCATTATGGGGCTTACACTCAGGACCTGAGTGCTGTCCCCTGAGCTCTTTTTTGCTCAAGGGTAGCACTCTGCACTTTGAGCCACAGCACCACATCCAGTTTTCTGGTGGTTCATTGGAGATAAGAGTCTCACAGACTTTCCTGCCTAGGTTGGCTTTGAACCGTGATTCTCAAATCTCAGCCTTCTGAGTAGCTGGGTTACGGTATGAGCCACCAGCGCCGGCTGCAAGCTTAGTGAAAGTGAAATGGCTAGCTGTGGCCGTGCTGATCTTGAGACCTTTGTAACTGCCCTATGCTCTACTAGCTGAGTCGAGTTTCTAGGAAGAAAGTCTTAACCTTGGCATCCTGTAAGCCTTAGGGGATTTATGATCATCTATTTAATTTCCCAAGCCTTTCCTCTTCTGAGTTAAGTCCTCATGCACCCCACTTTGACCTTGGAGGATGCCTAACAGTAATAGTATTGTCCTTTTGGGATAGAAGTCACCACCATGTGGTGTGGCCTGAGTGAGCCTTGGTGTACTCTGGCATTTGCTTTGCACTGTTTAGGGTCCCATTATAAATGAGTTATGCTGTATTTCCCCCTCATCCCCTTCCCCCTCATTCCCATGCCCCCTCAAGAAAGGGAGGGTACCATTATAAATGAGTTATGCTGCCGGGCGCTGGTGGCTCATGCCTGTAATCCTAGCTACTCAGGAGGCTGAGATCTGAGGATCGCGGTTCAAAGCCAGCCTGGGCAGGAGAGACCGTGAGACTCCTATCTCCAATAAACCACCAGAAAACTGGAAGTGGAGCTGTAGCTCAAGTGGTAGAGCACTCGCCTTGAGCTGAAGAGCTGAGGGACAGCGCCCAGGCCCAGAGTTCAAGCCCCACGACCGACCAAAAAAAAAAAAATGAGTTATGCTGTATCTCCCTTCATCCCCTCCCCCCCCGTCCTCTCCCCCCTCCTCCCCCCCATCCTCTCCCCCCTCCTCCCCCCGCCCCCCAAGAAAGGGACATCATTGTAAAGAGTAGTTTTCAGGAACCCAGTAATTATCTTGAAATAGAGCATTTTAGGGGTCTGGCCACTTTCAGTATGTCTTCAAGTTACCACAAAACTCCACTATTACTGATTTTCTCCCCCAAATACACAAAACAAAACAAAACAAAGAATTCTTCTGTTTGGAACCAGATGGCTTTGAAGAATTGACCAGAGCTGCCTGTGGGGAGATTGGTTCTTCCTCTTGAACTTGGTGTGAACCGCTAACCTCATTTCCCCTTGTTAAAGGTTTTCTGTACTTTCTTTTACTGTAAGTGTTGTTTGGATGAAAAGATGCTGCAAAAGTAGTAGAGAGCTACTTGCAACTTCTCTGTCCCTGGATGGTAACGTCTCATGTAAGAGGCAGGAGCCAGGCCGGCCTTACTCCCCCAGCCTCCAGTGTTCACATGTAAGACGCAGGAGCCGGGCCGGCCTTACTCCTCCAGCCTCCAGTGTTCACATGTAAGACGCAGGAGCTGGGCCGGCCTTACTCCTCCAGCCTCCAGTGTTCACATGTAAGAGGCAGGAGCTGGGCCGGCCTTACTCCTCCAGCCTCCAGTGTTCACATGTAAGACGCAGGAGCTGGGCCGGCCTTACTCCTCCAGCCTCCAGTGTTCACATGTAAGAGGCAGGAGCTGGCCAGCCTTACTCCCCCAGCCTCCAGTGTTCACATGGGCTGTGCAGGCCTGAGTCTCACCTACAGCCCTTCAGCTCAGGTAGATTCTGTGAGGACAGCACCACAGTTAAGATGCAGACCTGCCCGTGGAGATAGCAGGGCTCTGCGCAGCACGCCTCACGCTCCCATCCTGGACTGCAAAGCGTTTTCTTCAGTCCTGGGCACGTTGAGTTCTCACCGCTTGCCTTTCTTTTTTTTTCTGGCTTAAACTCAGGGCAGGGCCTCATGATTGGTTTGGCCTTTTTTTTTTTTTTCACTCCAGGTTGGTTCTCTACCACCTGAGTCACAGCTCTACTTCCAGCTTTTTGCTTGTTAAATGAAGATAAGTTCTGCCATCACTGGCTTCTAATCACAATTCTCAGATCTCAGCCTCCTGAGTAGCTAGGAGGACAGATGTGAGCCACCAATGCCCAGCTTCTTTGCCTGTCTTACAGTACTGCCTTACCTGTCCTATAGCCCTCACAGGGGTTTGCTCTTAGAAATCCAGCTCAGCTAGAAGAACTCACGTTGAGCGAGGTAAGCCACGAGCAAAGAGACAAATGGCACATGGTCTCCCTGATAAGTGGATGTTAAATCCAAAATGTTAGGTGATACGACAAAATTAACAAGACTTAAGAAACAAAGGACTTCCACTCATCTGGTCAAATCACTACTAAATAACCCCATGCTGCTGATCACATGTATGGTATATAAGTGCACACTGGAGGGAAACCAGGAGGATGACACAGAACTAGAGCAAATCAGGAAAAATATACAACAGCGGGACCCATCAGCTGCACTGGACCAAAATGAACTAAGCAACACAATGGCAGCGATGGGAGGGAGGGAACAAGTGGGAAAGAGGGAACAGCTGATGCTATGCAAAACAAAAGAAATGTACATACCACCCAATGTGGAAGAGATAACTGAAGCTCATAGAACTCATAAATATTATAGACCGTGATAGACAATTTGCCCCATGAAAGTTAGAATGTATGTGAAATTTGGGAAATTATGTAACCACTAATCACAATAAAAAATTTAAAGAAAAAAAAATGTCTAGCTCAGATGGTGTTTTGGAGAAATGAAAAGCTAGTTGCAGTTTACTGTCATGTTTCATGAGGGAGGAATCAGCCTTACCGCCCGTCTGTTTCGTATGTTTTTGGTGTAAATGACATTTGATTTGATTTGAGCCTGTGATTCTACTTGGGGTTTCACTCTTCCTTTTCTCCCAGCACCCAGGCCCAGAGTTCAAGCCCCATGACCGACAAAAAAAGGGGGGGCTTCTGTGCTGCACACTACCAGCGGCTTCACTACAATTCTAGCTACTTACCAGGCTGAGATCTGAGGAGATCTGAGGATCCAGGTTCAAAGCCAGCCTGGACAGCAAGGTCAATGAGACACTTACCTTCAGTTAACCACTAAAAGTATGGAAGTAGAACTGTGACTCAAGTGGTAGGACAGTAGCCTTGAGCACAAAATCTCAAGGGCCCAGACCCTTAGTGGTAGCCCCAGAACCCACGTATCAAAAAAAAAAGGGGGGGGTGGCCTGTCCTCCCTCTGCTGTGTTTCCCTTCAGGCTGACCGGTTTGGAAGCCAGAACTGTAGTCATCCCTGAGGGCTGATGAGGCATGAAATACAAGGGCAGACTCCACCCACCTACTCCTGGGAGTCACCAGGAGAGCTGTGATGGCACCTGGGCCTCCAGCCCCCACGGAGGGGCTCTTGAGTTAGTCTGGGATGTGGCGTTGTCCCAGCGTAGAGCCGAGGCTGAGAAGCAGCACGGCTGTGGCACAACCTGACGTATTCGTTCACTGGCAGCTTGAGGTGTGTTTGCCAATGGCTTTCTGATCCCATAGATCCCCTGGGCGTATGAAGACACAGATCCCCGTCCCTGCCGAGTGACGAGATGTGCCAGCAGCTGGTCAGGAGCTCCTGCTGACGTGCTCCAGGTAAGGCTGGGGAATGGGCTGAGCGGGTGGAGGGGGAACAGTGTTCTTGCATAGTGCGTGAAATTGAAGGGCGGTTGCCTTTCTGCCTGTAGATACGCTGAATGGTGGCAGTTGGAGATAGCCAAGGCCCAGAGAGCCTATTAGGTAATGGTGGTTCACAGATGGCTTTCTGGCTTCTCATTCAGCTCTCATCGATGCTTTAACTGTTTGAAGTGTCCCTTCTTTGCACATGGGGTAGCTAGATTTGCTGATTAAAGAGCTCTCTTGTCCTCCAAGCCCTGGCCCTTTCCCCTGGACTTTCAGATCTGGTAGCTGCTGGCCTTTCCCCTGGTCCCCTGGTCCAGATCTCCTCTGCCACACCTTGCCATTCCCATTTCAGGGCTGGCTTAATGAGGCTCCTGGTATGACTCATTGTTTGATTTTCCTGTGTTCACTTCATCACCTTGGATAGGATCACCTTTCCCAACCTTCAAGTAATTAAAACTCATGCCTCAGCATTCGAGAGTACACACTGGTTTATTTTTAATTGTGATAAAAGACATGTACCATGTGATGCATGCATGTCACCCCAACACATACGAGGATTGTGAGTTCGAGAGACCCTTGTAAAGCAGTGCATGTGCGCGCGCACACACACACACACGCACACACACACACACGCACACACACGCACTGTTTCCTATTTGATTTTCTCTCCCATAGCCACCCACAGTCCAGTGGCAAGCGGGCCCTGGGCCAGGATAGAGTATGTGTCCCACGTGGCTGACCACCTTCCTCCTGCATGCCGTGGCTGCTTAAACATACTTTCGTTTGTCATTTGTCTTTTATTTTTATTTTATTTATTTATTTTTTTTTGGGTCCGGTCGTGGGGCCTGAACTCTGGGCCTGGGCGCCGTCCCTCAGCTCTTCAGCTCAAGGCTAGCGCTCTACCACTTGAGCCACAGCGCCACTTCCGGCTTTTTTCTTTTTGCTTATGTGGTGCTGAGGAATCGAACCCAGGGCCTCAGGCATGCAAGGCAAGCCCTCTACCACTGAGCCACCTTCCCAGCCCCTTTTATTTTTTTTTTACCATTAGTAAGAAAAGCTAGTGTCAGAGTATGTTAGATTCTGTTGTAAGTGGTTTATATGCATGCTAATTTAATCCTTAAAAGTAGATGTTGTATCCCTTTTACTGATAAGGAAATAGAGGTAAAGACAAATTAAATCCCAGTCCCAGGTCACACAGGCTAAAGGTAAGCTTGACCTCAGAACCCATCTTCAACTAAGATTCCTTGATCGTCAAGTCCATGTGTGAGAATGTAGGTTTTACCAAACTCTTACTTGGGTAGCCTTTTGCGGAGAAGCTGGCCAGATGTGCCCAGCAGATGCAGGCATGACTTAGTTAATGATTAATGTGTGAGTTGCAGTCAGCTGCAACTACCACATGTAGATGAAGCCGGCAGGAAACACCAGTGTGCTAGGTGTAGAGTATTTCCTGCTGGCTCTGCACAACTGGTTTGCCTTTCCTTCTGCGTTCCTTAGAGACCCTAAATAGAATCTGTTGATTCTGCCATCCTACACATTTACATAGTGTTTTATTTTCCTTGTGGTATTTAGTCACTGAATACAAGGCTTCTTGGTAGTTAGGTAAACACTGTACCATTTGAACTATGTATTTTCAATCCTTTGTCTTTATTTTGGATTTGAGGTATGGTTATACTAACTTTACCAAGTCTGGCCTCAAATTCATAATCCTTCTTTCAGCTCTTGAATACACCACCATGCCCCGCTGATAGAGCTTTTGTCTGAGGGGCTGATGGTTCAGAGCTGCTTTGTGCAGTGGGGCAGCTGGCCTTAACCACCTCTTGTTTTATTGATGCAGTGATCATTAGTTCATGCTTGGAATATGCACAGGATGACGGACAATAAGGATTTAGAAGCTGAGAACCACCCCTTGAAGAATGAAGGCAGAAAATCACAAGAAAATCTGAAAAATCAGTTGAAAAATGAAGACCATTTGAAAAGCAAGCCTCTGCAGTCCAGGCTCTCGCGCTGCCGGGCAGTGGCCTTCTTCCTCTCCTTGTTTATCTGCCTTTCTGTAGTGTTTGTGGTCTCATTCCTTATCCCATGTCCAGCATCACTTCAGATGTGGAGGATTGATTACAACGCTGCCGGTGAGCCTCAAAGGGTCTCTCCTCTTGCCAGCTTCCAAGCACTCTCCTGGGCAGCAGGATCTGTCTGACAGGCAGTACTTCATCACTCAGTCACTGGTGACTATGTATCCAAGGCATTCTGGGATTTATAAAGAGAGCTGTTGATTTGGGGGGGCAGTACAGAGTATTAAGCCACACACCCCCAGTCCTTAGGGAACTGTGGAGCAGCCTGAGTACAATGGAAGTACTGCTTGGTTGGGTAAATCAGCACAAGTGGCCTGTTGCTCACATTTCAATGAAAGAAATCAAATGGCTAAGGATTTAGAGATGGCCGTGTAACATGTGAAAAACATGCAGCAGTTACGTTGATGTGCTCTGGCCAATATAAAACTGCACCAAAGTGCACCTTCCTTTCTCTTCCCCAAAATCAGTGCTTGTGAAAGAAAAGCAATTGAATTGGCCTTACTTGGTCTCCTGGGAAACAGCATGTTCCCAGTCAAGCTGATGGTGAGTGTAAGAGGTTTCAGATCTTTGTACACTTTCCCTTTTCTGGTGGGGTAAGCTGGTCCTGGGGCTTGAACTCAGGGTCTGGGCTCTGTCCTGGAGCCTCTCTGTGCTCAAGGCAGCGCTCTACCACTTGAGCACAGCACCACTTCTGGCCTGAGCTGGCTTTGAACCTCAGTCTTCAGCCTCCTGAGTATTAGGGTTGCAGGCATGAGCCACCAGCGACCGGCTTGCCATCTCCTCTCTGTGCCTGCCAGTAGCTAGAGTTACAAGCACACACCGCCATGCTTGCCCTATTGGAATGGGGTCTTACTATTTTTTGTCCAGGCTAGCCTTGAATTATAGTCCTCCCAATTTCTGACCTATCCCTGCCTCAACCAGCAAGCATGTGCCTTCACACTTGGCTTTTATCTAGACTTTTAGTGTTCATAATGCTTGATGGTGTTTAGTGTACATCTTGCTCATCTTTTATTAAATGTATATCAGAATATTCTCTTTTTTCTATGTGTGCTGGTTCTAGGACTTGCACTGAGGGCTTGGATGCTGTCCTTGAGCTTTTGTGCTCAAGGCTAGTACTCTACCACTTGAGCCAGAGCTCCATTTCTGACTTTTTGTGATTGATTGGAGATAAGAGTCTCACAGACTTTCCTGTCTGGGTAGGCTTTGAACTGGGATCCTCAGACCTCAGCCTCCTGAGTAGCTAAGATGACCTGGCTGCAGGTTATGGATCTTTCAACATTAAATATGACTTCACTATTAGTTCAGAGAGATTGTTCTTATCATTAAAGGGTATTGGATTTTGTCAGATGCCTTTTGTATGTCTACAGGTATGTGGTATTCTGTCACATGGAGTATTAGTTGATTTTACATTTGTTGAACCAATGCTGGGTTCCTGGGATGAAAAGCATTAGATCAATAGTTGAGAATCTTTTTTACAGGACAGTACTAAGAATTAAACTTAGGGCCTCGTGCTTGTTACTACTAGTAGAGCAAGTACTCTACTAATTGAGCTAATATTTCCCCTTCCCCATTTTGCTTTTACTCTTGCTGACTTTGCCCAGAACTACCTCAGACTGCAATCTTCTTACCTCTGGCCTTCTTAGTAGCAAGGATTATAGGCATGTACCCCTATGACCAGCTTTTTTTTTTTTTTTTCACTACTGGGGCTTGAACTCAGGGTCTTGAACTCTAATTTTGGCTCTACCACTTAAACCACACCTCCATTTTCAGCTTTTTCCAGTGAATTGGACATAAGAGTCTCAGAGATTTGTCTGCCTAGGCTAGTTCTTTGATCCCTAGAGCTTAGCCTTCTGTGTAGTAGGATTATAAAGCAGAAGCCACTGGTGCCCAGCTTCCAGCTGATTTTTAATAGGGTCTTACTAACTTTTGCCTGGCATGACCTCAAAATCTGGGATTATAAGGATGAGCTACCATGTCTAGCTCTGTTTTCCTTTTTCTGAATATTTTAAATAAAAATTGATTGAATCTGTGGAGTCACACAAAGGGCCATCTGCCCCCACATTTTGCTTATCCATCCATCCATTAATGTACATGACAGTTTCTACTTTGGGGCCATTGTGGATAACGCTGCTATACACAAGTCATATGAATCCTTGCTTTGAATTTTGGCAGATAAGAACCAAAGGAACGCAGCGTCTGGAACACATGCTAATTAACTCTTCTAAGAAGCTGCCAGACATTCTTTACGGTGTTGCACCTTTTTACATTCTCACCAGCAATGCACAAGAGTTCCCAGAACAACATTTGTTTTCTGCTTTTGTTTTTGTTTTCCTGAGTACAGAGTCATAATGGGTCTGAAAAGATATCTTAAGGTTTTTTCATTTCCCTAATTACTAGTGATGATGAACATCTTTTTATGTCCTACTGGGCCTTTGCATCTCTTCTTAGGAGAAATGTTTATCAAATCCTTTACATAGTTTTCAACTGAATAGCTGAATTTGCTGTTTAGGATAGCCTTAAGATATTCTGGGTTGGAAGTGGCACCATGACTCAAGTGGTAGAGCACTTGCCTTGTGCTAAAGAGCTCAGGGACAGCACCCAGGCCCAGAGTTCGAGCTCCACCCCTCCCTCACACACACACACACACACACACACACACACAAAGAGTGATCCCTGTCCTACATATGATTTGTAAATACTTTCTTCTATGTCATGGGTTATCTTACCCTTTTTTGGCGGCGGGGTGGGGAGGGGTTGGGGGGATCAGTTGTGGGGCTTGAACTCTGCCTGGACACTGTCCTTCAGCTCAAGGTGAGCCACAGCACCACTTCTAGTTTTCTTTTTTTTTTGGGTCCGGTCGTGGGGCCTGAACTCTGGGCCTGGGCGCTGTCCCTCAGCTCTTCAGCTCAAGGCTAGCGCTCTACCACTTGAGCCACAGCGCCACTTCCGGCTTTTTTCTTTTTGCTTATGTGGTGCTGAGGAATCGAACCCAGGGCCTCAGGCATGCAAGGCAAGCGCTCTACCACTGAGCCACCTTCCCAGCCCCCTTTTTTTATTTTTGAGTCAAGATCTTAATCTATAGCCATACCAGCGTCAATATGCCTGATCTTGTCTGATCTCAGAAGGTGGTCATTTAAGTCTTTTTGGTGAAAGGAAGCAGCAAGCACTTAGGCCTAGGACTCTCTCCTTAACAAAAGGTGTACAAAAGACCTTTTCATGGTACCAGAATGTCTGTCTTGTTCCTTGGTAGTGCACTTAGGCAATGGAGATGAGGATCTTGAGTTCACAACCAGCCTGGCCTACAGAGCAAGATTCTGTTATGCACACACACATGTACGTGCACACAGAAAGGAAGATGTTCCCATTTTCATCCTCATGAAGATTTGCTGCACTTCTGAAGAGAAACTTTGGAAAATGTATCTTCCTAGTGAGGAATATGCTGCTTTTGTTGGGTGACAGGTTTCAATGCACAACAGACTCCAGAACAAAAGTGCGTGGTGCATGGCCTTCCCCGCAGACAGTCATACCCTCGGCAACACTCTGGATTTTTTTTTTTCAGTCATCTACGACTTTCTGACCATGGAGGACATAAACAGGGACAGGATTCAAGATGTTCTCTTCCTTTATAAAAACACCAACAGCAGTAACAATTTCACCAGATCCTGTGCTGGTGAAGGTAATTTTTACTTTATCTGAACAAGGGACTCTCTGTGGGAAGGGTCCCCCTCCCTTCTATGGTATTTGGGTCTGGCAGAGGTGAGATGGCCGGCTCCCCTCCCCACCCCACGGGGCCAAGGCCATCACTACCCCAGGTAGGTGAGGATTAGGGAAGTGGGTGCTGGCCCAGGCAGGGTCAGTGAGGACAAGAGCTGACAGTGTGGCTAGGCCAGCCTGACCGGCCACTGCGGTTTTCCTTCTAGGCTTTTCCACCCCCTGTGCCTTTGTGGCTGCTGTGTCTGGGGCCAATGGTGAGATCCTCTGGGAGAGGCCTGTGGCCCAAGACGTGGCCCTGGTGGAGTGTGCTGTGCTGCAGCCATCAAACAATGAGGCGTCTTCTACCTGCATCTTTGTAGGAAGACCTGGTTCTCTCATTGCAGTTGACCTATTCACAGGTATGCTGCCAAGGAAGATGTTCTTACTGGGGAGACTTCCAGGTGTGACTACTGGGAATTCACACACCTCAGGTCCTCCAGCTGCTTGGCATGTCACACTCGTGTCTTACGATGCCCAGTTTGCATGTTTCAGTTACATGAGGCCATCGGCATCACCCACATGGGCAAACAAGTGAAGAGGAGATGCGTAATGGCTAATCTGGCCCTGTTGGTGCTTGTACTCTGGGGCTCAAGTTGGCTGAACCTTAACAGGCCGTATGTGAGCACCAGGGGAAGAAAGCATCGTGAGAAGTAACTTGGAGATGGCCCAGAGCCATAAGGCATTCTGTGCCTCGATTTATAGATTTTGGTATTTCCCTTACATGCTGTTGTTTTGCTTACATATGTATTAGCCCAAGTGTGTGTGGTGCTGGGATCCATGCTAGCAAGTACTCTATCACTGATCTACGCATCCAGACCAAAGTCTCGGCTGGGTGGCTCACACCTACAATCCTAGGCTGAGATCCGAGGATCATGGTTTGAAGCCAGCTCAGGCAGGAAAGGCCGTGAGACTTTTTTTTTTCTTTTTTGTCAGTCATGGGGCCTGAACTCTGGGCCTGGGTGCTGTCCCTCAGCTCTTCAGCTCAAGGCTAACACTCTACCACTTGAGCCACAGCGCCACTTCCAGCTTTTTCTGTGTATGTGGTACTGAGGAATCGAACCCACATTCCCAGCCCTAGGCCCTTTTTGGGGCATTCCCCTTCCTGAAGCTAAAGGATGTACCTGTGTCTGGAACCAAGGCAGGTTCCTGGGGGTTTCTAGCCCTGGCAGGGTCAAGTCCTGTCCCCTGAGTAGGCAGGCAGTCATTGGCCAAGTCTCCTGTAACAGACCTTGCTCAGGACCTGCTAATAGGAAACTCAGACACGAAATAAGGAGAGACTAGCAGCTACCATTTTCTTGTGGGCACTCAGTCGCTTTTCACTCGGGCGTATTGTATCTGTCTTTCCTCAATGAAGACCGTTAGCTGTGCTTGCTAATGACCCTGTTTCTGAGCGTGCAGCATGCTTGTGGGTGGATCTGCCATGCAGTTGCCACAGGATTCAGGGCCACAAGCAATGGTGATGTGCCTGGTTCCAGGGAACACCCTGTGGAGCCACCCCAGCAACCTCAGCGAGAACACCTCCGTCCTGAGCCCTCTGCTCCAAGTGCCTGATGTGGATGGCGATGCTGTTCCAGACCTACTGCTCCTCACCCAGGAAGGGAAGAAGGTGAGGATCAGCACGGCTCTCCTCCCAGGTGGCCCAGGCCCATCCGCTTCCTCCCAGAGATGATTTGTGTCTGACCACTTGTCTGGACATTCAGCTGGGGCTCTGTACAGACAGTACACTGGACTGCCCGTCCCTAGAGGCAGCTGTGAGCCCTCCCAGAAAGTAGGGCGGGATTTAGCCCAGGGCCTCCCTTTACCTCCTAAGCAGGGTATGCAACACAGATGCTCCCAGTCACTCGCTCTTATTTCAAGGCATTCTTGCCCCCAAAACCAAGAGAATTGGATGCCTTTTTTCGACAGCTCCTAAAATGCCCCTCTCCCCACTGTGGATCCAGGTCTATCTCTCCCCTGCTGCCCTTTATCACTGCAGGTCAGCGGAGACATCTATTCACTCAACACCGGGCACCAGATTGGCCACAGAGGTGCCCTTGATGTGAATGGAGACCATGGGGCCCTTCTCCACATCACCTGGACAGGTGCACACTACATCCTCCTGCCCTGCGGTACGTCATCTGCCACACACCTGGGACAGACTTTTCTCTCAAAGCCATGTGGGGGGCTGGGAAGGTGGCTCAGTGGTAGAGCACTTGCCTTGCATGCCTGAGGCCCTGGGTTCGATTCCTCAGCACCACATAAGCAAAAAGAAAAAAAACCGGAAGTGGCGCTGTGGCTCAAGTGGTAGAGTGCTAGCCTTGAGCTGAAGAGCTGAGGGACAGTGCCCAGGCCCAGAGTTCAGGCCCCACAACCGACCAAAAAATAATAATAATAATCAAAGCCATGCGGGTCTTTTTTTTTTTAAGTAGTTGTACAGAGGGGTTCCAATTGTGAGTATAATGCCTCTTGGTTAGTGTCACCCCTTCCTTTGTTCCCTCCCTCTTTTTTCTTGCCCTGGTTACATAGTTAATTTTTTACATAATTTACACAGACAGTGTGTCCCCACACACACACTTTGCCCACCTCCTAAGCTATGTTTCCATTTCCTGGTATTCATTTTAATAAACGGTAAATTAGTTATTCAGAAGGGTCGTGCTTTGCACACTTCCCCTAAGTATACTTGGTCTGTTTATGTGTAAATGTATCGAGCCCTATATGTGTTGTCAAGTGGTGCTGTTCTTACCTAACAGGCACTTGGGAGAAAACTGTTTCTGAGGGAGGCTACTCCTGCTGTTCTGTTCTGTGTGTTTATTCTGTCAGTGCTCAGGGCCCCCACTCTTACTTGCCATTCTTGCTCAGGACTGGTGCTCTACTACGGGAGCCACACCTTTACGTCCTGCTTTGTTGTTGTTGTTTGTCAGTTGGATATAGACTTTTTTGCCTGGGTTGGCTTTGAACTAAAATCCTCAGGTCTCAGCCTCTTGATCAGCTAGGGTGACAAGTGTGAGCCAGCGCCACATAGCTCCTTGCCTGTGTTGAGAGTCGACACACACTGGCGGTCCGGGGTGCATGTGGCACTGCGTGAGCCTGGAAGTGGGAACAACTGATGACGTTAGCTCTTGTGTGTTTTGAATAGTGAGCTTTCTCTGTGGCTGCTCCGTGAAGGGTCTTTATGAGAAGGTGACCGGGAGAGACGGCCCGTTTACGAATGACCCCCTCTGGGAGAACATGCTCAATACCTCTGAACACAGGAGGCTTCTGCACAGGTTGGTCTGACACAGAGAGCTCCGTCCTACAGGCCATGGGCCTCAGTCAGGTATGATCTGTATGGACATGGGGCAGCCAAGCAGGCACTGGGCCTTGCTGGATGTAGGCCACGGCGCCTCCAGCCACAGGAAGTGGGTAGATAAAAGCCAGGTAGCGCAAAGGGGCGGGAGTGCTGACAGGACTCCCGTCCTCATCCCCCTGCCAGCTCTCAGGATAGGGACGGGGAGGGAAGGCTGTGGCGTTGGGCCCCACAGGAAGCCACTCTGCCGCCGAGGCTTATCCCAAAGTCCCTGAGCACTTTTCTCCCACTGTCCTCACCCAGCTCTGGAGAAGTCCGCCACCTGATGAATGTCCAAGGGAACGCTGGTCAGGACGTGCTCCTTGTGACTTCCGAGGCCTGCGTGCTGCTGGATGGGCAGGAGCTGACCCCCAGGTGGACCGTCAGTGGAGCCCGGATCCTGAGGTACAGAGTTTTTCTCCAGAGCTGGGCAGTGGTTGCAGACCACACATGGGTCAGCCTCTCCAGAGTCCCCAGCCCACGGGCCCGCTGGCACAGCAGATGGCACCTCCACCGGCAGAATCTCACCTGTCCTTGGCCTCCGGGTCTGGGGGCCAGCTCCTTGTCCTGGGGCTGGATGTGGCAGCCCCAGCCTGTCTAGATGAAGCCACAGAAGACTGAGTGTCGTACCTGTCCCAGGAATTGCCCTTATCTTAGAACTCCTTACGGAGACCCCTTGTGACCTCTTGTTCTCTCTCTTTCTAGAAAACCCATCCTCGGCCACTACAAACCAGACACCCTCGCTGTGGTCATTGAAAACGGAACCGGCATTGACAGACAGGTGGGCTGGGCTTTCTCTAGAGTCTAACTTGTCTAAGGACAAACTTTGTGAAAGAAGACAGGATTCTGGCCCTGGTAGTGCTGCCTTCGGAAGCGGTGAGGAGGTTCTGGCTGTCCTCGGAGCATGGCTGCCTGCAGTGTTGCTGGCACACGCTGGGGCTGACAGATGGTCTCTCAGCGTCTCCTCCTTCCCCAGATGCTGTTTCTGGACCTCAGCACTGGGGCTGTCCTATGGAGCCAGGCTCTCCCAAGCTTCCCCGGCACCCCGCCATCTGTCAGCCTGCTGACCACAGACCACCGCTCAGCCTTCTTCTTCTGGGGCCTCCATGAGTTGATTGGCACCAGTGTGATGGTATGGGGATCCTATCAACATCATTGCAGAAGCCAGGGACAGAGCCCAGGCCAGGGCCCTCCTGGAGGCTGTCCGTGACTGGGCCAGTGCAGGATGGGGGGCGGGAGGGGGTGTGTGTCCTGAGGAAGTCTTCTTGGGGCATGTGAGAGGGAGCTCGAGAGACTCTGAAGGCCTGTGTTAGGGCAGGCACTAATGGATACCAGGAAGACCAGAACCAGGCCCAGGTTGGGGGAAGAGGGAGTTGCAGGTAGGTATGGAGAGGAAGTTACCTGTTTGTGAGCCCCTAGGCTGGACCAGGTTGACACAGAGCTCTAGGCGTGGTCGCTTTGACAGCGCCATCCATGGGGGGTGACCTGAACACTGCCCAGGGCGAGGCTGGGACCCAGGTCTGGCTTGGACAGGAATAGCAGGAGTGAGGCCTGTTGCTGGTCCCCACCCCAGGAGCCCCGAGATGCCCGGCACAGCCTGTACATGTTCCACCCCACCCTGCCCAGTGTCCTGCTGGAGCTGGCCAATGTGTCTGCCAACGTTGTTGCCTTTGACGGTGAGTACAGCATCAGCCGCAGGCCTGGGGCTGCTCCCCACCCCAGCTCTGCGCTGGCCGGTACTGAGAGGTGCTGTTCCCGTGTCCCCCACAGTGGTCCTGTTTGAGCCGAATCGCCATGCTGCCTATGTGCTCCTGACAGGCCCTGCAAGCTCCCATGAGCCTGGCCTGGTCTCCGTGGCCAAGCACAAGGTGCAAGACCTGGTCCCCGGCAGCAGAGTGGTCCGCCTGGGTGAGGGCGGGTCAGAGAGCGACCGGGCCATCAAGGACCGCTTCTCCCGGCTGAGGTACCTCAGTGCGGCCTAGGTGGCGTCAGCTGGAGCACAGGGAGCCGTCCACTCCCCGCTGCCGCCCTGCCGGCCCCTCCCTCCGGACAGCATGACAGCCTCCTCGGGAGCTGTGGCCTTACTAGACGTGTGGGGTGGTTGGTGGGAGGGCACCCCGGGCCTCCTCCAGCACACCTGTCCTCCTGGCCCTCCACAGTCTTGCCTACAGCCAGGGGTCAAGGCCAGACTGCCTCCCTGTTGTCTCCCTGGACCACTGGGCAGCGCCCAATCTCCGTGCCCTCCTTACTACTAGCCTCTCACCTCACGGGAGGGGCCATGGCGGAGAGGCACCCCGCCCCCGCTCAGGCACTGGTTCCCTTCCTCCTGCTCCTGCACCAACCCCACCCTGGGGGGGCGGCCAGCCCTGGAGGCACCCGGAGAATCATGGGAACTGGCGCCTGTGCGGCCCCTCCTAGAACAGATGGAAGGTGTTGGGTGAGGAAGGAAAAGAATGGTTCTCAGTTCTGGAGAGCAGGGACTGTACCGCAGTGGATGGTGCCCTTAAGGTCCCAGGTGCATGTCCAGTCTGCCCCTCAGGAGGTCCCTGTGCCCAGGGGAGGGGAGCACCTCCTGCTCCACTCCTAGTGCTCACCTGAGCAGGACCCACTTCTGTGCCTTGTTGCTACTGAGGCCCAAGGGCAGCCGTGTACCGGACCGGAGCCCGAGCTTTGTAGCCAAAGTAGCCCTCTGACTCCGCCATAGCAGAAAACAACAGCATAAATGATTTGCACTGTCACTGGCCAAGTGTGAGTCTTGTGCCATCTGCCTGCTCCTGCACCGGGAGTGGTGACCAGGAGGGGCTGGCCATACTGTGTGTGTTTTTTTTTTTTGGGTCCGGTCATGGGCCCTGAACTCTGGGCCTGGGCGCTGTCCCTCAGCTCTTCAGCTCAAGGCTAGCGCTCTACCACTTGAGCCACAGCACCACTTCCGGCTTTTTGCTTATGTGGTGCTGAGGAATCGAACCCAGGGCCTCGAGCATGCAAGGCAAGCACTCTACCACTGAGCCACCTTCCCAGCCCGGGCTGGCCATACTGTGGACTCCAGGGGGCCACACAGCAAAGCGCCCACCCATATCCACCCAGTAGGTGTGCCAGCTGCGCCCACACCACATCCACAGGCTCTCTAGGATGAGGACTTCTGTGCCGTGGGAAGATGGCGGCCCTGACAGAATGTCCCCCCCACCCCCCCGAGCCCGGGAAGATGGCGGCCCTGACAGAATGCCCCCCCACCCCGGGAAAATGGTGACCCTGACAGAATGCCCCCCACCCCAGGAAGATGGAGGCCCTGACAGAATGCCCCCCCACCCCAGGAAAATGGTGACCCTGACAGAATGCCCCCCACCCCAGGAAGATGGAGGCCCTGACAGAATGCCCCCCACCCCGGGAAGGTGGCGGCCCTGACAGAATGACCCCCACCCCAGGAAGATGGAGGCCCTGACAGAATGCCCCCCCACCCCAGGAAAATGGTGACCCTGACAGAATGCCCCCCACCCCAGGAAGGTGGCGGCCCTGACAGAATGCCCCCCACCCCAGGAAGATGGCAGCCCTGGTAGAACAGGTAGAACCTGGGACAGGTGGGGTGCACTCTGGAGAGTTGTTTACTGGTTGCCGTGGGCAGGCAGTCTGTGAGGCTTCATGGGAGACCCTGGTTCCATGGCCAGAGCCCCTCCCACACAGCTTCTTGGGCTCCCTCTGCACCTGCACAGCCCACTTTCCTTGGAGGCAGGGCACAGGTGCGCTCCTCAGCCCCCCCCCCCCCCCCCAGTCTGGACAGATCCGGCCCAGAAGGCCCAGTTCCTCCATCAGCCCTACAGCCCAGGACTCCACACACCTCCCCATCACATCACACACCACAGGCCTGTGCTGCACACGCTTGCCACATGCCACATGTGTGCACACCACAGGCGGGACCTTGGGAGGTGTTCAGAACGCATGAGGACCAGCAATTTTATTTCTGTGCAGCAGCGGGACTAGGGGCCAGTGCTGGGGATGGGGTGGTGTGGAGGGAGCCAGTCTGGGGCCCTATTCTGGTATACAAGAGGCATAGGGGCACTTAACACCGGTGACGCAAGTGACACCAGCACTGCCACCTTGGTGGGAGCCTCATGGTTTGAGTCACGTGTACGCCAATCTGGTAGGAGAGGCCAGGGCTCTGGTGGGAGCGGGTGCCGTGTACAGTGGGTCACAGCGGGAGACTGGAGCCGTCTTGGGCAGGTGCAAGCACACAGACAGGCCCCGACTTATCTTTTGGAAAGTGTGCCTCACTGGCTCACCTAATGTTCTGGAGACTGGACGGGCATCCAACGATGAGCTGAAGAACACAGGCCGCAGGGGCTCTGAGGGGCTCTGCCGGCCTGCCCTCTAGTGACAGGGCTTGCTGCAGCTGAGCTTAGCCCCCTCCTGGAGTCACAGCTGGGCCAGCCCTGCAGTGAAGAGGAGAGTGGCCGGAGGTGACGGAGGAGAGCATCTAGGCCTCATCACCGCCTGAGGCTGCTGCAGACTCCCCTGAGCCAGGAAGGAGCGCAGGGCTGGGGCTGGAGTGCCGGGGCTTCCGCATGAACGGGAACACTCTGTGGTGGGGAGAGGCTGCGGTGAGGGTGGGTGGCCAAAGGACCCGGTCCCCTAGTTGCATGGACCTTCCCGGCCAGCAGGCACAAGGCCCTGCCTGAGCTCACCTTCGCCTGGTCTCTGGTGGGATCACAGCGTCTACCAGAAGGCTCTTGTACATGTCAGACTTCAGGAATCGCGGGTAGGAGTCCTGCAGGAGACAACAGGGCTCCCAACATTCCATTCCTCACCCTTCAACCAAATCCGGCCACGCATTGTGGGACCCTGCCCCTGCCTCAGCCCAGGGTGTGGAGGTTGAGGTTAGCTACCCCAGACTTGTGCTCCTAGCCACTCAGGAGGCTGAGGCCTGAGGATCAAGATGAAGCCAGCCCAGGCAGGAAAGTCCATCAGACTCCACTTCCTGAATAACCAGCAAGTCTGGTTGCTGGTGGCTGACACCCATAATCTTGTCTACTCGAGACTGACAAGCCAGCCTGGGGAGGAAAGTGCATTAGATACTTATCTCCAATTAACCACCAAAAAGTCAAAAGTGAAGCTGTGGCTCAAGAGGTAGAGTGCTAGCCTTTAAGTACAAGAGCTCAGGAACAGTGCCCACACCCTGAGTTCAAGCCCTAGGACCAACACACACACACACGATTTGAAGCCAGTCTGGGCAGACAAATCCTTGACTTTTTTTGGGGGGGGGGTCTGGTCATGGGGCCTGAACTCTGGGCCTGGGCGCTATCCCTCAGCTCTTCAGCTCAAGGATAGCACTCTACCACTTGAGCCACAGCCCCACTTCTGGCTTTTTTCTTTTTGCTTATGTGGTGCTGAGGAATTGAACCCAGGGCCTCATGCATGCAAGGCAAGCACTCTACCACTGAGCCACCTTCCCAGCCCCTGAGCCACCTTCCCAGCCCCTGAGCCACCTTCCCAGCCCCTGAGCCACCTTCCCAGCCCCTGAGCCACCTTCCCAGCCCCTGAGCCACCTTCCCAGCCCCTGAGCCACCTTCCCAGCCCCTGAGCCACCTTCCCAGCCCCTGAGCCACCTTCCCAGCCCCTGAGCCACCTTCCCAGCCCCTGAGCCACCTTCCCAGCCCCTGAGCCACCTTCCCAGCCCCTGAGCCACCTTCCCAGCCCCTGAGCCACCTTCCCAGCCCCTGAGCCACCTTCCCAGCCCCTGAGCCACCTTCCCAGCCCCTGAGCCACCTTCCCAGCCCCTGAGCCACCTTCCCAGCCCCTGAGCCACCTTCCCAGCCCCTGAGCCACCTTCCCAGCCCCTGAGCCACCTTCCCAGCCCCTGAGCCACCTTCCCAGCCCCTGAGCCACCTTCCCAGCCCCTGAGCCACCTTCCCAGCCCCTGAGCCACCTTCCCAGCCCCTGAGCCACCTTCCCAGCCCCTGAGCCACCTTCCCAGCCCCTGAGCCACCTTCCCAGCCCCTGAGCCACCTTCCCAGCCCCTGAGCCACCTTCCCAGCCCCTGAGCCACCTTCCCAGCCCCTGAGCCACCTTCCCAGCCCCTGAGCCACCTTCCCAGCCCCTGAGCCACCTTCCCAGCCCCTGAGCCACCTTCCCAGCCCCTGAGCCACCTTCCCAGCCCCTGAGCCACCTTCCCAGCCCCTGAGCCACCTTCCCAGCCCCTGAGCCACCTTCCCAGCCCCTGAGCCACCTTCCCAGCCCCTGAGCCACCTTCCCAGCCCCTGAGCCACCTTCCCAGCCCCTGAGCCACCTTCCCAGCCCCTGAGCCACCTTCCCAGCCCCTGAGCCACCTTCCCAGCCCCTGGCTTTGAACTGTGATCCTCAATCTCAGCCTCCTGAGAAGCTAGGATTACAGGCCTGAGCCACCAACGCCCAGCTTTGGAGAGAACCTTGTCTCCAGTAAACTAGCAAAAAGCCAAAATAGGCATAGCTCAAGTGGTGGAACACCAGCCATGACTGGGAAAAGCTGATAGCATGACCCCAACTTCAAGCACGAAAACAAAAAACAGCAAAAAGGCAGAGACAAGATGGAGACATGGCTCAAATGGTGGAGTGCCATCCAAGTAAGAGGCCAGCAAGCGTGAGGTCCTGTGTGGCAGCTCACCCCTATAATCCCAGCTGTTTGGGAGGTAGAGATTGGACAAGTTCAACTGACAATCCAGGAAAAGTTAGAAGCCCTATCTCAAAAAAAAGGAAGTAGAATTGTGGCTCATGTGGTACAGTGTTAGCCTTGAATAAAGAAGCTGAGTTCAAGTCCCAGGACTGGCACAGAGAAACACACACACAGAGGGCTAGAATGGGCACTTGCTAGGTAAGCCCTGAGTTAATCTCTTGTAACCTGTACAGCAGTTCCCAGGCAGGGAAAGTAACAGCAGAGCTGTCTAAGGCAACTCCCCAGTTGAATGCATGTAAAAAGAAGTAACTGTTTTCCAGGTGCTGTGCTGCACCTGGACAGGAGGTGACAGGAGGAGCTGCATCAGCACCCTCAAAAACCAGGATTTCAAGTCAGGCACCATGGCTCACACCTGTAATCCCAGCTACTCCGGAGGCTGGGATCTCACGATCGCACAGTTCAGACACAGCTGGGGTAGGAAAGTCCAGGAGACTCTTATCTCTAATAAACTACTCAGAAAATGCTAGAAATCTTGCTATGGCTCAAGTGGTAGAGCACTAGCATTAAGCACAAACAAGCTTAGGGACAGCACTCAGGCCCCAAGTTCAAGACCCAGGACAGGAAAACAAAACAAAAGCAACACAGGATTTCAGTGTGGGTGGAGGTCCCAGGTCAAAGAGGTTGAGAAAAATTTCTAACCTGAATCTGGATTGGAAATACAGTGTACACTCTTTTGATAATGCTATGTAGACATGCTGGATTTGAACTCAGGGTCTTGGATTTGCAAGGTGGACATTCTACCACTTGAGTCAAGCCTCCAGATACTTTTTCCTGGTACACAGGTTTGAACTCAAGTACCTTGTGCTACCTGGCTTGCCACTTGAGTCATGCCTCCAGCTGGGGATTTCACAGGAGGCTGCCCAGGCTGGCTTTGAATTATGGTCCTCCAGGTTTATGGATGTGAACCACTGGCACCACGCCGCTCAAGCCATTCTTGATCATGGTAAGGGAAGGGATGCCCCTGGAGGAGCACAGAGGGGCGTGCCGTGTGGACGATGCCCCCATAGACCAAGATGCGACAGAGAGGTGGAACTTCACACACTGCAGTCTACCCAAAGCTGGGTTAAGTGGAAGGTGTTCTTGACAAAAACCGATACTGGAGATAGGCCGGAAAGGCTCCACGAAGCAGGGACCCGGAGGCTGCCACCCACCTTCTTCATGAGCATGTAGATGTGCAGCTGCGCGTCATCCAGGACATAGCGGTGGGGCTGGGACAGCCCCTCCAGCGTCTGCTCCATCGTCCGGCTGTCAATGTTGACCCAGCGGGCAGCTCCAGGGGCCAGAAACTGCCTGGGGGCAGAACGGCCCAGTGGGTCCAGGCTGGGGCCTGCCTGCGCGCTGAGCAGGGCCACCCGCCCCCACTCACTGGTACACCGAGTCCACCAGGCCGGGGACCTGGGCCTGGCCACCGAAGCGCAGATCCTCACACGCCTCCCAGAAGCTGAGGTTCTCCGCTGGAGGCCAAGCACCACATCAGGGGCCCAGCCTCAGCCGACTGGGCACCAATGGCTGGGTGGGGCCCCCCACTCCCAACCCCACCCCACCCCCACCCCCCGTCTTGGGCCTAGGGCAGGGGTAGGAGCTGCTTACCACTGAACTCCTTCTGGAGAAAGTCCATGAAGTGAGCCCTGCCCACAGGGTCCCCCAGGAGCTCCCAGAAGCTGAAGCCCCAGCGCTCCACACGCAGCTTAGTAGGTGCGGCCACACTGGGTGGGGGGAGAGGTGGGGATGCTAACTCTTGCCAGCCCAGGCCGGCGGTGCCCCTCTGTGGCCGCCCACCCACCCGCCCACTTGGAGCTCACGTCGGAGCATTCATGGTCCAGTAGTCCACACTGTCTGTGATCCAGGGGTTGCTGGGCAGGCACCCTGCCATGATTGGGTCGTGTGAACTGCGCTGGCTGCTGAACTTAAGGTACCTAGGACATACAAGTAGCTAGTGCAGACTGGCCTTGGGGAGGAGGCTCTGGAGAGTTGGGGGGAGGGTACCCCACACTCACGCCTCAAGACAGATAGAGGACTTCACCCGGGTCCTGCCAAGCGCTTTCCTGGTGTAGTCAATCTGCAACACGGGACCCGAGTTGAGAGCTGGGACCTGGACCGGCAGGATGGACAGACCCTTCTCCACACTCCTCCCCAGCCTTAGAACTTACCTCCCGCTTGTAGAAGTCCGAGCTCTGGGTCTAGAAAGGCAGAGGCCGCAGTTACCAGGCAGGTGTGGGGGGACTGGAAAACCCACCAACCCAGCACCCAGGGGCCTGAGCCCTCAGCCTGCCGGGATGTGGTGGAGCGTGGCTCCACCCTTCGCCCCCGGAGCCCTCTCCTCTACAAGGCCTCTGGAAGCCAGGGCCTCAGCATTGGAACCTGAACTCAGGGCCTTGGGCTCGCTGGGCAGGTGCTGTCCTCAGAAGTATTTCTAAACAGACGTGTGAAGTCCCCCTAACTCAGAGCTCCAGAGCTCCCCCAGGCAGCGGCTGAAGTCTGGGCTGAAGTGAGAAGGCCGCGGCTAGCTGCCCCAGGCCCCAACCCTCCGCAGCCAACACTGAGACGGAGCTGAACTGGAGGCCGCTGCTGATTTCCCATTTACCCCAGCTCTTTGGCTGCCTTCGCGTACAGAAAAGTTAGGGTGCTGACATTAGCCGTAAGAAATAGGATCTGCTGTGGATGGGGTTTGAGGGGCTGACGTGTCAGCATCTGTCTGCCTTCATCCCTTCTCTGGTTTGGAAGCCACCAGAAGCCCTGGAGGGAGAGGGCTGGGGCCAGGTTCCCGGGCCGTCGTCCTGTGGTCACCCTCCCATCTCCCTGTACTCTGACACTGTCCAGCCCAGGGAGAGCCCCGCACCCTCTCCTGGGGCCTTTCCGCTTACACGCACCAGGAGGGCAGGTGGAGGTGCAGGGGCCCAGGGCAGGGGAGGGGGGAGAGGGGGGCTGGGAGTGCCAGGGGCTGAGGGGCTGAGGGGGGGCTGGGAGTGTGAGGAGCTGAGGGGGGCTGGGAGTGCCAGGGGCTGAGGGGCTGAGGGGGGGCTGGGAGTGTGAGGAGCTGAGGGGGGCTGGGAGTGGGAGGGGCTGAGGGGGGCTGGGAGTGGGAGGGGCTGAGGGGGGGCTGGGAGTGTGAGGGGCTGGGGGGGCTGGGAGTGGGCGGGGCTGAGGGGGGCTGGGAGTGGGAGGGGCTGAGGGGGGGCTGGGAGTGGGAGGAGCTGAGGGGGGGCTGGGAGTGTGAGGAGCTGAGGGGGGGCTGGGAGTGTGAGGGGCTGGGGGGACTGGGAGTGTGAGGGGCTGGGGGGGCTGGGAGTGGGCGGGGCTGAGGGGGCTGGGAGTGGGAGGGGCTGAGGGGGGCTGGGAGTGGGAGGGGCTGAGGGGGGCTGGGAGTGGGAGGAGCTGAGGGGGGCTGGGAGTGGGAGGGGCTGAGGGGGGGCTGGGAGTGTGAGGGGCTGAGGGGGCTGGGAGTGGGAGGGGCTGAGGGGGGGCTGGGAGTGGGAGGGGCTGAGGGGGGCTGGGAGTGGGAGGAGCTGAGGGGGGCTGGGAGTGTGAGGGGCTGAGGGGGGGCTGGGAGTGTGAGGGGCTGAGGGGGCTGGGAGTGGGAGGAGCTGAGGGGGGGCTGGGAGTGGGAGGGGCTGAGGGGGGCTGGGAGTGTGAGGGGCTGGGGGGGCTGGGAGTGGGAGGAGCTGAGGGGGGGCTGGGAGTGGGCGGGGCTGAGGGGGGCTGGGAGTGTGAGGGGCTGAGGGGGGGCTGGGAGTGTGAGGGGCTGAGGGGGGCTGGGAGTGTGAGGGGCTGAGGGGGCTGGGAGTGGGAGGAGCTGAGGGGGGCTGGGAGTGGGAGGGGCTGAGGGGGGCTGGGAGTGTGAGGGGCTGGGGGGGCTGGGAGTGGGAGGAGCTGAGGGGGGCTGGGAGTGGGAGGAGCTGAGGGGGGCTGGGAGTGTGAGGAGCTGAGGGGGGCTGGGAGTGGGAGGGGCTGAGGGGGGCTGGGAGTGGGAGGAGCTGAGGGGGGCTGGGAGTGTGAGGGGCTGGGGGGGCTGGGAGTGTGAGGGGCTGGGGGGGGCTGGGAGTGGGAGGGGCTGAGGGGGGCTGGGAGTGGGAGGGGCTGGGGGGGCTGGGAGTGGGAGGGGCTGAGGGGGGCTGGGAGTGGGCGGGGCTGAGGGGGGCTGGGAGTGGGCGGGGCTGAGGGGGGCTGGGAGTGGGAGGGGCTGAGGGGGGCTGGGAGTGGGAGGGGCTGAGGGGGGCTGGCAGTGGGCGGGGCTGAGGGAGGGACTGGCAGTGGGCGGGGCTGAGGGAGGGACTGGCAGTGGGCGGGGCTGAGGGAGGGGCTGGCAGTGAGAGGGGCTGAGGGAGGGGTGGCAGTGGGCGGGGCTGAGGGAGGGACTGGCAGTGGGAGGGGCTGAGGGAGGGGTGGTAATGGGCGGGGCTGGCAGTGGGAGGGGCTAAGGGTGGGGCTGGCCGTTGTGGGCGGGGGCTGAGGGGTGGCAGTGGGCGGGGCTGAGGGAGGGACTGGCAGTGGGAGGGGCTGAGGGAGGGGTGGTAGTGGGCGGGGCTGGCAGTGGGAGGGGCTGAGGGAGGGGTGGTAATGGGCGGGGCTGGCAGTGGGAGGGGCTAAGGGTGGGGCTGGCCGTTGTGGGCGGGGGCTGAGGGGTGGCAGTGGGCGGGGGCTGAGGGGTGGCAGAGGGCGGGGTGGCAGTGGACGGGGCTGCATGCGGGCGCTTGCAGCGGAGGGGCAGAAGCATGGGTGTTCAGCTGCCCGCCGCCGCCGCGGGCCGAGGGTGGCTGCGGTGTCTGGGAGCCAGGATTACCGTGTGCAGGCGGCTGGCCGGGCGGGCGCCCCTCTCCGGACCCTGCTCCAGAACATGGCGGGCCCCGGGCTGGGAGGAAACGGGAGCTGAGCGCTCGGCCCGCGGACCCGCCCGACGGCCCGCAGCCTCCGCAGCGCGAAGGGCGCGCAGGGCAGCCCGGCCGGTCCTGAGCCCCTCGCGCCCGCTCCCCCTCTGGCCTCGACCCTCGGTGTCCCAGACGGTCAGACCAGGCCTCTCCCCGCCGGGGCCCGGCAGGCAGCTCGCGGCCGGGTGCGGACCCCAGAGCGCCTCAATTCAGAACGCTGTCAGCTTCCCTCGCTGGGGCTCCCTCCCCCGGTCCCGGCCGGGCTCACCGGGGGCCTGTTCACCAGCCAGTACGTCTGCTCCTGGCAGGCGATGACCAGCCTGTCGCCCTTCCTGCGCCGCTTAGCTGCCCTGGAGGAAGGCTGCGGTGAGGAGCGCCGGGGCCGGGCCGGGGGAACCGGGCCGGCTGCCCGCGGCGTGGGGACACCAGGGCCCGGCCGGACTCACCGCAGCTGCTCTCGAGCCTGCATCAGCACCAGGTCCCACGTGTGGTTGAGCTTCTTGTGCAGCTGGTCATACTGCTCCTGGGGGCAGCGAGCACTCCGGTGGGTGTCCCCTGCCCCGCGTGTCCAGCTCGGGGACAAGGCCCCGCACCTGCCCTGTGTGCGAGTCATCTCTGCCCGGAACAGAGGTCAACAGGCTCCGGGAAGCCGGGGCTCTCAGACCTAAGGCCCCCGATGGAGGTGGGATGGGTTCCAGCACAGGTGTGCGCTATCGAGGCCTGGGCTGTTTGCTCTGGGGCAGACAGTGAGGCTGCGCCCTCGGGTGGGGCCTACCTTCTCATAGTCAGCTAAGGCTCCCTGTTTCTGGATGTTCTTCTTGGCCAGGTAGATGGCTGGAAGGACAGGGACAGTGCAGGGACAGCTCTGCCCCTGCCCCGGGCTGTCCCGGTTACCGGTCCTCACACTTACCGTAGTCCAGCTCTGTGGCCGGCCACAGGGTGCTCGTCCAGAAGTACGGGGTCTGGGGGACGGGACAGTGGTCTGGGGGGACAGGGCAGGGGTCGGGGGGACAGGGCAGGGGTCTGGGGGACCGGACAGGGGTCTGGGGGGACAGGGCAGGGGTCTGGGGGGACAGGACAGGGATCTGGGGACCGGACAGGGGTCTGGGGGACAGGACAGGGGTCTGGGGGACCGGACAGAGGTCTCCGGGGTCTGAGGATTCCCCACTCCCCTCTCCACTCTCTGAGAAGACTGACTGGCTGCGGGGCTGCGGGGCTGTCCCGCCTGCGCCCGCGCCTCAGCCCCGCGTTCCCGCGCCGCCCCAGCCCGGCCGGCCGGGGCGCACCTGGAAGCGGTAGGGCGTCTCGTCCGGCCGCAGCGCCAGGCTGCGGGGGTCGCGCAGCGGGTAGATGTAGCCATGCTGGGCCAGGAGGGTGCCGAGGTGCAAGGCCTCTGCGGGGCGGGGCGGGGCGGCGTCAGCCAAGCCCGCCGGGGCGCGGGGTGCGGGGTGCGGGGTGCCCGAGGCGGGGCGGCGTCAGCCAAGCCCGGGTGCGGGGCCTGGGGTGCGGGGTGCCCGAGGCGGGGCGGCGTCAGCCAAGCCCGGGTGCGGGGTGCGGGGTGCGGGGTGCCCGAGGCGGGGCGGCGTCAGCCAAGCCCGGGTGCGGGGTGCGGGGTGCGGGGTGCCCGAGGCGGGGCGGCGTCAGCCAAGCCCGGGTGCGGGGCCTGGGGTGCGGGGTGCCCGAGGCGGGGCGGCGTCAGCCAAGCCCGCCGGGGCGCGGGGTGCGGGGTGCGGGGTGCCCGAGGCGGGGCGGCGTCAGCCAAGCCCGGGTGCGGGGTGCCCGAGGCGGGGCGGGGCGGCGTCAGCCAAGCGCCTCCCCTGCGACTCCCCGCTGGCCCTCACCCTCCTCAGAGACACAGAACTTCCGGACCAGCCACTCGGCGACGTCCCTGCCTGAGAGAAGAGACCGGGAGGAGCGGCGGGGAGAGAAGGCGAGCGGGCCTGAGCGGGACGGCGTCCCCGTCCGCACGCCCACCCGGCGCTCGCCACGCCCACCCGGCGCTCGCCACGCCCACCCGGCGCTCGCCACGCCCCTCCGGCGCTCGCTCCCGGCGCAAGTCCCCGCTCAGCGCTCGCCACGCCCCCCTCAGCGCTCGCCACGCCCATCTCAGCGCCCAGCCCCGCCCCGGCGCTCGCCCCGCCCCGTCGTCACCAGCCACGGCGTGGGGGATGACGGTGATGAGCAGGCGCTGGCTCCGCATCTTCACGCCCTGGTCCGGGTCCTGCATGCTCACGACCACGCGCTCCATCTGCGTGGAGGGGCCGTGAGCGCCCGCTCTGCGGGGCACCCGGCCCGGGTTCTGGGGCCAGCGCGGGACGGGATCCAGGCCGCTCCCGGCCCCCGGCCCGCCCGCCGCGGCCCGGCCCACCTTGCTGAGGTCCGGCCTCTGCTCGCGGGGTCGCCGTCCCGGAGAGGCGCGGCCGGCCGTGGCCATGGCGGATGTCGGAGTGGCCCCGCCCGCGCCGCCTGCAGGATTAACCTTCGGGACTGACCCACCGGCGCACGCGCGCGCACACACGTGCGCACACACGCGCGCACACGCACACACGTGCGCACACACGACCTGTCTGTGCGTGGCTCAGTACCTCGGTGCGGTTGAAGCTGCTGAGCACGGGTGATGCTGTTGCCGGGTGTTCCCAGCTGGGGAGAGGTCCCCACAGCCCCCCCACTGTCCCCCCACTGTCCCCCCACTGCCCTTCTGCCCCACTGCCCTTCTGCCCCCCTCCCTGCTGCCCGCGACCGGTGGCCTTGGCACCCGGGGCTGGTCTGCTGAGACGCCGGCCCGCGTGCCCTGGGCCTCCACAGGCTGGGGACCTGCCTCTCTTTGTCCCTCTGCTAACAGCCTGGTCGCCCCACCTTAGGCTCCAGTTGTGGCCTTCAGACCCCGTGGGAGAGTATTCTCTTTCTTACCCACTCGGGGGCAGCCTTGGACTAAGCCAAGCATTGTCCCTGTGGTTCCATTCCTATTACTGTCAAGGCCCAAGAGAGACTGGGAACTGGGTTCCTTTGGGGGGGAGGAGAGCAACTCCCCTAAATTCCAGATATCCATCCCGACAGCCGGGCCAGCAGCCATGGAGGCGCTGGCAGCTGGAACTGTCCCAGTCTGGCGTCGGTAGCTCACCCAGGACGCCCTTGGAGGGGACTGTCCCTCAGCCCCTGATCAGGGGCGTGGATGGACTTAGGGCTGGGTGCTGTCCCTCAGCCCCTGATCAGGGGCGTGGATGGACTTAGGGCCGGGTGCTGTCCCTCAGCCCCTGGTCGGGGGTGGACTCGGGGCCGGGCACTGTCCCTCAGCCCCTGGTCGGGCATGGTCGGGGCCGGGCGCTGTCCTTCAGCCCCTGGTCGGGGGTGGACTCGGGGCTGGACGCTGTCCCTCAGCCCCTGGTCGGGGGTGGACTCGGGGCCGGATGCTGTCCCTCAGCCCCTAGTCGGGCGTGGTCAGGGCCGGGCGCTGTCCCCCAGCCCCTCTTTGCCCAAGGCAGGCGCTCTGTGTGACAGGTGTTTTCTGATCAACTGGAGATAAGAGTGCGGAGGACTTTCCTGCCTGCGCTGGCTTCGAACTGCGATCCTCAGATCTCAGGGTCAGTGACAATGGATGTGATCTCCGTCCCTCCACACCCGCCGCCCGCACCAGGAGCCTCCTTGGCCCCACCGGCGCGGGCGGCTCACGGAGGCCAGAAGGGGCTGTGGGGACCCTGGCCAACGCCCCGGGCCCAGCGGGCACCCACGTGGCCCTACCCCAGGGTTGGAGGGCACGGGCTGGGGTCGGGGAGGGGTCGGAGGGCGTGGGCTGGGGTCGGGGAGGGGTCGGAGGGCGTGGGCTGGGGTCGGGGAGGGGTCGGAGGGCGTGGGCTGGGGTCGGGGAGGGGTCGGAGGGCTCCAGCCCCCCCTGTGCACGCCCCCCTCTCCCCCTCTGCAGGTGACCCAGCTGACGCTGGTGTCAGAGCCGGCGCCTGCGCCCCTCACCATGGACCCCATGGGTAACTGCGTGGCCTGAGCCCCGCCGGACCCCAAGCCTGGCTGACCCCCCCACCAATCCCCCCCACCAATCCCCCGCTGACACCCCCCACTGATCGCCCTTTGACCCCCCCACAACCCCCCCACCGATCCCCACTGACACCCCCCCATCCCCCCCCCGCCGACCCCCCTTCCCTCTACCGACCCCCCTCCCCCCCCACGTCAGGGCTCTCACCCCACAGGGGACCTGGCCGCCCTGAAGACCCGCGTGTTCACCCAGAAGGAGGGTGTCCACTACCAGGTGAAGGTCACCTTCAGGGTGGGCGCTGCCCGGGGGTCACCGCGCCCGCCTGCCGCGGCCTTTTGCAGGCCCTCTGGTCCTCTAGGTCCACAGGGAGATGGTCAGTGGCCTCAGGTGTCTGCACCACACCTACAGGGCCGCTGTGAGGGGAGGGGGGAAGGGGGACGGGGAGGGGTGGGGAGGCTTGGGGAGCGGGGGGCAGCCGAGGTGGGCCAGCGGGCAGAGGTGGAGAGGGCAGCTTCAGTGCCACAGTGGTCCACACTGGCCCCTGATATCCCCCCTCCCACAGTGGACAAGGCCGTCCACATGGTGGGCAGCTGAGGCCCCAGGGCCCTGGAGCCAGTTTGTGACGCCGGTGGAGGAGGCACTGCGGGCCTGCTGGAGCGGAGCCCCTACGTGGTCAGGTCCCTCATCACGGACGACGACAGGACCGACCACAGGTCCTGGGAGTGGCGCCTCCAGGTCGCAGGGACTGGAAGCACTGAGCCGACCTGGGGCTCCCACTAATGTCAGCTGCACAAGGACCTCCAGCCCCCCCCGCCCCCCGGCCCAGTGCCCAGACTACCATAGCCTCCGCGCTATCTACCCCCCCCTCCCCCCAGTCTGGCGCCCTGCCCTGTGTTGCCTCTTTCTGCCTTCTCCTACCCATGGCTTTATCTTCCTCGAGACCTAGCCAGGTGCCACGTGGCAGCTGCTGCTTGGTCCCCAGTCTCCTTATCTACTCTAGCCTTCAGGGGCCCAGCACTGCCATGGACACTCAGTGCCTGCCCGTGCTGCTGCTGCTGCTCCTGCTGGGGGCCTCGGTCCCCCACCTCTCCAGGGGTCTCCCTGAGGAGGACATTCCCAAGGAGGATGGGGTCTTGGTTCTGAGCCACCACACCCTGAGTGTGGCCCTGCGGGAGCACCCGGCCCTCCTGGTGGAATTCTGTAAGTGCTTGGGCCACAGGTTTGAGGGCCGGAAGGCTCAAACTCCTGCAGCCTGGACCCCGGGACTGTCCTTGCAATCCGTGTCCTCTTGACCCGAGGCTTCCCGGGAGGGTCCTGGACGGGCCGGCCTGGCGTTGAGGCCGGGAGTCAGGGGTTGCTTCAGTCTGAGTGGACACAGATGGTGATAATGCATAACCCACACCCTGGCCCTGCTAGCTACGGCTGGACACCGATGTCCCACCTCAGAGACACTTCTCCAGGTGGCTAGTGACATGTCCTTCAGGGTACAGGCTGTGGTCGCTGTGGCATGCACTTCTGTGGCTCTTTAAAGCCACCGTGAGCCTCAGCCACATGTCCTCTGGAACCCTGGAATGAGGCTCTTGTCAAATCTCCCAAACCTTACTGTGATCCTGGGATTTTTTTTTTCTGTATTATTTTTTTGTCAGTCATGGGATTTGAACTCAGGGCCTGGGTGCTGTCCCTGAGCTCTTTTGCTCAAGGCTAGTGCTCTACCACTTTAAGCCACAGCTCCACTTCCAGTTCTTGAGTGGTTCATTGGAGATAAGAGTCTCAGGAGGAACTTTGCTGCTCAGGCTGGCTTTGGGCAGCAATCCTCAGATCTCACCTTCCTGAGTAGCTAACATGACAGGCATGAGCCACCAGCACCTGGCCAGCCTGGGATGTTTGAGAACCTCTTCTGTGTGGCTCTGGTGGAGGACTAGGAGGAGGGTATGAAGAGAACACCCTTTCTCCCACTGGATGTGGAAGGAGGGACCTGGCGTGGTGGGACCTGGGAGGCCTGGTGAGCTCCTGGCCTCGTTCCCCAGACGCTCCGTGGTGTGGTCACTGCCAGGCACTGGCCCCCGAGTACAGCAGGGCAGCTGCTCTGCTGGCAGCCGAGTCAGCCCCAGCCACATTGGCCAAGGTGGATGGGCCTGCAGAGCCGGAACTAACCAAGGAGTTTGGCGTGACGGAGTACCCAACGCTCAAATTCTTCCATGATGGGAACCGCACGCACCCTGAGGAGTACACAGGTGTGGGACAAGCATGGGGCAGGGGCAGGCGGGGGTGGGGGCGGGGGCAGGGGCTGGCGCTGGACCGTGGGACTCCCCACAGGGCCCAGAGAGGCTGAGAGCATGGCCGAGTGGCTGAGGCGCCGGGTGGGGCCCAGCGCCACTCTCCTGGAGGACGCAGAGGGTGCCCAAGCACTGAGGGATGCCCGGGATGTGGTTGTGATCGGCTTTTTCCAGGTAAGCTGGGCGGGGGGCCCCGTGTGGGAGCAGGTGTGGAGGCCTGCCAGCCTCACGGGCCGGCCCTCAGGACCTGCAGGACGACGATGTGTCCACCTTCTTGGCCCTGGCCCGGGATGCCCTGGACATGACCTTCGGCCTCACAGACCAGCCGAAGCTTTTTGAGACGTTTGGCCTCACCAAGGACACTGTGGTCCTCTTCAAGAAGGTGGGTGGGGAGCAAGGTGGGGGTGGGGCCAGAGCTGTGGCTCCTGCTGACACCCCTGGCGTCCAGTTCGACGAGGGAAGGGCTGACTTCCCGGTAGACGAGGAGCTTGGCCTGGACGTGGGGGACCTGTCCCGCTTCCTGGTCACACACAGCATGCGCCTGGTCACAGAGTTCAACCGCCAGGTGAGGCTGCGGGTACCTGCGTGCCAGGGGGTGGGGGCAGGGAGGCGGCCTGCGAAGTCACGAGCCCCCACTCCTGCAGACGTCTCCCAAGATCTTCGCTGCCAGGATCCTCAACCATCTGCTGCTGTTTGTGAACCAGACGCTGGCTCCGCACCGGGAGCTCCTGGCAGGCTTTGGGGAGGCGGCTGCCGGCTTCCGGGGGCAGGTACCGTGGCGCTGGGGGGTGGGGGGAGGGGGCTGAGCGGCAGAGCGCCAGCCTGGGTTCCCGCCGCAGGTGCTCTTCGTGGTGGTGGACGTGTCCGCAGACAATGACCACGTGCTGCAGTACTTCGGCCTCCAGGCTGAGGCGGCCCCCACTCTGCGCTTGGTCAATGTAGAGACTACCAAGAAGTATTCGTGGGCAGGCGGGGAGCCCATCACCTCGGCTTCCGTGGCTGCCTTCTGCCACGCCGTCCTCCATGGTGAAATCAAGGTGTGTGGGCCCAGGGTGGGGACAGGCTGGGGGGGGGGGCTGGCCTGATGCTGAGGACCCTCAGCAAAGCCTGTTGCTCCCCTAGCCATACCTCCTGAGCCAGGAGATACCTCCCGATTGGGACCAGCGGCCCGTCAAGACCCTGGTGGGCAAGAATTTTGAGCAGGTGGCTTTTGATGAAACCAAGAACGTGTTTGTCAAGTTCTGTGAGTGCTGAAGGTGGCAGGCAGAGGTGGGGTGGGGTGGGGAGGGGAAGGGCAGGGAGGGACCAGCCGGCCCAGCCCTGACGCTTCCCCAGATGCCCCATGGTGCAGCCACTGCAGGGAAATGGCCCCAGCCTGGGAGGCACTGGCTGAGAAGTACAAGGACCGTGAAGACGTCGTCATTGCGGAGCTGGATGCCACAGCCAACGAGCTGGAGGCCTTCACCGTGCACGGCTTCCCTACGCTCAAGTTCTTTCCTGCAGGGCCAGGCCAGAAGGTGGGTGTGGGCTGGGTGGCGGCCACTCCTCTGGGGCCTTTCCAGCATGGCCTGGGAGGATGGGACAGGACCTCACGCTCTCCTGTCCCCCCGCCCCCCCACAGGTAATTGAATATACAAGTGCCAGGGACCTGGAGACCTTTTCCAAGTTCCTGGACAGAGGGGGTGAGCTGCCTGAGGAGGCGCCCACGGAGGAGCCCACGGCCCCCCTCCCGGTGGGTACTGCATCCTAGGTCCCCAGCCTCTGGATGGGCTCCTGGCGGGGCAGGGCTGGGGGCAGGGCCCTGAGCGGGACATCTGCCATCCTGTCTAGGAGCTACTGACCAACTCTACCATGGGGTCCAAGGAAGAGCTGTAGCCAAGCCCTCCCATACTGGCCAGGCCCGGGGAGCAGTCGGCCTCTCTGGTGCCAGAGGGAGCTGTGTGCTGTGAATAAAAACTTAGTCCCACACTCTTTTGTGTGTTTCCTGAGCGAGGCCGGCTGCTGGTTTCTGTGGCTGGTCCTGGACCCTGCCTAGGCCCTACCTCAGCCTGTGGGGCCCTTCAGGCTGACTGTGGGCTCTTTGCTCCTGAGCCTGAGGTGAAGTTCAGACCCTGTGCTCCGCCCGTGGGAGGCCAGGATGGCCTTCTTCACCACTGGACTGGATCAGGGCAATGCCCCCGACAGCCAAGCCCTGGCAACTGCAGACAGGCACACCGCACAGCCAAGGGAGGTTCAAAGACTTTTATTTCATAATTATCCAAGTACCTTTGAAAAGATAATTGTACAAGTCATTGCATGAAAAACGGGCTTGAGGCCGCCCCTGCCGGCCCTGGCCTGAGAAATGTACACTATTTACACGGGCCCTTACAGAGGAGGGGCCAGGCTGACCTGGCCAGCCAGTGGCTGGCGGTAGGCAGAGGAGGGCCTATGGCACCTACCGCCGGATTCACACAGTGGCAGGCAGGGTACAGCTGTGTTGAAGGCACTCAGTGACGTGTACAACTTACAGGCCCGGACCCGTCAGGTCTGTCAGTGTCCCAGAGGGAGAGGTGGACCTGGCACGCGGGCCAAAGCGAGAGGCATCCGTGGGTGGGCCTTGGGCTCAGCAGCACGGGGCTGCCGGGGGTCACTGGGGTGGCTGCCCTGCTGGGGAGGAAGCTATAGTATTGCTATGGGGGTGAGCCCTCGTCAATGGCCAGAGAAGCCCAGAGGGACCCTGGCCCACCCACCCCGGAGGAGCAGGGTGTGGGTGGTACACCTTCCCCGGACACGACCCCGCGCTGTCCCCACACACAAGCTCCTGAGTGCGAGACGGTCACATGGCTCTGAGTGTGATGCACAGTGGTGGTGTGTCTGTGTCTGCAGCTGCTGCTCAGTCCACCTTCTCCACCTTGCCAATGATCTTCTCCTCAAAGATGGGCAGGATGGCTTCATCTTCCCGCACCTCCTCAAACACCACCCCACAGTCAAACTCGTCACTCACTTTCTTGAAATAGTATCTAGGGACAGAACATGGCAAGTGGTGAGGGAGCCACTCAGAGGAGTGTGTGTGTGTGTGCGCACGCGCGCGCTCTCAGGGCAAGGTTCTGTCCCCGTTGGTGCAGTGACCACACGGGAGATAACGCCAGGCCCGCCTTGGGGCTCGAGCTCCTAGTCTGCTGGCAAGGCTGCACACCCCGCGGGGTGTGTGGGGCCGCCTTGGGCTTCCGAGGGGCCCTGTCCACCTCAGCTTCCTTCCAGCAAGCAGCAGAAGACCGAGGCCACGCTCATGGTCATGCTTTTCACAGAAGAAACCACCCCAAATGAGCTCTGGCCCAGTTCAGCAGCCTCTGCAGAATCGCAGGGCACCTCCTGCTTTCCCACAGTGCTCCAGGAGTCCCGGGCCTATCACGCGTGGGGGAGGAGTCAGGTAGAGCACCTGACTCTGCCAGCAGGGAACCACGGCAGGGCACGGCCAGCCGAGATGAAGTCAGCACATGCAGGTTATCGACCCTTTTGGGTCTATTTCCTTAGCTCTGAAATGGAGCCCAAGCCACCTGAAGGCTTGGGGCCTGCAGGGCCTGGGTTCTAAGGAAGCCTCTCTCCCACATGCCCAGCCGGCCTGGAGCGGCAGGCAACAGCTGGGTGGGGAGAAGTGGGTTAAGAGGTGGGTGGGACTGGTGGCGGCCCCTCCTCTCACCTGTAGCTCCCCTTCTTGGTCAGCAGCTCCTTGAACTGGCCGAGGGTGACGGCACGGCCCCTCACGAGGGTCCGGTAGGGGATGGGCTCACCGCAGAAGTAGTAGGCCACAACGATGCTGTCACAGGGCTGGGCACTGCCGCCGCCTGCCTTCCTCTGTGATTTCACCCTATGGCAGACAGTGGTAAACACGGGCTACGGTCAAGGTAAAGGGCACTTTCCCAGACCCCAGCTGCGACAGAGGACAGGGCAGCGCCAGAGTGAGCTCTACTGAGGAACACGGTGTCCAAGGCCCCGCCACTCACACTGTGTCTCTGAAGGCCAGTTACCAATCTGGTGCCCAGTGCCACGGGATGCTCGCTGGGAAGCCAGCCTGATGCCCCTGGTGGAGTCTTAGGTCTCGCTGATGAGCAGCACACCCCTCAGCACCCCCCAGGGAGCTGGCTGCTCACGTGGCCGCGCCAGACACCGGGCCCACCACTCTAGTAGTCCAACTGTCTGCACTCTCGTAAAGTCTAACCTCCCAATGCTTTCAAACATCGGAAGGGTAGGGACTGGACAATGGGGTTGTGCATAGATCTACAAATTCAGTCCACAGGCTAGCTGGGTCTCTAGCATGGGCATGGAGCTAGAACTTGGGGTTCAGCCTAAAGTGCAGCGTGGCTCTGAGTTAGGTGACGGGCAGTGTCTCTTCTGCTCTTCCCATGACCCTGGAACTACCCTAGGCTTACATGGGTCCAGCCTCTGGGCACCCTCTTGAGTCTAGATGGAGGAAGCTGCCCCGGCACACGACTGTCCACTTCACACGCTAGGCTCCCAGGCACCGGCTTGCTTGGACCATCCCTTGGAGGATCACGGAGGCCACAAGAGCAGCACCAATCTGGAAGCTATTTCTTCAGCAGACTGGGGCCACGAGAGAGCACACAGTGTGCTGCTGGCTCATGGTCAGAGCTTATAGACTCGGGGCTGGGTGAGCCTCACAAAGCCTAAGGCCCCAGGGCATCCAATCCTCCTTCGAGCAGAAGCTCAGGAAGGGAACGGTCAGCAATGACCACACTGCCCACATGGGGCCACAGCGGCGGCAGGCAGACCTCACGACAGATCAGTGCATCTCAAGCTACTGGCACCACGTCAAGAGGACTGTGCCTGAAGAGAGGCATTAATCAGGGGAAGATGGGGGAGAACAGTGAAGGGGGGTACTGATCAAGACGCACTGTGCTCATAACCTGACCTGTGGAACTGAAACTCCTTTGTACAGCTACTTATTAAACAAATTAAGGCCAGGCGCTGGTGGCTCACACCTGTAATTCTACTCAGGAGGCTGAGATCTGAGGATCATTTCCAAGTCAGGAAAATCCGTGAGACCCTTATCTTCAATTAACCACCTAAAGACTGACTAAATAAAATAAAAAAGAAGAGCAATGTACCACGGCAGGTTTGTGGACCTGTAAGTCTAGGATGGCTAGGAAGCACTTAGGGCAGAGGACAGATGAAGGACAGGCCTAGGGTCAGTTGGTCACCACCTCTCCTGATGGAGAGGCCTTCCCCAGCCTCGGGGCTTCTACAGACACAGGCCGGGTGGTGGGACCGGGAGGACCCTGGGTCACACGTACTCTGTCTCGGAGAGCTCCAAGTCCGACACGGCTGGCACCACGCTCAGCACCGGCGTGCACACTGGCCTGACACAGGCGCGTCCCCGCTGCATGACCGCCTGCACATACCTAGGGAACAACCCACGTCAGTGGGAGGAGGCCGTAGCCAGCACTGCTGGACACTGGGCAGCGGACAAGGAGAGCAGCAGCAAAAGAGCCCGCCCACTGGAGCTGCCGCTGGTGGGAAGTAAGAGACACGGAGCACCTCATCACCCAGGTCAGGGCCCTGCCACGGAGCACCTCATCACCCAGGTCAGGGCCCTGCCACAGAGCACGTCATCACCCAGGTCAGGGCCCTGCCACGGAGCACCTCACCACCCAGGTCAGGGCCCTGCCACGGAGCACCTCACCACCCAGGTCAGGGCCCTGCCACAGAGCACGTCATCACCCAGGTCAGGCCCCTGCCACGGAGCACCTCACCACCCAGGTCAGGGCCCGGCCACGGAGCACCTCATCACCCAGGTCAGGGCCCGGCCACGGAGCACCTCATCACCCAGGTCAGGGCCCAGCCACGGAGCACCTCACCACCCAGGTCAGGCCCCTGCCACGGAGCACCTCACCACACAGGTCAGGGCCCTGCCACGGAGCACCTCACCACCCAGGTCAGGGCCCTGCCACGGAGTACCTCACCACCCAGGTCAGGGCCCGGCCACGGAGTACCTCACCACCCAGGTCAGGGCCCGGCCACGGAGCACCTCATCACCCAGGTCAGGGCCCAGCCACGGAGCACCTCACCACCCAGGGTCAGGGCCCGGCCACGGAGCACGTCACCACCCAGGTCAGGGCCCGGCCATGGAGCACGTCACCACCCAGGTCAGGCCCCTGCCACGGAGCACGTCACCACCCAGGTCAGGGCCCGGCCACGGAGCACCTCATTACCCAGGTCAGGCCCCTGCCACAGAGCACGTCACCACCCAGGTCAGGGCCCGGCCACGGAGCACGTCATCACCCAGGTCAGGGCCCTGCCACGGAGCACGTCACCACCCAGGTCAGGGCCCTGCCACGGAGCACGTCACCACCCAGGTCAGGGCCCTGCCACGGAGCACGTCACCACCCAGGTCGGGGCCTGGCCACGGAGCACGTCACCACCCAGGTCAGGGCCCTGCCACGGAGCACGTCACCACCCAGGTCAGGGCCCTGCCACGGAGCACGTCACCACCCAGGTCAGGGCCTGGCCACGGAGCACCTCATCACCCAGGTCAGGGCCCGGCCACGGAGCACGTCATCACCCAGGTCAGGGCCCTGCCACGGAGCACGTCACCACCCAGGTCAGGGCCCTGCCACCACCCAGGTCAGGGCCCTGCCACGGAGCACGTCACCACCCAGGTCAGGGCCCGGCCACGGAGCACCTCATCACCCAGGTCAGGGCCCGGCCACGGAGCACCTCATTACCCAGGTCAGGCCCCTGCCACAGAGCACGTCACCACCCAGGTCAGGGCCCTGCCACGGAGCATGTCACCACCCAGGTCAGGGCCCGGCCACGGAGCACGTCACCACCCAGGTCAGGGCCCTGCCACGGAGCACGTCATCACCCAGGTCAGGGCCCTGCCACGGAGCACGTCACCACCCAGGTCAGGGCCCTGCCACCACCCAGGTCAGGGCCCTGCCACGGAGCACGTCACCACCCAGGTCAGGGCCCTGCCACGGAGCACGTCACCACCCAGGTCAGGGCCCGGCCACGGAGCACCTCATTACCCAGGTCAGGCCCCTGCCACAGAGCACGTTACCACCCAGGTCAGGGCCCTGCCACGAAGCATGTCACCACCCAGGTCAGGGCCCGGCCACGGAGCACCTCATCACCCAGGTCAGGGCCCTGCCACGGAGCACGTCACCACCCAGGTCAGGGCCCTGCCACGGAGCACGTCACCACCCAGGTCAGGGCCCTGCCACAGAGCACGTCACCACCCAGGTCAGGGCCCTGCCACGGAGCACGTCACCACCCAGGTCAGGGCCCGGCCATGGAGCACGTCACCACCCAGGTCAGGGCCCTGCCACGGAGCACGTCATCACCCAGGTCAGGGCCTGGCCACGGAGCACCTCATCACCCCGGTCAGGGCCCTGCCACGGAGCACGTCACCACCCAGGTCAGGGCCCTGCCACGGAGCACGTCACCACCCAGGTCAGGGCCTGGCCACGGAGCACCTCATCACCCCGGTCAGGGCCCGGCCACGGAGCACGTCACCACCCAGGTCAGAGGAGCACCTCGTCACCCAGGTCAGGGCCCGGCCACGGAGCACGTCACCACCCAGGTCAGGGCACCTACATTTACTCTCTGTGATCCCTGGAACACACTGAGGAGAACTGCTGACCTGGGGGCCAGGAGCTGCCTTTCTGTCCCCTGCTGACATCTCCGCACTGCAGAGCCTCCTGGAGAGACCCGTCTGCAACCACGCCCTGGGGAGGCTCTTCCTATGGGGTTCCAGGGTATCAACTTCTGAAGGCCAGTGTGGACCCAGCGATGGATGATGGCAGTGCTCTATGTGGACATCAGGGCCTGTTATCGTGACTGAGGCCTGTCTGTACAGATTCCACACCTGCATGTGTTACTCAGGGACACTGAACAGTGTCTACTGTGACCTGCCTGGGGCCATCCCAGGAGCCTGTAGCTACTCATAAAAGCTTCTGACCTCAGACAAGACAAACCAGTAACTGAGAGGCTGGAGGCACTAGCTGAAACCCTGCAGGAGCCCAGGCCCCCAGACTTGGGCTTAGTGGCTCTTGTAGCTCAGCTGGTATCCCTGGCCAAAGGGAGAAAATCATAGCAATGTCCATCACATGGGGTGCAACCCTGCCAGGTCACGGGCCCCAGACACGTGCCCATCTCAGCCGGGGGAAGGGAGGCATTTCCTGCACAGAGCACAGGTGGCCTGGCCTTCGGGTTGAGATCGCTGTGACTTGTTCTGGCCCCAGAGCTGCTACAGACTCAGAGCCTATGTAAGTCATGAGGACCACTGAGGACCAAGGGACACAAGCATACTTACACCAATCCAGACCAGAGACACAAGCACACTTCCTGAGGGAATGGACAGGCGGACACTAATGCAGACCAGGGTTGCACAGCTACGTAAGAAGCAACTTGGAGAAACGAGTTTGGACCCAGGACCATGCCACATAAGACCAGGCTGATAAGAGAAGCCAGCAACTTCTGAAGGAACAGTTGAGAATTCTGGTGGACTACAAAGTCCAGTAGAACAGCCTCAAAACCATAGTCTTGCCTGGACAAAATACTCTGCCACCCAAAAGAGGAGTCTCCCGGTGCCGGTGGCCTGGGCGACACAATTTCCTCTTGAGGACAGAACAGGTTTTGCTGAGCTACAGTGCGATGAGTCCAACCACTGATACCCTGAAGGAAGGAAGGAGAGGCTGCGCTACGCCGCCACGCGCCCTCTTGTGGCTGTGCCGCGTGTGGCTATCCCCCACGGAGGACAAGAAGCCACAAGCCCCGGCTGCCCAGCAGCTGTTGGCCACCTGACTGTGTGCCTGCCTGTCCCTTCCCCGGCAAACTGGGGACCACAGGGCTCCCTGGCATGAGCTGAGGACATGCTCTGTCGACCTCCCACCCCCACTATTTCCCAGTAGGGCTTCTCAGTGGCTCTAGATGGAAGAGGAGCCAACCTTGTGGATCGCAGGCCTTGGGGCCACCTCTAAGGTAACCTCCTGCTTCAACCCACCTCTGCTTGGAGGGCAGCTTGCTGGATCTCTTCTCCTCCTCCTCTAGACGCCTGCGGGCCTCCTCCAGCTGTGTCAGGGGGTTGGGGGCTGGGTTGGGGGGCATTGTGGGGTCTTGAATGAAGAGGTGAGAGGGCTGAACGGAGTTCCGCAGTTGAGCACTCACCCAGGGGTGCACGGCCCCGGGTCGTTCAATGGACAAGGGCCTGGAGCTCTCATGGGCCTGCTGCTTCCTGGTCCCAGAAGACCTTCAGAAGTAAGAACAAGGCACTGATAACCACAGACATCTGGATCTGACCACAGAAGGCCTATCAGCCTCCTCAGACCTCATGTACATGTCTCTTCCTCTCTTTTTTGGTACCAGTTCTGGGACTTGAGCTCAAGGACTGAGGCTAGTACTATCACTTGGCCACAGCTCCACTTCTGGCTTTTTAGTGGTTAACTGGAGATGAGTCTCACAGATTTTCCTGTGAGCCACCGGAGCTTCTCTTAAGTATTTTTGTTTGGCTAAAGAAATATGTACTGGGGCTGGGGAGGTGGCTCAGTGGTAGAGCGCTTGCCTTGCATGCATGAGGCCCTGGGTTCGATTCCCCAGCACCACATAAAGAAAAAAGCTGGAAGTGGCGCTGTGGCTCAAGTGGTAGAGTGCGCCCGCCTTGAGCTGAAGAGATGAGGGACAGCGCCCAGGCCCAGAGTTCAAGCCCCATGACTGACCAAAAAAAAACCCCAAAAACTTAAGAAAACTGGCAGGAAACAAAAATCATGGAAAAACAAGTCTACTTCCTTGGCCTTCCCTCATAGTATTTCAGTCTTTCCTGCATTATAAACTCTGAAACATGTCCTCTGCCCATCATCCAACATGTGATGGAGCCAGTGATGACATCACCCCAGGTGCCCCAGGCCCTCAAGGTGCAGCCCACCTGAAGGCAGAGCCCCACCAGGGTGTCTGTGAACACTGTCCCTCTGTCAGCCACTAAAACTCTAGTTCCAGGGAAACAATCTGGAAAGACCACTCCTGATAACAAAGCCAATTTGTTAACAGACATCTATGTAATCTCAACAATCAGGAGGCTGATGCACAAGGACAGAGTTCAAGGCAAGCCTGGGCTACAAAGCAAGTTCCAGGTCAGATTCGGCTGCAGACTATGACTGTCTCAAAAAAGGGAAAAGCAGCAGCTGGGTGCTGGTGGCTCACAGCTGTAATCCTAGCTACTCAGGAGGCTGAGATCTGAGGATTGAGGTTCAAAGCCAGCAAGGGCAGGAAAGTCCCTGAGATTCTTATCTCCGGTTGACTCAAAAACAGGAAATGGAACTGTGGCTCAAAGTGGTAGAGCACTAGCTCAAAGAGCACCCAGGACTGAGTTCAAGTCCCATGACCAACAACAACAACAACAAAGGTTTAGGCAAATGAGGAGCCTTATGTAGGGTTGACCCTGGGACCCTTGCTCCACACCACCCAGAGTGGCCTCTGCCTCTCAGGAAAGGGGAAAAGCAGCTATGAGGCAATCCCAAGGTTGGCTTATATAACTTTCAGGTAAAAGACTCTCAGGAGGAAATACCTGATCCAGAAGCCAGAGATACCCTCCTGAGAGAGCAGTGTGAAAAGCACAAGCATGAGGGCCTCCGCTGCTGGCTCTGGTGGCCAGCTCTGCCGGGGGGGGGGGGGGGGGGGGGGGGGGGAAGGGGAGGGGTTAGTGCCACTCTCCCACCCTGAGTGGGCAGGCTCTGGACAGCACACTCACCCATGGCCGGCCTTTCGGTGCCTACTGATCTCCTTCTCCCCCTCAATTATCCACTGCATGATCTTCTGGTTCTTTTCCACATCTTCTGTGGAGCCTGGCACCTCAGAACTGCTGTTTTTCCCAGAGTCTGTCTTCTTGGCACTTCTTTTGGAGGACGTGCCTGCCTTCCCGCTGTAAGAGCAGGGCCTAGAGGTCACCTTGGCTTGGTCTCCTGAGTCCTCACACCCCAACAGAAGGGCCCACTCCCCACTGTGAAAGTCACTGTCTCTGAACATGCAAAAACTTGGGTGGGCTGGGAAGGTGGCTCAGTGGTAGAGTGCTTGCCTCACATGCATGAGGCCCTGGGTTCGATTCCTCAGCATCACATAAGTAGACTAAAGGCCGGAAGTGGCGCTGTGGCTCAAGTGGCAGAGTGCTAGTCTTAAGCTGAAGAGCTGAGGAATAGTGCCCAGGCCCTGAGTTCAGGCACCACAACTGACAAAACAACAACAACAAGCCGGTGCCGGAGGCTCACGCCTGTCATCCTTGCTACTCAGGAGGCTGAGATCTGAGAATCTCGGTTCAAAGCCAGCCGGAGGAAGGGGGAAGGAAAGTCCGTGAGACTCTTTATCTCCAATAAACCACTAAAGAAAACTGGAAGTGGTACAGTGGCTCAAGGGGTAGAGCGCTCGCCTTGAGCTGAAGAGCACAGAGACTGCGCCTGGGCCCAGAGTTCAAACACCAGGACCGACCAAAACAACAACAATAACAAAAGCAACTAGGGTTTGTTTTGTCTTCCATACATTGGGAGGAGCTGGGCGCCAGTGGCTCACGCCTATAATCCTCAGTACTCAGGAGGCTGAGATCTGAGGACTGTGGTTCAAAGCAGTCAGGAAAGGCCGTGAGACTCTATCTCCAATAAACTTAGAAAAAGCCCAAAGAAGTGCTGTGGCTCAAGTGGTAGATCACTAGCCTTGAGCAAAAAGCAGCTCAGGGACAGCACCCAGGCTTTCCAGAATTGAAGCCCCAACACCAGAATTTAAAAAAAAAACAAAAAACTGGGAGACAAACCCTTAAGAGATAAACTTCTAGGCAGAATTAGCGGCTGGGAATAGTGGGATCGGGCCCTGTCCTTCACTTTCCATCTCCCAGGGCCCTGCTGGATGTTCCTGACTCCTGTGACTTTGACAGAAGATCAAGCTTCCAGAGGAGCAAGGCCTCATGCCCTGGCCCACCTTCTGGCTGCTCTCATAACCACGGTACTGGCAGGAGGTGTGTGTGGCAGGGCCGTAGAGAACTCACCTGAAGGCCAGGTCCCCGGAACTGGGGGTGGCAGCTGTGGTCTCGGAGTAGCTGCGGGGCTTGGCGTGGCTGTGTGACTCCGGGCCCCAGGTGAAGCTGCTCTGGACCCTGCGGGTGGCCTCCACCTCTGCCTGGTCCTTAGGCCTGGACACACCATGGTGAACGTGGTGGTGGACATGCCTGTGGTGGTGCAGGCCGGCAGACTCCAACTTTGTCCCGGACTTGGACACGTGCTTCCCGTGCCCTGAGGCCACGCCCCCTAGCAGTGCCAGCTTAGCTGTGTGCCCACTGTCAGGGGACCGGTGGCCTGGCCCCGGTGACTGGCAGCCAGGTGTCCTCATGACCCGCTGCACATGCTCATCAAGGATGCTCTCAGGGTTCTCCTCATGGGCGTCGCGCAGCCCGGCACAGCCCATGTCCACGTAGCGGGGAGGGCAGTGGTGCCAGGCTGGGGCAGAAGGCAGCTTATGACCGGCCCCGGGGGGCCCAGAGGGCAGGTCTCCGTCCTCGCCTTCCTCCTCCTGTGGAGACAGAGCAGCACTGTCAGAACCGGTCCTGTGTGCACCCAGAACGCAGGTGCAGGAGTTGTACTGTGGTCTAGAATGTGGCTGGGCCACAAAAAGCACAGAAGACTCCTGGGAGCAGTGGAGGACAGACACACAGGGGACAGGGGCCTGGTGTCAGCTGTAGCCACTGGGGAAGCTCTGTACAGGTTTACTTTGTCTGGACAAAGTTTATTTTAATTTTGTCAGAGTTTTCTTTTCTCTTTTTGTGCTGGTCCTGGGGCTTGAACTCAGGGTCTGGGTGCTATTCCTGGGCTATTGTGGTAGGCTCCCACTCTACAACTTGAACTACAGTGCCACTTTCAGCTTTTTCTGCATAGGTGGTGCTAAGGAATCAGACCCAGGGCCTCATGCATGCGAGGCAAGCACTCTACCCCTCAGCCCCCTTCCTAGCCCCCTTCAGGTTACCCTAAACACAAGACTTCTTAGCCACAGGAACGTGCCCTGGTGCACGGCCCACTCACCATTCTAACACGCTTTAGCCGCTCCTCCAGCCTCTCCTCAGCCTCCCGCGTGCGCTGGACAGCCTCTAAGCGATGGATGAGCTCTTCAGCAAATTTCTGTGGCTCCACACGAATCTCCTTTGGCATTCGGTAAGTGCGCTGCAGTGAGACAGCCATTCTTAGCAGATTTCACCCCACACCGGGAGCAAGTGCACTATTAGAGCACTAAACATGGAGGGCTCATCTGAAAGACACTTCCCTTCGCACTTGGGTGCCAGCTTCCCTACCACTCTTCCTCTTCTCCCAGAGGAGATGGTTTCCTTCTAGGTTCTCACAACTAGCAACCTGGAGGGTTAAGCATTCAGTCTCCAGGACAGAGTCAGAGATGGTCAGGGCTCAGTAGGCAAGGAGATGATCCATACACGTTACGACTCACCAGGGTCTCATCGGATGCGTCCTGAACCAAGGGACTCCCAACTTGTTCACAAAAACAAAGGAGCAGGCTGGGAAGGTGGCTCAGTGGTGGAGTGCTTGCCTCACATGCATCAAGCCCTGGGTTCAACTCCTCAGCACCACAGAAGCAGAAAAAGCCAGAAGTGGTGCTGAGGCTCCAGTGGTAGAGCACTAGCCTCGATCTGAAGAGCTGAGGGACAGTGCCCAGGCCCAGAGTTCAGGCCCCATAACCAACAAAAACAAAAACAAAAAACAAGCCGGGCGCCGGTGCTCACGCCTGTCATCCTAGCTACTCAGGAGGCTGAGATCTGAGGATCACGGTTCAAAACCAGCTCGGGCAGGAAAGTCTGTGAGACTCTCATTTCCAATAAACCACTAGAAAATCGGAAGTGTTGGCATGGCTCAAGTGGTAGAGTGCTCACCTTGAGCTGAAGAGCACAGGAACAGCACCCAGGCCCAGAGTTCAAACCCCATGACCGACCAAAAAAACCCTCCCCAAACCCCCAAAGAGCACCAAGGCTACCGTGGGCACAGCACGGGCTCTTTGGGTTCTGAGGCGGTGCAAGCCCACAGCACCTTCAGGACTTGCATCCCGTCAGAAACCACAGAGGGATGCCTTGTGCTGAGGCGCCTCTGCAGCTGATGTGGGATGCAGAGGTGGGGGCAGGGAGGCGTGGAGGTGGGGGGAGTCAGCATGGACTGTTACAGGAACCAAACTGGGTATATAAGAAAATCTCTGAGAGGGCACCGTGGCTCACGCCTGTCATCCTAGCTACTCAGGAGGCTGAGATCTGAGGATCGTGGTTCAAAGCCAGCTCTTATCTCCAATTAACCACTAAGAGCCAGAAGTGGAGCTATAGTTCAAATGATATAGTGCCTAGAGTGAAAAGGCGAAGGGACAATACCCAGACCCTGAGTTCCAGCCCCAGTACCAGTACACAGACACACAAACCAGTCAGCAAACAGGTGCCAGCTATTCACATCCGTAATCCGAATTACTCAGAGTCATACACACACACACACAGCACCACTCATTTTTGATAAGTAGACAACATCAGTGCCAAGATTAAGCCAAATACGTGCCAAAGAATGATTGGAAGAGCTGGGCGCCGGTCATCCTAGCTACTCAGGAAGCTGAGATCTGAGGACTGCAGTTCAAATCCAGACCAGGCAGGAAATCTGTGAGACTCTCTATCTCCAATAAACTATCAGAAAAAGCCAGAAGTGGTGCTATGGCTCAAGAGGTAGAGCGCTAGCCTTGCTTAGGGACAGAGCCCAGGGCCTGAGGTCAAGCCCCAGGACCAGGAAAAATAAAAAAAAAACCACTAAGATTCTAACTAAAAAATGCTGATAGCTGGGCACCAGTGGCTTGTACCTGAAATGCTAGCTACTCAAGAAGCTGAGATCTGAGGACTGAGGTTGAAAGCCAGACTGAGCAGGAAAGATCATGAGACTCTTATTTCCAATGAACCACCAAACAGCCAGAGTAGAGCTGTGGCTCAACTGGTAGAGCACCAGCAAAGAGCTCCTGGACAGTACCTAGTCCCTGAGTTCAAGTGCCAGCACCAGCGCCAAAAGTAAAACAAAAATACAACACGTTAACTGCTCTCTTCATCACCAGTGAGGACTTTACAGGAGGAGCTTGCTGTCACACTCCACGTGACCTGCTGAAGTCCTGAGTGAAGTCCTGAGCCCAGGCTCACCAAGATGTTCACAGGCTCACATCCACTACTAGGCCACAAAACAGGGTATGTCCGCCAGGGCGCTGGTGGCTCATGCCTGTCAGGAGGCTGAGATCTGAGGATCACGGCTCAAAGCCAGCCTGGGCAGAAGCGTCCAATTAAACCATGAGGAAACTGAAGTGGCATAGTGGCTCAAAGTGGTAGAGCACTAGCCTTGAGCAAAAGAGCTGAGGGACAGCGCCCAGACCCCGAGTTCAAGCCCCACGAAGAATGTGTAGCTGTGTAGTCTGGGGCTCTTTGGACTAACTTTCACAGGCAGTTATCACCTGCCATTCTCCTACTCCAGGATTATCCAGGTCCAGATCACCGGCTATGCCTCGCCCACTAGTGGGTACCATGGTGGCCAAAAACTCTGGGCCTGGGTGCTGTCTTTCAGCTCTTTAGTTCAAGGCTAGTGCTTTACCACTTGAGCCATAGCACCACTTCCCGCTTTTTCTGTATATGTGGTGCTAGAGGAGGAATTGAACCCAGGGCCCCATGCATGCGAGGCAAACACTCTACCACGGAGCCACCTTCCCAGCCCCCGGTCGTGGCCAATTCTGAGCGGCGGAACCAAAGTCCACTCACAGACAGGCAATGGGGCTGCGGGGCAGTACTTACGGGGATGTGAGGCAGAGGCACCCTCCCGTTGACCTGGACGCTCTCCTGCACCTCCCTCCGGTGCTGCTTGCGGGTCCTGTACGGGGGGACCCCATCCCTGTGCAGAGGAAGGGGTTGGCCGGGTTAGCTCCAACAGGAAGTGAGGGCCAGGGGCGTGAAACGTGACTCGTCGGTCATGGTGGCCATACCTCAGGTGCAGTGCCACCCATGTACAGGTGCCTGGGATGCCACACATGTGCGGGCTTGCACGTGCTCATGCACGCGACTCGTATGGGACAGCAAAGCACAGCCATGGAGTGTTTGCCTGCCTAGCTAGCATTTTATTGGGTATTTTGGTAAAGTCCGGCCGTACAAGCCTTACCTATGTAACCTGGGATCAACCAACTACAAGCCAAGGACTCCTGAAGGCACTTCAAGAACGGGAAGGTACAATGTGCGAGAGGCTGCATGCAGTTGCAAAGCCTCTGGCTCTTGTGGCAATGCCTGCTGTGACCTCACATTACTGCCAAGACCAGGGGCAGTGTTCAGACCGGAAACATCTACAAGGGGACGAGGAGGGGGGCAAGACAGCCTGCAGGGGAGGACTGTGCATGGCCAGGCGCACGTGGGCCTCCCGCAACCCCATTCCCACACGCTTAGACCAGGACAGTACAAGTAAGAGGGACACCACAGGGCCAGGAAGGAGCAAGCCCACCCCACACCTGCGACGGTGACGTTGTAAGGCAAGCTCCCGTGTCCTGACAGAGGGCACGTGAAGGCTCAGCTGTAACTCAGGCCCTGGGCCGTCCATGAAGAGAACGGATTCAGGGCTGGGACTGCGCCTTAGTGGTGGAGTGGTTGGGAGCATGCATGAAGCCCTGGGTCATTCCTCAGTACCCATAAACAGAAAAGGCCAAAAGTGGGGCTGTGGCTCAAGGGGTAGAGTGCCAGCCTTGAGCAAAAGAAGCTCACAGACAGGGCCTCGGCCCTGAGTTCAAGCCTCAGGTCTGGCAACAACAACCACAACAAAAGGACCGGTTCAGAACAGCAACCAGTTTCACAAAGGCCTGTGCAACCAAGCGGCCTTCCCAAGTCTGCATTCTCTGTCCTGCACCTACTGTGGAGATGGCGCATCCAGCGGCTGACCCACCATCGAACTGAGCCCCGGACTATGAAAACTGAGGAAACAGAAGCCAGACTCTCCTGCAGGGCAGCTCTGGGGTCGGTCTAAGCTTTGCCCCAGATTCTCCTCTCCCAAGGGTTCCGGATAGCTGTGGCCTCAGACAGTGGTGGTTGATGACACTTTGGTGCTCAGACTGTGTTATCGTTTGTGGTTTGGGTGCTGGGGTAGAATCCCATGCCTCAGCTGAGTTTTGATGACGGCACCTGCAGAGCCGCTTGTCTAGGCTTCAAGTGCACTTGAGCTACGTTCTAGGGGAACCAAGCCCATGTAGCGGGATAGGCACAGACCAGAGAAGTGAGTGGTCAGGAGGGGCAGGACTTACACACTGCTGTCTGTGAGGGACAGGGTGTCGGCGTCACTGGACAGGCTCTGCTGCTCACTGTCATTGGTGCTGGTAGCTGGGGCCAAGGCATAACCAGAGTTGACATAGTAGGGGTTGACTGGCTCCCGCCAGGATCCATACCTGTAAACAAAGAAGGCTCATGAGTGGCAGCAGATCAAAATCCTCCAGTCCTGGGACTTGAACTCAGGGCCTGGGCACTGTCCCTGAGCTTCTTTCTTTGCTCAAGGCTAGCACTCTACCACTTGAGCTACAGCTCCATTTGCAGCTTTTTCTTTTTATGCATGTTAGGCAAGCGCTCTACCACTGAGCCACATTTGCAACCCCACATCCTCTTGTTTTAATCCCTATTTTCAGACATATCTGGATTTCAATGTAGAACTGGCTCATCCCCTGTCCCCTGTCTTACCCAATGGAGTGGTTTAAAGCCCAAATCTATGTTCTGCTATTTGGAAGACATCTAAGCCTTCATTTATAGATTATCACGTGGGTTTGTTCCCCTCCCCCCCCACATGTAAATGTAAACAGCTATCTTTCCTTAAAAAGCACTCTTAAAAGCTGGGTGCCAGTGGCTCACACCTGTAATCCTAGCTACTCAGGAAGCTGAGATCTGAGGATAGAGGTATGAAGCCAGCCTGGGCAGAAAAGTCCCGTGAGACTCTTATATCCAATTAACTACTCAAAAACCAGAAGTGGCGGGGCTGGGAAGGTGGCTCAGTGGTAGAGCGCTTGCCTTTCATGCATGAGGCCCTGGGTTCGATTCCTCAGCACCACATAATCAGAAAGAGCCGGAAGTGGGGCTGTGGCTCAGGTTGGTCTCAGCGCTGGTCTACAGCTGAAGAGCTGGGGGACAGCGCTCAGGCCCAGAGTTCAAGCCCCATGACCAACTAAATACATACATACGTAAATAAATAAATCTACCGAACTCACGGACTTTTCTGCCCAAGCTGGACCTGTGCCTCACAAATAGGCAGGAGTACAGGTGTGAGTGACCTGTACCCAGCTGGAAAGTACTTTCTCCCTAAATATAGTTTTCATTTTTAACCTTGTTAATGGTGACTTGAGTCATACGAAACTTTTTCTTTCTATGAAATTATAATTTCCAGTCTTTATAGCTTTTTTGAGGAGCTAAGGACAGAATCAGGACCTCACAAATATGCGAAGTGCTCTACTGCTGAGCTATACCTCCAGCTGTTTTTATTATGTTTGGGGGGACAAGGTCTCACTAAACTGTCCACACTGACCTCAAACTTATCATCGACCTAGCTCAGCCTCTCAAGGAGTCAAACTCCACGTGTACCACCATTTGCAGACCTTTCTCACCCTAAATTAGAAGCATAGTCCACTTTTCTTTTCAAGCTCCACTACATTCAGTGTATTTTGTGTGTGTGTGTGTGTGCACGTGCGTGCCAGTCCTGGAGCTCAAACTGAGGGCCTGTGCAGTATCCCTAGCTTCTTTTTGGTCAGTCCTGGGTCTTGAACTCAGGGCCTGGGCACTGTCCTTGAGCTTCTTTTGCTCAAGCTAGCAGTCTACCACTTGAGCCACAGCATCACTTCTGTTTTTTTCTGTTTACAGGTGCTGAGGAATCGAACCCAGGGCTTCATGCATGCTAGGCAAGTACTCTACCACTGAGCCACATTCTCAGCCCTCCCTGAGCTTTTTTACTCAAGGCTAGTGTTCTACAACTTGAGTCACAGCTATACATATGTTTTTTTGGTGGCTAACTGCAGAAACTTCCTGGACTTTCCTGCCTGGGTTGGCTTTGAACACCAATACTTAGCTCTTAGCCTCCTTCTGAATAGCTAGGATTACAAGCGTGAGCCTGGCAAGCTCTTCTTTTTTGGGAGGGGGTTGGTCCTGGGGCTTAAACTCAGGGGCCTAAGCATTGCTCAAGTGCTCTACCACTTCAGCCAAAACTTTCTGGAAGTTCATTGGAGGTAAGAGTCTTACGGACTTTCCTTCCTGGGCTAGCTTCAAACCATGATCCTCAGCTCTCAGCCTCCCAAATAGGATTACAGATGTGAGCCTCTAGCTCCAGGGACTTCCTATGCATACACATAAGTATATAAGCATATACTTAAAATCACATCTACCTGCATTGCTGTGTGCCTGTAATATCTAGCTCATCCCCAGCACTAAAATGGATAGTTGTTAGCACTAAATATCCAATCATCAATAAGTGCTACATCTTAATCGACTAGAATGATCTCTAGCTGCTGTCCCCCTGCAAGGTACTGTCTTCTAATTATGACCCTGGCCAGCACATCTGCTTCTTCCGCCAACTGGGAGGTAGTGAGGATGCTGGGCTGGGTCTGTGATGGTGCTCAGGGCCCCTCCCAGGAGCACGTGACCAGGTGTGCGGCTGTCATACAGCCGTCTTCACTGACTGACACCATCTGCAGGAAGTCTTTGATGCCGAAGGAGAGGGACAGGGGTTTGTTTCTAAGGTGTTAAACTCCCTTGTGGCCATCTATGTACATGAACAGAATCTTCTAGAAGCCCCAATTCCACTAACATTGAAAAGGCCCTTAAACAGAACAGGGAACTGGCATCTAGGAATGTCAGACCCTTGTCATCAGGACACACTGGACAACAGCTGGGCCAGGCAGCAGAGCTGGAGACAGACCTTCAACCCAAATCCAGGCCTTCACCTCTGTGCCACCCGACAGACACCAGTGTCTGAGGCCACAGACATGGACGTGGGCCTTGTGTAAGAACGTCACCGCCTGGCGCTCCTCGACTTCTTCCGTGGGAGGTTACGTGGGAAGCTGCGGTGGTGGGACAGGGCCCACCTGCTAACATGGTTGCTGCTCAGGAGGCAGATGCTCAGAAGCCCATGCCACCAAATGGGAAACCTCTCCACTGAAGGTGACTCCCTGCCCAGTCCGGTCAGACGGTCTTGCTGACCTACCGCCTACTGCTTCAGGCCAGGCACCATTCAACGGCTTCAGCCTGAACAAGGGGATCTCGGTGGCCATAGTTTACAGCCCTCCCACCCCACCTGACAGATACAACGCTGCAGCACACACTTTATATCCTTTATGTATCATGAAATACTTTCTATGTATTTGAAATGACAGTCATTCCTTCTTAAAAGTTACAGCCACAGACACTTACTGGCAATCAATGTTGTCATATTAAGTGCTATTCTTCTTTCTCTTTTTTTGTACAGATCCTAGGACTTGAACTCAGGGTTTGGATGCTGTCCCTGAGCTTTTGTGCTCTATTACTTGAGCCACAGCTCCACTTGTAGCTTTTTGGTGATCAACTGGAGATTAATTTGGTGGTTGATTGAAGGGTCTGATGGACATTCCTTTCTGGACTGGTTTTGAACCACAATCTTCAGATCTCAGCCTCCTGAGCAGTTAGAATTAAAGTGTGGGCCATTGGTGCCCAGCTATGAGCTATTCTTAAGTGTGCCCGTTACTATTGCCAGGCACCAGTTACCTAGCTGCTCAGGAGGCTGAGATCTGAGGATCATGGCTCGAAGTCAGGTTGGGTAAGAGAGTCTGTGAGACTTTATCTCCAATTAACTACCAAAAAGCCAGAAGTGGAGCTGTGACTCAAGTAGTACAGTTCTAGTCTTGAGCCAAAAAAAAAACTCAGGGGCAGCACCCAAGCCCTGAGTTCAAGCCTTAGGACCAGCACCAAAAAAAGAAAAAAAGAGCCGGGCGCCAGTGGCTCACGCCTGTAATCCTAGCTACTCAGGAGGCTGAGATCTGAGGATCTTGGATTGAAGCCAGCCAGGGCAGGAAAGTCTATGAGATTCTTATCTCCAATAAACTACTAGAAACCCGGAAGTGGTGCTATAGCTCAAGTGGTAGGGCGCTTGCCTTGAGCTGAAGAGCGCAGGGACAGCGTCCAAGCCCAGAGTTCAAGCTCCACACTGACCAAAAAAAAAAAAAAAGAGCCGGGCACTGGTGGCTCATACCTGTAATCCTAGCTACTCAGGAGGCTGAGATCTGAGGATTGCGGTTCAAAGCCAGCCCAAGCAAGAGAGACCATGAGACTCCTATCTCTAATAAACCACCAGAAAACCAGAAGTGGCGCTGTAGCTCAAGTGGTAGAGCGCTTGCCTTGAGCTGAAGAGCTGAGGGACAGCACCCAGGCCCAGAGTTCAAGCCCCATGACCGACCAAAAAAAAAAAAAAAAAAAAATTAAACTTTGATCACTTTCTATAAACACTTAATTAAAAAGGTAAAACCATACCCAGGCACTGATGGCTCATGCCTGTAATCCCAGGTACGCAGGAGGCTGAGATCCAATAAGCTACTCAAAAAAGCTAGAAGCAGAGCTGTGGCTCAAGTGGCAGACACTAGCCTTGAGCACAAAGAAGCTCAAGGATGGTGCCCAGGCCCTGAGTTCAAGCCCCACAACCAACAACAACAACAAAAGTAAAACTACAGAGAGATGGGCCCGGTGCTATCCCTCTGTTCTTCACACCGTCAAGACTACCCCTGCAGGAGGACAGAGCCTCCCGAGTCCACGTCCATCCTGCCTCCCTGCCCACTCACAGGCACACGTGTCTTCCACATGCATCCACATGATCTAATGTGGAACAAACTCTACTGTGTAGAGAAGATGCCCCAAGGTCAGAAGAGGAGGGAAGAAGACGACTCACAAGAGAGAAAAGAAAGCAGAGGGAAGCTACCACTTGCCTGCTTACCAACTTTAGAGTCAACCTCCCAGTGTCTGAAAAACATTCCACTTGGCTATGACAGAAGCGCTCTGCCAACGACTGTACGAGGAGGTATCAGAATGGGCGGGGGGGGGGGGTGGCTCATACCTGTGCATCAGCTACTCAGGAGGCTGAGATCTGAAGATCATGATTCGAAGCCAACCCAGGCAGAAAAGTCCCCAGAAACCAGAAGTGGAGCTGTGGCTTCACGTGGTAGAGCACTAGCCTTAAGTAAAAGAGCTCAGGGATAGTATACAAGCCCTGAGTTAAAGCCCCATGACCAGAAAAAAAAAAAGAGGAAATACTGTGCATGTAGCAAAGGACCCTGCCTAAGGGACAATGAAAACCAGCAAGGACCCTATGTGTTTCCCTGACAGCAACGCGTGTGGGATATGCTTCTGCATGTTCCATGAGCACAGGTGTGAGTGCGTACAAGGAATGCAT